AAAGTGTGGCGGTGACCTGTATAGGACGAAAATGTCGTGATCGAAGCTCTTGGAGGTCGCTGCCGGGACGTTGCTTCCCACCCAGGACAGTGTTTTACTTCACGTAATAGCTGTACTGCATGGTCATCCAAACCAGACTACTCGTCGCGACAACGGCAGGTGCTAGCCAAGGTCCGCGCCACCTTGCAGTCTTGTACACAGCCATCTCGCTCATGAAGTGTCCCCAGGCGACTAGATATGTCCAGAAGGCCGCCTGGTACCATGCCGGCTCGTCGATATGGTAGGCAGCGTACAGCCGCACAATGCTAGTAATGAAAGTCCATGTTCCAAAAGTGCGTGCTGATAATGCAGTTACAGGAGATGTGTCGGCTTCAGGTGTCTTCCCATTCGCTGGTCCAGCATAGACGCGTTGGGTGTAGGACAATGTGGTGTATGCTTGGATTGAATTACCAATAGATGTAAAGGCAACCTAGATGATGTCAATTGGAAGGGAACCGATATGTGGACGGGTGGTCTCGAACCAGCAAAAGCCATTTGGGCAGAAGACCATCGTGAGGAGGGAGTAGGCTTGCCATAGTTATCCGCACAGAAGAGAGATACCGAGCTCTGCTTGTGTGATGACCTTGGATGAAAGAAAGGATTACAGGGAGGATCTTCGACTGCAACGGGGATGTCCCCAGAAATTATCGTGCTGCAGCAAACATGATTGGCAAGATCAACAATAAACTTCCTCGTTGAGCTTACATAGGCACACGAGCGCCATGAAAGTCTCAGAACATATTCCGATTTGATATTTCTATTTCGCTTCCTTGTACAAGTTGCAGGAAGTCCAGCGTACGGCTGTCAGAACCAACCAGTGCCCCTCCACCTTCTGCGACATGGCAGTCTCAATCAATTCTGTGCAACTCTCGCTACCACAGGCGATAATCGCGGGGTTCTTTCTTGTGTTAGGATTCCTGTACTTCGCTTTTCAGATCAGCGAACTCACACGGGTGCTGTTAAGCACATTTGTGACCCCGGGAAAACCTGTAAGACCTGCTGGCCATTGCTCGCGTGCACGCAGAATTCGCTGATGCCATGCTAGCTCACATCATTCGGTCCACGAGGATCTTGGGCTTTGATAACAGGCGCAAGCGATGGAATTGGCAAGCAATATGCGCTCCAGCTGGCAAAAGCTGGTTTCAATGTTGTCCTTGTCTCGCGCACCGAATCAAAGCTACATAATCTCTCCTTAGAAATCACGTCTTCGAATTCAGACATCAGGACAGAAATCCTGGCGATGGATTTTTCGAAGAACCTAGGTTCCGACTACGAGAGGCTGGCAGCGATTATTAAAGATAAAGACATTGCCGTCCTCATCAACAATGTTGGTCAGTCTCACGACCTCCCTGTCCCGTACGCCGAGGATCCGGAGGAAGAAGTGAACAACATTATTATTACAAACTGCATTGGCACTCTTAGAGTCACCCGCCTTGTCCTCCCCGGGATGTCTGCCCGCAAATGTGGCCTTATCTTGACCATGGGGTCCTTCGGTGGCCTACTCCCAACACCACTCCTAGCGACATACTCCGGCTCCAAGGCCTTCCTGCAAAACTGGTCCACCGCGCTTGCAGCTGAGGTTGAAGCATTAGGCATTACCGTCTACTTCATTCAAGCTTACATCGTGACATCTGCAATGTCCAAGGTCAAGCGCTCAACTTACATGTTTCCAAGCGAGAAGGACTTCGTCAAGTCGACTCTGGCAAAGATTGGCAATCGGTGTGGGAGTGTGGGATATGCTTTCTCAGGCACTCCATGGTGGAGTCATGCTCTGTTTGCATGGTGCATCTTGACGGTGGGATATCCGTTTGGACATTTTGTGGTGCATCAGAACTTGGTCATGCATAAGAAGATCAGGGCTAGAGCATTGAAGAAGGCGGAAAGAATGAGATTGGAAGCTAAGAAGGGCACATAGATTCGGAGGGCACAAAGTAATGAAAGAATCGGTGCATGTGCACAGGGGATGATATTCGACGTCGAACCCGATCACCGTCTAAGACACATAGCGGACTCCTGTAAGTAGTAATTACTTTAATCAGCCCCAATGCCCTTTCGCCAACGCAAAGAACTAAGAACTTTTCGCAGACCACGACTTCCCTCATTAACTACATACCATATAAATTGCTATTAACCTTCGTGTAGGATCACTGGCCTACTTGAGCTTGTCTGTCGTCGCACGCAGAAAAGGTTTCGATGACAGTGTCGGAATATCCAATCAAACAATACACCTCTGCACCCTTCGTTGAAAGTGCAGGTGTAATGCTCCTTTCTTTAGCCACAGGTCAGTTGCCTTATCCACTACCTCTCCAAGGATGAATGGTTACCACCAAAGTGCCGCCATCAGTGCGGGGAGTCAGACAGGGTGTAGTTGCCATGTCTACCCCGTCTCTATCATGACTCGTGCTCCACGGCCAGATGAGTCAGAGGATACGCCAGATATTGCACGCCATCACTTCGATCTGAATCAGCCATTCATGGTCATGACTCGGGAGCTGAGTGTTGGAAAGGAGATCAACTTGATCTCCTGGTGTATCGCTTGGGTGAGCGAGAAAGCTGTGCGTGGTGGTAGCTGTGGTGGATTGGCTTTTAGGCCGTAGGTCTTCAATTATAAGGAAGCTGGTGGGAAGATTGACATTCTAGGGATCTCCAGAGGGTCCGGAGCTGGGTGCCGAAAATAGTGGGACTTCCGTCCCACTCCACTCTATTACTTCTATCTTTAAAATGGTATAGGAAGACCATTTCGCTCATTTACGGCAGCTACTCTTTTGGGCATCGTAGCAATTGCCTTATTGATCTCCTCCAGAGTGATTTTATCCCACTCCTCCTCAATTGCTCGCCGCAGCTCCTCTGGATCAGTAATAAGGCCTCGATTCTTTAGCCTCTGCTTCAACAACCTCCAGATGCTCTCTATAGGGTTCAAATCAGGCGATTCTGGGCAATTAGCTTCCCATTGGATCCCTAAATACATACTAAATTTAGTTGCGCCGTTTCAATCGAAATTGGATCTTGGAAGGAGCATTTCGCGCTTCTGTACTACGTTGACGATGTACTATAGCTTGACATTATAAGCCACATACAAAATGACACTCGTCGCTGTATTTGTACTGCTTAAATTTCTCTAAATTCTAATGTTAACGTTTAAATCTCTATATTTTGCGTATCTTAATATTTTTAGAATGAATGTATTTTTTCTGCTGCGCCCTATAGGTGCCTACTCCAAATTGAGCTATATTTCGTTGAATTGCACGTTCAGATCCTTGAGCTAGGCTAATAGAGCTTGCTATAGCATAATGAGAGGCAGATGCAGCGCGAAATAAGCTATCTTCAACCGTCTTAAGAGCCTCACATTAATGGGGTTCCAAAACGCGTTTTCGACCACGATTATGAACGTTATTGCCACAGCGCGTAGATTGTGATTTGAGGATTCGATAGCCTGTTGTTTTTGGTATACCAAGTGATTCGAATAGCTTTTTTCAGGGTAATTTGCCAGCTGTAGCCTGCGCGGCGCAAAGAAGTCGCGTACGACGTGGAGTATCGACTATAGTATTTGGCTCACGTGGAGGTTCTGTGGGTATCGAAATTGACGAATGAGGCTGTTGACAGTTTTTTCGACTAGTTTTGCGAATTCTGGCCATTGTTGAGCTGGGTTGAATAACCGTTGGTTGGATAATAGAAGAATGAAAAAAGGGGGTTGTTTTGAGGGTGGGACGGAAGTCCCACTATTTTCGGCACCCAGCTCCGGTCCTTCAGACGGCGGCCGTCATGATTGTGGAGAATTCAAGCCCTTAAGCAATGGACGTTATGAGATCAGACGTGCGATGTAACTTACTTTGCTAGCGCCCATTGCAAGCAGTTCGTAGAGGAGGTTTACTGTAAGCTTTCGGACTAACTTGATCAAACGCAAATCCCTTTTCCGGCAGCCGCATCATGGGAGTGACCAACGCCAAAAGCCAGTGCCGGCGGATTATGTAACTAGTGAGACCCTAGCAATTCAATCTATTTGATGCATCAAGAAGTTATTCAAACTTCACTGCCATGAGTTGTAAACGGCCAAGTCCATACCTAAGCGTTCTCCTTTGTTGATTCCACCTTCGTTGGAGACCAAGTACGGTATCTACACAGCTCAGTGTGCATTGTGGTGCCCCATCAAGTAGGATGGCCCGCCCAGAAACCCTTTCTGTCATTCATCCTGAAGATGCGCAGTTGATTGCTCAACTTGCGTCGCTTCAAGAAATGCATGATCAGGTTTTGTCTCCTAGTCCATTGTCAAATTTCTGGCTTCTGACTCCGCCGCCAGATCTATCATCTCCGAACTCTTCCGCAAGCCCTGGTCAATCCTGTTTGTGAAATGCTGCGCACACAGACTCTGACCTCCATTGGGACAGACGCGCCCTCCAAACTCTACTCAAGAATTCAAAAAATAGCTATTGAAGGCCTAAAGGATGTTGAAAGCTTCAAGCAGAGTTGGACTAGCGACGAATCCCAGCAAGTCTGGAAGCGCAGATTGAACGAACCCTTCCCGCAGGGTTCGGACGTTTGGAGAGTCGACTACATTTCACTGCTCAACGAGAGCAAAGCTCAGGAGCAACAACGGACCTTGGAGGAAGTAATACCTGCCACAGACTCGCGCGATCTAACGGACATAGTACGTGATGTCGGCCAGAAGCACCAGTCAATGAAGTTAGAACCCCAAGAGACCGCACAATTGTTCCCGCTCAACATCAGAATAGCTGGGATGAAGTTCCAAGTCCTTTCTTATGCCCATGATAACAAGAATTATCAAGTGCGGTACAAAGAGGCATCTAGGGCTTCCGAGCTGCAAGATGGAATATTGAGACACCTGAATTCAAGACGAGTCAAAGGGAATCTTGAGTATTTGTTGGTGAGCATGAAAAGCATGTGGATTTTTTAAGACGAACTGCTAACACACCGAGCAGAATATGATAGCTTCCTATGAAGATGTGAAAAGGCGACCTTGCGATAGATGCCTGAAGCTTTTCGACAAAACTATGGCATTTCCCGTCATCCGAAACGCAAAACCTAGCACCCCTTCCGCGGATGAGATGGGTATGCTATGGGAAGCGTTGCATGCTGCTTGTACTTGAGAGTCCACGATGTCATTCCTTCAACTCATGTCGCGAGTAACATTTCCTAATCGATGTCCAGGATTCATATCCAGGACGGAGGTCTTTGTACTCAAACAACATGCCTATGCCCATCGGCATCCCACCAAGCTCGCAGGTAGAGCTCGCCATCAAGGCTATAGTCCCACTCGGTGTCGCTCCACATGTTTGGATGAAAGTTGGTATATCGGCGAGTGAAAAAGTCGTATCGCTGCCGGCGTCGATCGGCCCAAGGCAAGGCAGGCAATCCACGGTTGTTCGGATTGGGGTACATGTCCGCCCATCGCGACCACCGTGACCTTGTTGGCAGATGCTCCAAGTTATCAAGCCGACCAACGAAAATATCCGGTCCTTGGCCACTGAAGATATCTCTGATGAGGTTCATTCTTCGACTTCTTTTTCCACCTTGATGAGGTTTATCTTTTGGCCAGATCCAGCCTTTGATTGGTCTTTCTGCCATTCTGTCGCGACAGCCAAAGTTTACCGATAACGATACTGGAATCAAAGTTCAATAAAGATGGTATCAGCTGTAGATTTGGATGAAGCAGTGTGAGAGAACCAGGTGCACCACAACGGATCTCTAGCATGTCGACGATTCTGCACTAAGGATATATATGAAGGCGGACTGCTTCCAACAGCCCGTTTGACATTGGAAGAATTGCTAGACAAACCCTTCAACACACCTGAAAAACAATCTCCACTGTTTGTCCAAGGCAATCAGGTAATCAGAAAACCTCAATCATCGCATGAAACACACCTTACCTCTGCTTGCGGGGCGCTCACGCATATCTGCCCGGAACGTTTTCTCTCAGATTGCGCCCGCCTCGAATTCTGTGACAGAGACATCTACCTCTGGTTAGCGAGTAGAATGAGCATAGGTAGCGTACAATCCATTAAAGGTTCCTTTTCAAGTTCCTTCCGACGGTTTGCTTAATCTACCGCAATTCAGTTCTTGCTCCGCCACAATGAAGTTCCTTCAGCTCGATTTGGAAATCTGCATCACCAGGATGTTTCCATCCCGACTCAGCATCTGCTGTGAATATTCTGGCCTCTTCGGTAAATAGAGAATGCTTCATTCAAATTTCATGCCCACTCTACAACGCAACGGAGGCGCTCCATTTCGAATTCTACGAGTCTCTTACGTTACGCCCTGTCATGACGGCCAATCTCAAATGGGATCTCCGGGCCTCTACTAAAGCTTATCATAAGTAATAGAGCAGTGGGTCAACTGCTTTACCTGTTCGCTAGGTCAAGGAAATCTCAGGAGATATCTTGAAGGTAGTTCAACCATGGTGACATCTTGTTTGACTTAGCGTCAGCTTGTTGTCAAGGTATCTGTCTTGTTAGAAATGCAAGTTATAGGAAAGTCAGGTCGACCAAGCCCTGGAAGATGATATATTCAAACCAGGGAGGTTGGTGTATCCTTAGCCACATTGGGCTAGAGACGAGAGATTGAGGTGCTTGGATTTAGGTGGTGTAGTGGGGAGACCAAAATCCAAGAACAAAGCAGGAAAGGACATCCTGGTTCAGAGTAAAGGAGCATCGCAGTGGTAATTGTTTACAGCCATTAGAGTCTTTCAAGATGGACGATTGTTCCCTTCAATGCTCATGGATTAGGGACTTCGAGATCCCCTGAATCAAGTGAAGACGCATACTTACATAGTAAGAGTGAGACCTGCCTAGAGCCAATCTAGCTTAGTGAACTCAACCGAACCCTAAAATTGGGAGATGCAGGAGGCAGATCATCCACTAATCAGCAATACCGTGCACTAATAAGCACTAATAAGCACTAACTGACTGCCTTTGCCGTGGGGATGGCAATACGCAGGGAGGGAAACAAGACTAACCTCTCCCGAGAGGAAACTCGAAATCATTGCCTCAACACCCATCAGAACACATCCACAATCTTTCACGCATCTCTTCATTCGTTTCAACCACCGTCGTTCTGCTGAAGACCCATTCATTTGGGTGTCTCTTTGGCCCTTCTCCCACATCATCACTCGCTTAGTCTTGGACGCCGAGGCCACTCTGAGACATACGCGTGGCAACATTGAAAATCCTCAATCTGCCCTCGAACATTGCCAGAAATCTCAATTCTGGGTTCACCGACCACACAGGCACTAAGACTTCCTAGTTGCTGAGGGCTTCGTCCTGATTGCATCGCTGCGGCCTCCAAGATGAAGGGCGCAGGCCTCTCTCGATTGCTTTCAATCCTTCTTTTGGCTAGCTTTGCTGCAGCATGGCCATGGCCCGACTCGTTCAGAGATATAGAGGGCTTGATTATGAGGAGACAAGAAAGCTCGACTGCTGGTACGTCAGCACGTGGTCGCTCTTTGTATACATCCAGCTAATTTTCAACGTTCTTCAGAGGAGCCATCACGGACATCATCCGCTTCAGGCTCATCCGAATCAGCTGCACCTTCCTCTACTACTGATGAGTCCGTGAGTGGCACAATTACAGATGCACCGACCTCAACCGGCTCAGAGTCTGCCGAGTCATCCACAGATGGGAGTGCAGCAGCTACGACAGGGGAATCTGGGTCTCGTTCCGCATCGGGCTCGAGACAATCAGGCGCCTCGAGAACCTCTTCACGTTCATCAAGGACCTCAAATGTGGACCCTCGACTACCACCTGGAGGAATTCAAATGGTGACACCTGCTGTTATTGCAGGACCACAGTATTATAAGATCGGAGACCATGTCACGTTCGCCTGGAATTACACATCGCTCTCAGTGACACCGAGCTATATCGATGTATTGGCTTCCTGTAGCATAAATTCTCAAATGTACACCATTACTGCCAATCAGTCGGTGGACCCTACAGGCGCCGTCATCTGGGACACTGGAGACTATCAAGCCAGCGCGACAGTGCCGCTTCTGACTGAAACATACACGCTTGTGGTGATGGACGCCCAGTTGGATATCTCTGCTACTGCAAGAGCGGGTTATCTCGGTGTCAGCGATGAGTACACCTTTGGCATGTATGTGCCACAGCCATATACACCTCTGAATGGTAGGACAAGCTCACTTTCCGGCATCAACATATTGCTGACATCTGTGGCAGAGTTCAAATGCGCTACTTGCAGTGCTGCTCTATCTGCCCACGAGAGACAAGCCCTCGGCTTCGTGCTCGGAATGAGCGCTATTACGATATTATCCTTCACTTGGTTTGCCGGCGGCTTTGGGGTCTTTTCATGAAACATAAGCTGATAGATTTTGTATCTGGTCACCGATTACGTACAAAATGTATTGGAGGGCAAGGCGTACAGGGTATCATTTGAACAAATGAATGGACAGCCGGTGTGGTTTCTTCGATACCGAGAAATGTTGACATGGTTGAATATACTTACACACCTAATTCACAGAAGCTTCTTGTACATCAAAACAATCACTTTAAGGAGCTGCTTCTCACCACACTTGGACAATCATGTGCCTGGACTGCTTGCAACTGTCTTCACTTTTCCTGCACCCGGTACAGCATCTCAGCTTAGTTTTCCCTTCTCAGCGTAGATGTTTCATGGACGAATTCATAATGCTACTCATTTGATGACTTGGCTATTCCTCCCACGCACATGGTATGCTCTGTGCCGTGAATGCATCGTCATCGCTTTCTCCCAATGTCTTTACATAAGCATCCATCCATTCACCAAATGATGCGGACAGTGCTGTACTGGCTTGCATCTCTCCCCTGCAGAAGAAATTCATCAAAACGTGCTCTCAAGTTTTGGGAAGGTTCTTCATCTCGAAAAAATCCACCATACACAGCTCACACTGGTCACGAACATTTTCTCTAATCTAGCCACCCGGTGTTACAGACAGACCTACGCAACAGACTCGATTCCCTGGTGCCAGGTCCAGCTTGCAATTCCACCCTCTACCTATCTATCTATCTACCTATCTACATCTGATCCTCGCTCTCTACTCTAGTTGGACGATCCATCGTCTGGGCCCATGTTCCTTCCTACTTCCATTTTAGAGGTGCGGCTGCCCTCCTCTATCTGCAGAGACGTATGCTTCTTTTTCGAACGAGGAAGCTAGACCTCTAGGCCCCGTAGCAAGGTGAGTGGCTGTGGGTGTGTCTGTCTATATGTGTATATATGCGGATGAAAAGGAAGAGTGAGAAGAGGGCATGACGAAAGGGGGTGTGTTATCCAATAGAGGAAGTTATTCAGGTAAGAAACTCAGCTATCTTAACCCTGTGGCAGATAAGACGTAGACGGTAGTTACTCAGTGGCAAAACCATTGACTTACAAAGGAGAAGGGCGGTGGAAGAGGAGGTAGAAGGGTGATAAAGATGGAGTAATCTTCTCAATCCACACAGCATGGTCACTGACGTATGCCCCCTGTGTATGGTTTGAGAAAGGGAGGAAACTTCGATCCAAGCCACCAGGAACCAGGAATGAGGATGTCACAAAAGAGGAATCTATCCTTCTGTTTTTTTTTTCTTTCCGCTCAAAGACCACCTGCTAGAAGAAGGAAACGCCGGCGACAAACACCAACGATGCCGCCACGGCCCATCGTACATCCAGCCCGTTCGCATTGACATTGGCAGCCGCAGCGCCGGTCCTCGCCTCCCCATTCTCCTCAGCATCGGAGCCGCCACTCGAAACCGGCGGCGCCTCCAGCCACGACTCCCTCCGATAGGAACCGGCCACCCCGCCCCCTTGCCCCCCCCAAGCCACATCCGCAACCATGCCCCACAACGCCATCGGATCCGTCGCCATCTCCGCCGTGTACCGAAGCCTGCAGTTGGCCGTCTCGTTCGTAAACTGCGTCGGCGTCATACCCTCGTCCCCTTGGCGGATGTTGTCCAGAAAATTGACCGAAGCTTCGTATGCCCGGATGGGGAAGGGTTCGGGAAGTATGGAAGCCCAGGCCCGACGCTCGGAGGCGCTATCCGCGAATTCTGAGATCAAGTACCCAGAGAAGGTGGTCAGGTAGTCGGCGTCGAGGACGTTGGTGCCCTTTGTGCCGCCGACGGATTGCATGGGCCCGTCTTGCGGGCGGCCGCCCAGGACGATGGTCTTGACGCCGGCTTCGATGGTCATGAATTCGAGGAAGAGGGCGCAGGTGGAGCTGCAGATGCCGTCGGTTAGGAGGATCAGGTCGGAGGCGGCGAAGGGTGGGGTGGTGAAGTCGCTGCGGTCGAGGTAGCCGGTTATGGTTATGCCGTCGCCGTAGGTGCTTGAGGAGGTGAGGTTGGGGTCGGAGAGGTTGTAGCGCAGGATGGAGGTGAAGTTGTCGTTGTTTACAACGCGGCCGTTGTACATATCTGTCCAGGAGGTGAATGGTTCGTTGGAGCTGTCGATATAGCTGTGGTAGTTGAAGGGGCTGGTGTAGCCCAAGCCTGCAATTGCATTAGTGACGTGGTGGAAGATGCAGGTGTGACACGACCAGGTCTTTCCTTACCATTCTGCGAGAAGGACAAACGACTGAACTCCGTGCCTAAAATATTCGCCGACTCGTGTGCTCTATATCTGCCGCCACCAAATGGCTCAATGTCAGGAAAGAACTGCAAGAGGTCAGTGCTTCTCCTCGGTACGGCTTGACAGTTTGGACTTGCCTGGCGAAAGGTGTCGTACCCCAGAAACACTCTGCCGCCACCATTTGATTGTAGATCGATGATAACTTTCTCGGTCCCTCGAGACTTTGCTTCAGCCAAAAATTGCTCTATCAAAGACTGGAACCGTCGAGCATCTGCATCAGTCTCGGTGTCGAACGTCTGCAAAGCCAAAACTGCAAGATTCCTGATGTTGGAATGATCCATGAAATAGCCGTTGATGTAAACCTCGGTGGGACCGGTGATGGATGGTTCAGGATAGCCCACAGGGACATCTGCATCACCGTCATCGAGGATTTCCCGCACCTGCTGTAGACGGGTTGGAACATGAGGAGCAGTCCGCAAGTTGGCTTGTCGTCGGGCTGTTATTGCTGAGGAAGGGTCCACGAAGACTGAATAGAATGAATCACCATCGGATACATCTGACCAAGAGTCCTCCTCCCGCAAAATGGCTCGATTGGTGTAGGTCTGCTCTGTGCCGTTCTCGAAACTAATTGTGGTCGTTGGTCCGGGATACCATCGTGGGCTTCCAAAAAAGCCGAAGTTCTGAGCAGGGAGACGGTAGAATAGAGAATTCCATCTGGCATCAGGGTCATGGTAAGGTACACGACTGGCTTCTTCCTGAAGAAATGCATCAACGTCTTCTCCATCGATCCGAGAGACAGGAGAAGGGCTGGAGGTAGAATTGAAGTCGACTAGAGGTAAAGTCAGCAAACTAATGGGAAAGATCAAAAGATGATTTCAAAGATTTTGAGGATGAATTTGCTGAAGGAATTCAAGTGAAAAACGTGATGCAAGCTTGTTTTGTTATTAGACATGAGCTGCATTGAGACAAGCTCTGCGGCACAGGCAGCCGCTACGAGTGAGCCATATACATGTCATTTGCGGAGACATTCTCAATCACCCACTTAAGCTGGCGGGCCACGAGAAGAGATTCATGAGCCGCAAGGAAAGCACCCCATACCTAAATTGTATATCTTGGATGGATCACCATCTTGAGATAGGGATACCAAGATGATATCTCTTCTCCATCTTACAGCACCAGCATAAGTGGTGCCATCGAAACCAAGATGACCGTCCCTCGCACTGTCGAGCAAGGTGGCAATCTCTGCCTCGAAATCGTATTGATTGGCGTACTCGTTGTCCGAAGCTTTGGCCCGGATGTCGGCTAGGCCGCCTAAAATGTCGACTGGAGGATTGTCGTAACCGTCAGGGGGATTCTTGAGATATGCAAGATTCGATTGAAATTGGACCATCTTTACAATGCCATCAATCGTCCCCAAGGCCGCCAATGGTCTCACCGGCACTGATGTCAAGCACTCGTAAGCGAGCTCTGCAGGCACAGCCACTCTGTAAAAGCTTGAGCTTGATGATGTTTCTACCGCTGCTGCGATTCTTCCACATGGCTGTCCAGTACCAGTAGGAGCTGCCAAGGAGACAGCGCTTGTTTCCGAGGCCAAGGAGTCTCTCGTCGTGGTTGAGAATGATCTTGACGAAACACTTAAGATATCTTCGGGCGACTGGGCATAGATACCAGTCAAGAGTGAAACCGCAGTGAACCAGCCAGCCCAGTTCATCAGTTGAACCATAATTACAAGGCACCAGCAACCAGACGACTTTCGGATAAACTAGCAAATTCAGATCATACCAAGAAGTTGGTAAAGATGTTCAAAAAAAAAGGCAGCATGGCAATGAATAGGACATCATGTACAGCCCGTCCTCGACCCGTACACTGACATGGCTGTGTTGGAGTAATCAACCGAGCATGAAATGGCAAAGGATCAATAACTATGCCGAGCAAGAGGACGTGTGTCTTCCTACTAGTTGTAGAGCCAATCGCGACCAACTCGAAGGGCACCATTTCCGTATTGACAGCTTGGAAAAGGGGAAGTGGCCCTTCGTCAGCAAATCACCAGTTAAGATTGCGGCTGAGCGTGGTTCATGCCTGTGAGACTGCTAATTTGGCTGCAAGGTACGCAAATCGGAGCTCAGAGATATTGGCCGCTACGGTCAAAATAAGGCTAGTAACCAAGTAGTACAGTACCTCTGATTGTCCGGCACTCGGCAGCCAAAGGGTCAGATTTTCTGTTTCAGTAGGTTCCACGTCCACATAAGTACTACCGGGGGGAGCGCATAAACATTGTTAGGCTTGCACTACTAGTTAGTAGTAAGCTTGCTCTAAAAGAGCTGTTTTACAGATTATCTAATGGTCTCTATTTTTCTATTTCTTCAACAATAGAACCTCAAAACATTTGACTAGAGAAGCACAAACAGATTTTGCACTCATATTATCTATCTAAACTTTTTCAAGAGTGATTTTCAGTTGGTCAGCTTTACTATCACACAAATATGTTGATACGGAGGACGCCAAGGAGTCACATCAAAGCTAATCAGACTGTGTGGCGTTGTATCATAACTACTTCGGGCATAAGTATTCGTAATACGGCGCTAGTAGCAGCTAGTTCGGATACAGCGCCACATTGATGTCTAGAAGCTTCTTTGGCCATTGTTCATATCGATTGGCCACAGCAGTACCGCTAACTGTTCAAGGCTTAGATGTCTCGTTCGGAACCTGTTTTGGTGCAAATATACTAGCGCCGTGCTACGAATACTTATGCCCAGTACCGTAGTAGTCGCTACTAACACTAGCCTAACAATATTTGTGGGGACCCCCGTAGTAGGTAGAAGTGAAGAGGTATTCACTATTTGTTGGTGCGAACTGTTCCGTCTGGTACATTTGACGGTGGTTGGTAATAGCTTCAAAGGCTGTTTCTTGACTTCCTCATACTAGTACTGGCCGCTTTACCAAGCTTGGCAATATCTTGTTTCGGATATTGAAGCAATGGTTTTCAAGGAGAGCCGTGTCTTGCGTAATGACTTGCAACGCAGAGAACTGCGCATGCGATACGGTGTAATCATAGAGAGACGGCCGTCTCCGCGGCGGAAGAAATGCAGTGATAGTTTCGTGGAATTTGGGTGCTCTGCCTTGAGTTTACGCAGCAGGAAGCACACGCTGCAATATTAATATTTTCCATGTTTGGTATTAACAGGTAGGATTAGGACCAAAACGATGTCCTAGAAATGCTTGAACTCTCATTCATCATGATGTTGCATGGATTTCCTCAAGATAGCATCTTCATCGTGCCCTCACTTTTTGAGATCCGCTAGTCATCCATTTGCTCACTGAACTCCAGCACCTAACCGCAATCAGTCATCATCAAGGAGAGTTCTTGTCTTGAAATTGCTTACCATAGAAGTCCAACGACCGCCACCAAATGTAACCTCAGACAGCCCCTCATCGACAAAGCCAAATCGTTCATAAAACTTGAGGAGGTTTCCATGTGCCAGCAAGGAAATACGTTCTGCTATCTTTGCAGACTTGATTCTTTCGATGTAAGCCTTTAGCAGAATAGTCCCCAATCCTTTTCTTTGGTGCTCTTTAACAACTGCAAGGGAATGGAGAGCAATCGTTCCACCTTGCTCTTGGTGCCCTTGGGGCTCTACCTCACCCGCTATTGGCAATGAAGATCGTCTCGTCTTCCAGTCTGGCGGGAAGCCCATAGAGGCATCGGTCACTGTTCTTGACGGTGTCCGTGTAGCGCTGATATGAGCAATGAGTCTATGCTTAGGACTCAGGTTTTTGTTGGCCTCAATATCGGCTAACGTGGGGCGTGAAATGAGACCGAGACTGAGTTCTGGACAGCTTGCCAATCGGTAGATAAACTAGGATCAGGTCAGCTCTGTCTACTACGAGTTAAGCCAGCTTGTGCTTGAGCACGTGGACTGCTTGACGTCTAATGAACCAATATGAAAAATGGAATATGGAAACATGCAAAGTAGAGTCAATGATTGTGAGACCTGACACCAAAACAACGAACAAGCCAAAGTAAGATACCTTTTCTTTTGAACACCTTTCATTAGCAGGAAATGCCTCGGCCTCCAATTTTACACAATCATCCACGTTAGAGATCGAGAGCACCTGTGTAAATGGGTGGAGGTGGTCAAACTCTCCAGGAGTTTTCCTGCCACGTTGCATCATTCTACCACCAAGAAGGCCTACTAAGCCTGAGTGATAGGAGGCTTGTTCCGTCTCGTCCTCTTCGTCGTCAATGTCCTCGACGTCTTCGTGATTAATGACATTAAAGTCTTCTCCGTCCAATTTCTGTTCGCCTGGGTTGGTGTCGGCTTCAGACCTGCTATTCTCTCGTTGGGAATGACTCTGTCTAGCTAAAGCATCCTGAAGCATAGCGGATGACGATGAAGGCTGAGGCTATGCTTCGCTAACATATGCGACCACTGGAGGAGGGAGAGGCCTGGTCTGCACTTGCTAGGTGTGTGTTTTGGTGAGCCAAAGTGGCGTCTGGAGCTTTGCAGCGTGGGCAAGCTGACCTTGGACGGATTTTGATAGAAAATGGCGACTGTACACGGAAGCAGTAGTTGTGTCGTAGATCTCAGCTTCAGGCAAAGGAAATTATCGTAGAACACATGTGTGTGGTATGCTCGTGTGCCTTAGATTATTGATGATTACGTGAAAGCGACTTTGGTGTAACAGGGCTTCGGTTAGGGGCTGCAGTAACCCGTTCCCTGGGTTCCCCACCACCCACAGCCACAGGGCCTTGGTCCGGATGTCCAGGTCGAAACAATATCTTTGCCGCTTCGGGGCTGGAGCTGCCCATCGGGCCCCACTACGTGTTATGCCCGAGAACGCTTTAGGTACAAATTTTAGTGGGGTCTCCTTCACTAGACAACGTAAGGTGGCTCGGGGCAGGGCTGATCTGCTGGATCGGCTGGATCTGCAATCTCTCCCGTAGGCTCCCTCAACAGTCGTCATCCGACCACTAGGAATTGTTTACTCTTGTGGTTCTCGAACCTTCATCTGATTAGAAACCATACTTCCTTCCAGTAACACTCTCTCTCTCACTCTCTCTCTCACTGTTTATTTTAACTCGAAAGAAAAGGAGAGCACAGACAGGCCCAAGACTGTCATTCCACATTTTCGTTGTCCCTCATCTGCCGCAGATCTCCTCAAAGAGGAGTCAACAGTCAAATCAAGATGTACGGCTTATATTCGAGCAACACAGCCTTTACTGACAAGCATGTAGGCGGATCTCGATATCTATCGTCTCCTCCAATATCACTCTTGCCACCGATTTAATTCCTCTCGATGTCTTCCCTGACATGACATTCAACGACATCAAAGCCCTTGTCCATGGCGATACCAACATACCCCCTGCCTCACAGCACTTCTATTATAATACTAGAGTTATCACCGACAACTCCCAGACTTTGGAACAGCTGAACATCCACGAAGGTGATATGCTAGGCATGGCTGTCCAAGACTCCTCCGGTATCGCGCGAAGAAGAACCCAACAGGACGCTTCAAGCCAGCAAGCAGCACGACCTCCTCATCCTCAACGGGATGAGGGTCGAGATGTAGAAAGACTAAGACTACACATTGTTGGGGATCCACGAATGCTGGAAGAAGTGCGCCGAGAAGACCCTGAGCTCGCCAACGCGGCAAACAACAAAGACCAGTTCCATGCCCTTTGGGATCGTAAGCAACGCCAGCTTGCTCAAATCCAGGCAGAAAAGGAAGCCGAGCTCGCCCTCCTCAACGCTGACCCCTTCAACCTGGAAGCGCAAGCCAAAATCGAAGAAATGATTAGACAAGAGCGCGTCGCCGAAAACGTCCAGAAAGCGCTAGAAGACAACCCAGAATCCTTCGGCCGGGTAATAATGCTCTACATCGACGTAGTGGTAAACAACGTACCCATCAAAGCCTTCGTCGATTCCGGCGCCCAAACAACCATCATGTCCCCATCTGCCGCGCAAAATTGCGGCATCATGCGCCTCATCGACCGCAGGTACGGCGGTATCGCGCGAGGTGTTGGCACAGCCGAGATCCTGGGCCGCGTCCACAGCGCCGAGATTCAGATCGGATCGTATTCGCTGCAGTCGAGCTTCACGGTCATGGAGGGCAAGGACGTGGATTTACTGCTTGGCCTGGACATGCTGAAGAGACATCAGATGTGCATTGACCTGAAAGAGAATGCCTTGAGGGTTCAGGACGAGAAGATCCCTTTCTTGCCAGAAAACGAGATCCCGAAACAGCTCGAAGAGCACATGTTGGAGGACGAGCCGAAGATCGAAGGCCCCGGTGGGACGAAGGTGGGAGCTAGGACCGGGACGGTGGAACAGCATGGCCAGTGCGTCGTCAAGTCAGGCGGCAACGGCGGGGGCGGCCTCGAGGAACGTGAGTGCAGAGTCAATAGCCAAGATCACAAATCTGGGCTTCACAAGGGAAGAAGCTATCCAGGCATTGCAGCAAGTGGGCGGTGATGTCGAGCTGGCGGTGGGTTTGTTGCTATGAAGGAGGATGAGCCGCAGCACCCAGCATCCACATTTTCCTCGTCATCTTTGTTCGTTTCATCACATGCTGCAGGCCATGCATTTGTCGGCGCTGGATAGTCTCCGTGTCTCTGTCCGAGCATCATTCGGATGGAAATGAAGCCTAGCTTAGGCATAGCGTAACGTAGCTCGTCGCGTTAGATAGCGCTCCTCACAGAGAGGAATGAGGTTAAGAAAAACAGTCGTTGTTCTAACTTAAGGTTGATCGACATGCTTCATCTACGCCGGCGCTTGTTCCCAACCTCTTGTACCAATTCATCTAGGCTTTCGCAGGAGACTTGCGTAGGCCCATCAAGATTGCGTGAAAGTGAGAAACGAGCCGACATTTAAGCGTTAGCACAAAAGGGAACCAACAGGAACCAAGCGAGTGGCAGCCTCCCTAATCCAGGATTTCCATAATACTCTCATTACGCGGGTCGTGACATATCTACGTTTGCGTGCCCAATCAGCCCTCGCTCAAAGCCTTGAGACGCGGCACGGTGGCATTGATAGTGCTGCACTCGGCCTTCCAAGCGCTCCCGTCAGCCAGTACAACCCAATCCATCTTCCCCAGACGACTCTTCGCGGTAGAGTTGTACTGTCTCGTCAGCGCCGACTTGATCTTGTGGCCTAAAGCCCTGGACAGAGAACAATACATATACCAGTCATTGCCCCATGCGTCACCGCAACGGAATGTCGAAGGCTGGGAGCAGCGGATCTGTCTTTCGATAGCCTGGTCTTCTAGCCTTTGAATCTCTTGCGCGAGCCATAGCCGGGTTAGCATGAGCTCGGCAATCTCGATGAGTGGGCGGAGCTGGCGTCGCGCGGCTTTGGTGGTGGTGTGATAGTTTTTTCTTGCGTGAGAGACGATGGCCTGGAGGTATTGGTGGGTGTAAGCAAGATAACGTGCAGATTGCTGGTAGAGGAAGCGATCAGGGTCGTATCGTGCCTCCTGGGCACGGTTCGGCATGGGTACGTGAATGAATGGATCTTTAAGAGCGGATAGGGCTTTGTCGGAGCCAGAAGATGTTGAAGCGCTTGGGAGTAGGCGATGTTCTTCTCCCTTTACCGACGTTTTGTTCAGAGCGGGTATGTGGTTGTTGGATGCTAACGGGCGTAGCGCCGGCTGGATTCTCATGCCAGCGGATATCACCCTCATCACAGATCCAGTACAGGGTAGAATGCCCTTTGCTGGAGTGAACAGACTCCTCCTGAAACAGCTAGGATTTGCGACCGCTCCCTGCAGAGGTCCCTTGGGCAAGTCAAAAACATGGACTAACTGGCAATCTGGATCCTCCGACGAGTCTGTGCTTGACTGGACTTGTAAAAAAGGGTCAATCGCTTCAGCAGGTACCTGCTGGCTACCTCTCTCGGTTGCTACGTCTAGACGATATTCATTTTTGATATCGCGCTCGTGCCGCTGCCACCGCCCAGGTCGTTGCCGTTTCCGCCGCTGCTGCTCATTGGGCACCCGAGTTATAGCAGTTTTCGAGAACGAAGCCGAGATGACGGAGGAGCTACCCGGTAACAGAGACAACCTGTCAGGAACACTTGGTCGACGTGCGCTCGGATATTTGCGAAGCTCCGGGCCAGATGGTGGTTCGAGCACTTTTCCTCCGCTCGCCACAGAGATACTGCGACTTGCGGAACGGACAATATCTTCTAAAGGCGTTATGCCTTTGGTTTCAGGACCAGCCATTCCGTAGGAGAATTTGTTTGAAATTTGTGTAGAGCGAAAAACGGTAGGCCATCGCACAATAGCATACGTAAGGCATTGGATGTTGACGATGGTGTTGCAGGATGTCAGTAGTACTACCTTGGACATCTTTTCTGGATCGCCTTGAAATTCCTGCAGTAACTGTACATACCCGTTATCAGAGCAAATGCCCATGATCATTGCAGAACAATCGGAGTCGTCAACAAAAAACCTGAAATTTGCTATGCATGACAGGTACGTTAGCATCACGATCAGTTAGTGAAGAGGAATGCTACCTTTGATCTTTGTGTCGGCTGACTCCTGCCGGCCCCCAGTGTCAACCAAGTCCCACAGCGGCTGAGACTGGAAAAAACGATCTAGGCAAGAGTTGATGAGCTCTCTCGGTGTGTGATCCAAGCCGTAGACGGTATTCACGAAGCCTGAACGATTCATGAAGACTTGTACCTTGATCGTAGAACTGCGCGGAATGTACGTCCGTTCTGTGATGAATTTGGAGATCTCTTGTTTGAGCCTTTCGGCGGCTGCTTCGCCCCCATGACCCCCTGCTCTGAATAGTTCCGGGAGAAAATGGTTCGCATCTCCATCAATTATCACACAGACATACGGTCTGCGGCTGCAAATGGCTGACCGTACGACAGATGTTGACCTAGCCTGAGACAGAATCGTGCCTTCCATCCCGGTGCCTTTTTCCTGCAAGAGCTTGTTGATGACATTGTTGGCTTCTTCGACTCTACGACGAGTCTTTTCAAGTTTGTCGAATATATCCTGGACCTCCATATCGCGTACTCTTTCTGCCATGACTAAGCCACGGTCCTTGTGCTTGAAGTTCAGCTTGAGCTTTGCCACTTTATCTTCCAGTTTCTGCTTGTCGAAGAGAGCTCGGCTCGTGATTCGCTGTTGCTCCGTGAATGGAACATGAGTCTCTGTTAGCTGCCGCAGAAGCAAGTTGTCGGCAATCGGCTTAAGAGAAGGTCAGTCATTAAACTATTCGGAAAATTTTGCGACACCACCATCGCCTTAGAAACCTGAGGTGGGACTGACGCTCACGGGCACCCTGGTGCCGTTCCCCTGTACTGATTCCATGGTCTGAAAGTGAAAGAAGAGATTTTTGACTTTGGGCAAGGTTGTTCGGATCCTGCACCTAGTAGGCGCAGAAAGGAAAATATCAAGCGAAGGAATAGTATCACCGGACGGTGTTGAGCAAATCAGTCTTTGGATGAGCGATTGTTAGAACGAGCGTAAAACTTGCAGCAAGGTTTTCTCTGTATCTTTCGACTATGATATTCTCGAAGGACAGAGCTATATGAAACAATGATAAAAGATTGTTGGCTACCAGTATGGTGCTGTGGTATCGAAAGCGAATAGAACAGGTGGATTGCTTGTACCATCTTACCATAAACGTCAATAATTCGATCTCAAATACACGGAAAGTGCATTAGAGGCCACCTGGGACCGAAGGACCATTTCATGCGTGGTTTCCGCAAGAAAGCTGATGCAACTTTGTTGCAGCTGGTCTGGAGCCCATCAAATACTAGTAGCTCTCAACCAGGTCATTTGAAATTTAGAGTGGCAGTATATACCAAGTAAAGCTGCCCTAGAGGGACATAATATCTTGGCGCTTGGTTTCTACGAAACACGAGGATATCCATTCCCACCGACAAATTCAAATCCTCCTCAGTAGGGCCATCCGACAATGGCACGCAAGACAAGTATTCATTGTTTTGGTTACACGATAAGCATGGTTACTTGGTGCTTTGTGAGATCAATACACTCATTTAGAGATCGATTATCATGTCTCGTTAATGCCTGCTTCAAGCTACTGTGGAAGTTCCAGGTGTGGTACTGCTGCAATACTTCGTTGTTTGACCTTCAAGTTGCTGAGAAATCACGCTTGGTGCATTGTGAGATGCGGTGCGTACTGCCGCTTGGAAAGGTATTAAGAAAGCTCTACAGCGGCACGAAAGCGGTCATTTCTTTTTCTCCCGCATATCGATGGCAGTAGCAATATTGCCACTCAAGCGATGAAAGATGTTAGATCATCTGCTACCAATGTGCCTTCCTCGCGGAATGTAGGCATCTCCGTTCCCACCGCATCTTTCTCCTCTATCTCCTGTTTTTCATTACCCTCTATTGCAGCATTCTCAATGCCATGATTACTGCAGCATGTTCTTAGGTCGCCCAACCTTGACTGACCAATATCTTTGAGACACTTTATGTTCGACTCGTTAGAGTTCCTTCTATCCATCTAGTTCATATCTTTCACATCTTATCGTACTCAGATCCATCTATGTCATTGGAAAGGGCGTCAGATGCTTCTACGCCGGCGAAATTGGACCAACCGTCCTTCTACCAGCATTGGGAGCGCAGAGCTCGATCTACCACTCAAAGTGACAGTCTCAATGACTCACATCTCTCCTCTGAGAGCTCACATCCATCACCAAAATCGACAGTCGGCCCACCACGAGTTAGAAGGCTTCGTCGGACGTTTGCTGGTCGATCAACATCAGCGCCAGCTGGAACTATCCCGGAGCTTGCGGTTCCCACAATAGCCAGTCTCAGATCCCAACGGCGGTCCGTGACAGCCACTCCTTCGAATGAGAGCTCTAAAAGCAAACTGCGTTACCAGACCTGTTCTGGAGACATATCTCATCAACGACAAGGATCAGCAGTCAGAGCAGGAGCTGATTCCAAAAAGTCTTCTGTGAGCAGCGTCACCCGCCGGCTTCGGAGTCAATTTCGAGCCTCACTTTCAGATTTTCGCATACCTGAATGTCGCATCGATAACAGCGCCAAAGAGTTGCTCCCGCCAAGAAAAGAACGTCCGGGTTACGAATGGACCAAAGCCGGTCCGAAGGATGACTGGGTAGAACGTCTCAATCCCTCGAAGAGTCTTATGCAACGACGTGCCAGATCAACAGAGCCATATCTAGTAACCATAGTGCCACTGAGACCTCCAGTATCTCGCAACGTCAGTGCAAGCGTTTATGAGCGCACTGTGAAGCTGGAAACGTCATTTGCGAAATTACGGCCCGATCCCCCTGTGGAGAAGCACCCGCTTCCTCAGAGCGCCCCCAGGCCTTCAATAGCCGCACGAACCAAGTCAATCATCGCCAATCGGGTACGGTTTGCCCTTAACCGCAAATCCTCGATTCAACGTTCGTCTGGTCAACGACAGTCACCATCGACCCCATTGAAGAGCTCCCTCCTCTCCGCCCGCAATCGCACAGCCGAAGGCCTGCAAAGAGTCGCTTCAATTCTGCACTTCATGGTCAATGAAGTCCCCTCACGCGCCGCTAGTTACCGTTCTCACCAATCGCGCGAGCCAATCCTCCCAACACAGCTCCCGACCCTGCCGTAATTCGCAACCGACGGCGTAGATCAGTAACAGTCTCCTACACCTCATCCTTGAGAAAGATGCGACGCGGCGCGACTCCACTCAACACCCCAGATACCCAGGAAACGTATAGAGTCAAGAGAAGCCCCAGCGCAGAGACAGAGGAGTTCTTCAAAATCGACATCTCCATCAGAGGCGGGACGAGCTACCTACCCAGCGAGGCGAGAAGAGTGCACACTCCACCTCTACCGGGCGACGGACCAGGCCAGAAGCGAACGGGCTTCTTCTTCGACTACGTCGCGCCCTCTGACCCCGCCTTTCCAACAGCAGAGAATCCCACTGGCGAGGGTGCAGCTGAACCGTCATCGCCGAGAAACCGGCCAGCAAGGGGAAGAACCATGGGTGGCAGCGATTGGTTTGAGACCCAGTTGGCTGGGGTGGATGCGGTTGATGACACAGCAAACAGTGGCTCGAGGACAATGGCTGAAGCCCACAAAGGCGCATGAGGAGGAGCTGATTGATATGAATGTTCCGGAGCATTTGCCCAGTAGCCCGCTCTGTCCGAGGCATGAGAAACACAAGAGTGGTGGGAAGGGTGTTTGTTGGATGCATGGGAGGAATATAGACGCAGGTGAAAAGGCGTGACAGTATTCCGCTGTGAAGGAGATGAAACAGAGATAAGAGTGATCTTACAGACCTTATGGTTCTCGTATGACTTCCTTTCTGGATAGTATGGGTAGAAAGAGGTTTGTTGGGTGAGTGGACGCTCTTACTAGATCATCAATAAATAAAAAATGAATAGAACAAAGACAGGAAGACTTCCGTTAGCACGAGCATCCAAACTCATGTCGCTTGAGTTGGCTGTCACAACAGGTTGCAATCTGGACTTGGAAGAGGTCTTGCCAAGACTTCTCCTTTGCGTGGTTTTTAACCGTTCCCTTTCTCCCCCGCCTCCACCTCCTCCTCCTCACTCTCATCCACGCTGACCTCCTGATCAGCAAATAGCATCCAGCCAGTGCCCATTACAGCTTTCTTCCACAGTTTGGTCACCCCATCGCTCCCGCTGGACATCAGCACCTGTCCCGCAGGATCCCAGCACAATGCCCATGTGTCGCGGTGGGCGTTGAGTAGTTCGGACTCGGTTGTTATGGTGTGTGTGAATGGGGAGAGGAAGGCGAAACGAGGCTGATCGCGTGCAAAGTTGGTGGTTGATGGTGTGGTTGCTGTTGATGACGGATACAGCGTTGAAGATGTGGATGTTGTGGCCGAGCGGCCGACAATGGCGGATGTGAGACTGGATTGCGGGCCTGGGCGGTGGTGGAGAATGGGAGCTGTTGATGTTTGCCGGGTATTGTTTGACGAGAGAGTCGATACCGCCTCATTGTCGGTTTTATTGGTTGTAGTATTGGAGCCGGCTGTAGTGTCTAGTTTGTATATTCGGACTCCGCCGTCGCGGCAGGCTGTTGCAAAAAGATCGAAACCACGCACGTTGAAAGGGGCCCATTGAGCGTCGCGGATCAATGCCGGGTGTGTTGGGAAGCGGGCAGCTTCGAAAAATGTTGTGCGATCCTGTCCGGCTGAAGGAATTGCGCCGGGTGTGCCGTTGAAATCGTACTGGACAATTGTGCTCCGGTAAATTTTAACCGTGTCCATTGCTGTTGCGATCAGTGAAAGCATTTTCTTGTCATCTGTCAAGCTATTCATATAGGGCGTGCTGACGGGATTCTGGTCAAAGCGGACCTTGAACGATGTCTCGGCGCCGCGGTCTGGAGGATTTGGGGCGCAGACATTCCATTGATCGAGCAAGGACCAGTCCTTAAAACTGTCGAAGCTGGTAGGCTCGTAGATCGAAAGCAGTCCTGAGCGATCGATCAAAGCAAGGTACGTGTAGACTGAGTCGAGTTTCTTGATATCGAGTGAAACGAAGGGAACTTTTGTGTTGGAGGGAATGTTAGAGATGGGCCGGAAGCGACGACCACTATTAGGTGGCTGCGAAGGATCTTCAGTCCATAGTTTGAATTTCAGGTCATTGCCAATCGAAGCAATGTTGGAGCCTGTGGTTGGATGCAGCCATTTTGCCTGACCACCTAGTCAGCTTCAGCTCCTCATGGAATCCAAGCCTATTCGCACGTCTCTTATATCAGCATCATGTGCCGTCCATGTGTCCGTCAATATTTGCTCTCCGCTTTCCGCGTCCCTCTCCCATACTTTGATGCGATGATCTGCAGATGCTGTAAGGATGCGCGTGCTGGTGAAGTTGACATGGAGTACAGTGACGCGATCTGCATGAGCAGGGTCGAACTCATCAGCTTGGGTCATGGTCAGGGGATGCCATAGGTAGCAGAGGCTATTGTTACATACATGGCAGGATAGTAGTACTAGTAGTAACCTGCCATGGACTTCGAATGTTAGGACGCAGCGAGGGTATCTACCAGGGTGAATTACTGCTATAGTTAACCACTAACTTAACCAGCTTACTCTGCGGTCTAAACTCAGTTAAGCTTCTGCGCCAATGACACCTTTCTCAATCCTTGTACCTTTTCATGGCCCTTTGCACATTGCACGAGTTCGATGTAGTTTGTGATAGGAGCACAATGCCATTACAGCTCGGTCTGCGATGACAGCAGCGCTGTCAAGGTCAGAGGCATGGAGCCTTCTTGCCCTGAGCTCTACATGTTTGGGCATCTTTGTCAACACGTTCCAAGGTGATGGAGCGCCTCTCATTGTATCTCTGGCTTTTTCGGGTCTGGCATATTCTGTAACATATGCTCTGATACGATGGCTGGGCCCCACCTTCATCGGTGCTGGTCTCAAAGGCAAGGACATGAGCAAGGCAATCAAGAAGGAAATGTACTGTTGTGTAGCATCCATTGCTCCATTTCAACTCCACTGACTGCGTAAACACAGTCCTGAGACTATGGGAGCCGTTGCAGCTTCGATATACCTGCTTATCCTCATAGCCTTCATTCCCTTTCCTTTCTACAAGGATATAGTGGCTGCGACCTCAGGTGGTGGCAATCGTGATGTTGTCGTGCAAGCTGCAGAAGTGGAAACAGGCCGCTTCTTACATCGGTTCCCACATTCGAAGGTACGCAAGTCACCACTCAAAACGATCCTGCAATGATTCAAGACTCATCTTCTCCCAGCTTTCAGCATACTTGTCGGCTCTCCTGACCCTGCATACGACAACCCTACTAGGGATTACGGACGATATTCTCGACCTGCGTTGGCGCCATAAAGTGCTTATCCCTGCGCTCGCTTCCTTACCCCTACTTCTTGTATACTACGTTGACTTTGGGGTCACCTCGATCGTCATTCCGAGGTTTCTTCTTCCCTACATACCAAACACGTCTATTACCAATTCGGAGTCTGGCCTGATTCATCTAGGTCCTTTGTACTATGTCTATATGGCGGCACTGTCTATTTTCGCACCTAACAGCATTAACATTCTGGCGGGCATCAACGGGATTGAGGTCGGCCAATCAATTGTGGTCGCCGTCTTGCTGATGCTCAACTCTTCGTTGTACTTGATTCCCTTCCCAGGCAACCCGATTCTCGGCTCCTCTCCGCCTCCACGGGAATATCCTCACCCAGCAACGGATTCTCATCTGTTTACACTCTACCTGCTTCTTCCCTTCCTTGGTGTCAGCATAGCTCTATACACACATAACCGCTATCCAGCTCGCGTCTTCGTTGGGGACACCTACTGCTACTTTGCTGGAATGGTATTTGCAGTTGTGGGCATTCTCGGTCACTTCAGCAAAACGCTACTTCTGCTTCTTATTCCACAAATCATCAATTTCCTTTACTCATCGCCACAGCTCTTCAAACTCATTCCTTGTCCACGGCATCGGTTGCCGAAATACAACGCTCGTACCAATCTGCTTGAGCCGAGTGTCACCGAATATCCGGCTGAAAGACCCCCTTCGAACTTTCAGACGATGACGTTGACCGCGCTGGCCAAGATGCATTTGTTAGAGATACAGATTGATCCAGAGACGAACAACATTCGATCTTCAACCAATTTCACCATATTGAACCTGTGGCTGGTTTGGTTTGGGCCTATGCGGGAGGATAAACTGGCACTTGGCCTGCTATCCATGCAAACAGCGTTTGGCCTGCTCGGCTTATTCGTGAGGCACAGAATGGCACTTTGGATATTTAGTTTAGACAACAGAGGATTTCCAGGCTGGGGAGAGGGGAGTGCCGTGTAACGCGTTCCATCCTTGGCTCTTGAGGTTCCGCTGAAGGATAACAATGTATGAAATATTCTTAATACTCTTTGACGCCGCACAGGTCTTTAATGGCTTCACTGCTTGTTCTGGTCAGGCTTTAACGGGCAACATAGTGACTGTCAGGAAGAACAACCGCTGACTGCCTAGTTGCAGTCTATTTCCAGCCTGGCCCTTTCCTGAGATATCGTGTTGATTATCGATTCTGGACCCCCTTGTCACAAATTCGTTCAGCATGAAAGAGTTCTCCAAGTAGAATTGCTACTAGATATGGAGGCGAATCGGCTCTACTCGGGCCATCATCTACATAGTCTGAGACGTTGACAGAAACTCTATGTTAGGAAACGATTCCACCTGGATGTTGGTTTGTGAGAACCCTAGCTGCTGATTGGTAGGCTTAGTCATCACCTCTTTCGGACTTGAAACACGTCACACACATACACTCACATACAGATATGAAGGAGCACAACATTCGAGTTTTTGTTACACGAAAGTTTTGCCACGTCTTCTGCAAACACGGCATGTGGGATCTTGCTGGGATGTATGGCGGCTCAGGGACTCAATCCGCAAGAGCATTTCTTTTGATAAGTCCTCCGATCAAGACGGGACAGGTTGGCATCTCACATAGGATGCTTTCTGAAGCTAGAATTGATAACTGACATTTATTACGGAGTCGTGCCCCAAAATTAGTAGAGTAGGCTAAGAGATAGTCTGCCAAGATAAAGAGATAAATTTGTCTTGACACTGATTCTTGTAGTGTCATTCCAAACATTCCAGGGGCTGAAACCTACATAGTATAGCCAGCCTAAAACGTCATACGAAGTGTCACCCCCTAAGCAACCACTATTCTAGGGCACATTGACCCCAAAATCAGACAGCTGGGGGCCAAGAGTCATCCAAAGCCCCACTGCTTAAGGCGTCAGCAGAACTAAAGCTTATGGGGAAGGAGGTGTCAAATGACGTAAGTTGCCAAGACTGTACCTCTTGACACATCTATCCTTGGCCGCGGCGTATTTTAAGTGCTTTGGGGGCACGTCTCCGTAGTTAATGATACTACGTAAATGTTCAATGATGCTATGTGGCTAGGATCCGTTGTTGCAAAATGCGGGACACCTACGCGCTGCCAAACAGAGCCTAGCGATTGGCGGCATCAAAAGCAATTTGATATTGACTGTGTATAAAGTGGGGTCTCGGGACGAAAGGGGTTCATTATTCGTGGGTCCTTGTCACGGGACAGTATCAATATGCTCTTGGTACCAGTTGTCGCCTTCGCGGGGCGATGCCCCTAAATGTTCGGGTTTATGAGCTTCCAAATTTAGGGTGGGGGCCAACCCTCCATTCACTACTTTCTCCTCTCGCAATCTTTCTTTCTGACCGCATCACGTACATTCTGTGGGGGATCTTCAACCCGAGTTACATGGCACCTGCACCCTTATTCCCCTTTTCAAAAGGCAGTATGCTCTTTTGAGTGACGGGCCTTTTAGTACCGTGGATCTGCTACACGCTTTCTCTCTCTCCCCCCCCACCAATCCATTTGGTACCGGCAAGATGTCCTCTACTGTGGATCTCCTTTACATATTCCTGCTTTATCTCCCTGTTTCTCGTAGCCCTCATCCGCTCACTCGTGGCTCATTAGTAGAGAGCTTGGAAATCTCCAGGAGGTGATCCTACTGATCTCAATTCTATAAGGAAAGGATCATCGAAGACCGAGCGAGGGGCGGCTGCAGTGAAAGCGGGTGATTCAACAGAAGATGGGAGTGTGCTGTATCACTACATGCTGTAGCTGAGACCACATCTTTTTTTTGCTATTATTGAGCTGAGTAACCAATAGGAAAAGAACCTTGACCTCAGGGTACCCACCTCTTCTTGACTTTACGTATTAACTAGTTAGTGTTACAAAATTGCCCATGACCCAAAAACAGCCACATCTCCCTCAACCTCCCCAATGATTCGCGAAATCAAACGCATCAGCATCACAGCATGGCTTACCCCTTTTTGCCCAAGTCAATCTTAGCAATATCTTCATCCAGCGCCAGCAAGCCCAAAGCCCAATGTGTCCTCGCATAGGGATTCGTGCCAATCGTCTTCCGATCATGGGTGATAGCCGCCGGCTCATCTTCCTCTTCTCCTACCTTGCTCGGCTCCCCACTACCCCCCTGATTCGACTTACTGCTCCTGCTCCTACGCGGCGGCCCATCCTTACCCGCAGCAACGAAGTATTGTTCCTCTCTCTCCCTCCCCGCCCTCTCCGCTTCCTCCGCTTCTTGGGCCTCTCTGTTCTTCTCTTTCTGCTGCGCCGCAGCCGCCTTGGCCTGATTCTTCAACACTTTATCCCCTACTCTGTCATCCTTACTCCTCCAATCCATTGTTGGTCTGTATGGTGGGCCCCTCCCAGCTTTACCCATAGCTTCCCACGAATATTCACACCCAGCCGCGACGGCAGCAGCGGTCTGCCATCCGCTCAACCTTGCAATCTCCTTCAGCTTGTTGATCGTCCAGCCTCGTTGCGCAGGGTCTTGGAATTGTATAGCAGCGAAGAAGAGTGAAAAAGTGCTCTCGATCAAGGCGCCTCCGAGACTAGGATTGAGAGATCCAGTCTGAAGGTTGTATTCTTGCGGGTAGTAGAGCCCCGCGCAGATCTTGCCGATTCGCTGGGCATAGGACGTTGTCTGCGCGGCGACGACTTGAGCCGCGATCATGGCTGCTGGGGGCATGTGAGGATGCAAGCGGTGAAGTAGAATGCGGCCGGCATAGTACAAGGCCCAGATGCAGGCGATGGTGTGGGTGCGATATTGCAGCGCAGGGCCAAACGGGGTGCTGATGGGTGGGGCAACGTCTGGGGGGAGAGGCTGATACTCAGGTGGTAGGGAGGTCTCGAACAGGTCGAGGGCGTGAAATATGGCAGTATGCTCTGCCAGGGCTGCGAGGGTCTCAGCTTCCAGGTTTTCGGTTTCGGTGGTTTGTGGAGGGGATGGGGCGAACGTAGGTGAGGTGAAGGCTGCGTCGTTGAGGTTTGCCGAAAGTGTTGCCCAAGCGGAGTGCATTGGCAGGGGGTTTTCAGGTGTTGGCATGTATCCCACCGGTGGCCCCTGGCCAGCTGAGGGGGGTCCAGGGGGTGTCTTTGTGTCAGCGCTCGGCTGTGCTTTTTGAGAATTCTGCGCTGCCATTGACCTTCGCTTCCGTACCTGGTCTTTGCCCCCAAAGTCTGCGAGTCTCGCCAACACAAGGCACAAATGGTCCATAGTAGCGTAGATAAGATCGAGCTGACCCAGCTGTCCTCGAGGTGGGCAGAATACCCAATGGTCGTACCGCATCAACAATCTGTTCCCACTGAGCATGCTTTGAAATATATCCTGTTTGCAGTACCACCAGTAAAGATCGGCCTGCATTTTGTAAAGCTCTACGTCTTTAGCGGTAAAGTCCGAATTCTCGTGCGTTGGCTGACTGATATTCGTCTGATATTGATAATCATACTTTACTTCATACCCTGTGAAAGTGCTGATGAGACCTTCATCAATTTCCCAATCCCTGTCTGAAAGTAGACTCTCTGGTATTCCACTATATTGAATGTAATCTGGCCGGTTCTCCAGGTCTAGCTGTGCAAGTCGGCATTTGGCCTGCGCCCGTAATGCTCTGATCTTGCGTGTCTTTCCGGCGAAGTCAATCTCCATTGCCAAGACTCGTGCTCCGGACAAGTGAATATTCCATTTTGAGGTCTCTGCACTCATCACTTCATAGAAACCGAGTAGAAGATTGGCAGCTAGGGTTGTAACTTCGTTGCGCCGCTTGGGGAGCCCGATAAGACGCCCGAGTCGGCGCAGAGCATAGGTGAAATGCTTTATAGACGGCCCAGGGGAAGTTTGCTGCAACTTCGAGATATGTAATGCTGCCAAAGCTAGCATGGCATGCATGAGCGGTGGATGATCCAGGGCAAGGCTAGGCAAAGTGTAGGTCCATAGAGGCTGTCGGGATCCAGATATTGCTGCGAGGCCGGCGGGCAAAGGTAACTGAGAGGAAGAACGCTCAAAAATCGTGATACTAGGACCTGTAGACGAAACGAAATGACAGAATATACGAGCAGCTTTTTCGTCCGCTTGGGGTAAAGCAGAATGGGAAGGTCTATAGGAAGCTAAGACGTTTTTGTCATTCAAGAATGTGGTAAAACTTCTTGTACCTCGCCGCTCGTCACGCGATGCATGCATGACAAGCATTTTGCTTAGGTCCTGCTTGGACTGCTCTGATGGTTGAACGCTGCTCTCTTCATGTTCCATCTCTACATCCCATGGGTCGTCTTCATCTTCTTCCTCTTCGAAGTTAGCCTGGGAAGCAGATACAGGTGCTGGCGACTGAATGATCGTGGGTATGCTCAAGTTGAAAGAGGGACGCTGAATAAATCCCTGAACACTATATCTCGTGGGATCATGTTCTGACTTTCGGTCAGCAAGGTTGCTTGATATGAGTCAACGACCACGACTAAAATGAAAGTCTTTGACTTTAAGGATAGAGACGTTGACTTACCCTGTGAAGCTGTTCCCGATGTGGTGTCATGGATGTGTGCTCTCACCTCTGAGTAGTAGGGATGGTCGGGAGGAAGTGGTTGACCCTCGAAGGCGGCGATCTGCGTGGGTGTAAGCGGAGTAACACCTCCTGTGGTGACATTGAATTGAGATGCAGGTGCGTGGTTCGGCAGTCCCACAGGAGGCAAGTTTTCACCGTGCACTTGATAATTTAAGGCCGATGATGCTGGATCGAATGATGCTAGAGTATTTGACCGTATTAGAGGAGATGCGTTCCGCATCTGTTCAGCGGTAAGAGCGCTAGTCCAGCGCTGGTATCCAGGATCTGGCCCTGAAATAGAACCATGGCGCTGTGCAAGTCCATATGGAAGATGACCCCTACCATCTGCATAGACCCAGTACGAGCCCGGTTGCGATGGGCCTGGGTTGCTTGCATGTACAGGAGCAGTGGAAGGACCTGCGAGGAGACTCTCGCTTGCCTGAGAAGCTGTGAAAGGACTACCGGAGGGGGCGTAAGAGGAATTCCTCGGTGCATAATACTCCTGCTGCTGTATCTGCAGTGGTATTGGTGCGATTGGGCGTAGACTCTGGCTCGACGCACCGGGAGGAAGCGGCGGGCAGGATGAAGAATACTCGTCAAAGGAAGTAATTTGTGACAGAAGTGAAGGTCTGCCATTGAAAGTATCATTCGTGTGCCCCATCGCAGACGAAGTCTGTCTGAAGACTATGCGTGGGTGGTAGCCTTCACAATATCTCTTTGATTTGGTACAGTTGGAACATATTGGTCTGTGGCATATGGTTAGCTGAAATCAGATGGCTCATCGAGCGAAGTACTTTTCCTCTCCACACTTGATCCGTCTCTTCCTGCAGGTCAGACACCCAGTTTTGGTACGCTTTCGCGGACCTCTTTGTGTAGCCTGGGAAGCGTGTTGGGCATTGGGATGTGTGTCTTCAAATCTCGATCTGTTGGAGTCTTCTTCGTGCTGACGAGGTGGTGATTGAGTCATCGTGACAAGATATTTATCGAAAGGCAAGGTAGTGTATACAGCTTCTGGACAAGACCTGGACAGTTGCTATGATCTAACGCCCATATGCTCTGTGGCTGAAATAAAGAAAGCTAGAAGAGACGTGTTCGTGCTGGACGACAGTGGGCCAGGTGTGGCAGCTTTTACACTTTCTCAACGGCTCTCTTGTCTGCAAAATGTCCGACCGATTCGCCTGGTGTTGGAAAGGGGCGGGCCGGCAGCAAGGCGTACTCGCGCAACCGAAGAGGAGCTTTGTTGGAGCAACCTTGGTCATCAAAAGTCTGCTTGGACAGTAAACCAGTATCGGCGAGACCAAACTTGGTACAAATTTCGAAATGAGATGCTATGAATAGCTCTAGTACGCATTGTCATGATAGCACAACCGGGGCCCAGCAATTTTGGAGGGACAATGATATCTCGACGGATAGGGGAATCGCCAGGAATAGAAGCCGTTATTGACGAGATGACAGATGTTCGTGGTAGGTGTATCCCTCGCATTTACATGAAGTCTGGGGTCATTCGAGCTTGGCACAGAAACCCCAGTACATGCGGTGATCAACATCGAATCGAGACAATTAGACCACCTCGTGGCTTGTGCACCTCCAAGGAGGTAGAGCAAGAGCCCAAATGATTCTTGCACACGATGCGTCGTGGAACGCGAGAATATGGACAGCCAATAAAGGGAGGCGATGTAGGTAAAGACGGGAGCTTTAAGAGAACAGCCCCCATCGCATCCTTGTTGTGAGCATTGATGAAGACGTCTAGTAACCAATTATAGTTAAAATGATAGAGGTGTCAGACAACTGAACGGAGAAGTAAAAGGGTTTATGAGATTGACGGCGGGGGTGGTATGCACACGCGCACGGACGATGTAGTTAGATTTTAGGACAGACCAGACAGAATCGAGCCTAAGTTAACTCAAGTAGTTAAATTTAAGCAGGTTAGGACAGAGAGATAAGAGGGGTCGTCGATCCACGTCTCGCAAGGCATAGTGAATCAGTGATGCGTTGTTGGTGTCCTCGAAGCACACTCATTATCAATTCCATGATGTCTGGAGATAATGCAGTCTGCGTCTGCTGCAATCCGGAAGGAAGTAGCAGTGCGCTATCTTGGGTGCACGCAAATAATGCCTTGCAATCAGGTTGCTATATACAGGACTGCCTTGGCTTTGTGATTGGAGCCTTGTATGTTGAAAGCTTACTGGAGTAGTTGAAGGAATTGACCTCATGTCAATAGGGGACAAGGTACAAAAGAGTGCTACTGCAGATCGTCGGGATCAAAGCTCCCAAGTAAAGTTTGGCTCCTGCAGGCTGCGGCCTGCACATCTTGGAAGAACCCGGCTTATGCAAGCTAAGCTAGTAGCCACGAGAGTCCAGAAATAGTAACCCACCAATAGTAGAAGGTTGAACTTAGAGATGCAGTATATTAATTAGGCGTCACAGCAAGCTGGGTCCAAATGTGTACGTAAGTACGTACAAGCTGTACGAATACGACAAGGCCTTCCAAAAGGCTGGATCTCCTAATAATGCTGTGCCTAGGGGTTACCATCAAGTAGTCCCTGTTCCTGAGCCATGTGAGTGTCAAGTCAATACGTAGTAACGACTTGAAGGCGTGAGTCTACCCCGGGTCGCGGAGTAGTCATCTGGCTGGCTATATTTGGCCTGGACAGGAGGTCATAATGATATCTGCAAGTGCCAATTGAGAGCTATTAAGAGGTCTTGCTGACTAGCATCTAGACCGGCCGCACACCAAACCCCAAGCAGGCAGGTCAATGCAAGGGTATCTTAGGCATGCTGCAGTCATCGGGCTGGCCCTTTCTACTGAGCAACCGACAACCAACATGAGCTCAATCATGCGGTCAATGCCGAGGTGTTCAGGCGAAGCTAACCGTCATGGGGGTCTAAAAGGAGGTCCTAGTCATGCATCGTTGATGTCGTTGGCAATCAATCTAATATCTGATGCATGTAAACCGGTGAGATATTGGGGATGATTCGGCTTGATATCCTTGTCAAGTTTGGAAAGAACGTGGTTGCATGTTTGAGCCGCAGGAATGCGGTGTGCACGTGTGCACGTAAGCGAATGCATGATGTCGTGTCAGTCGGTCTAGTGCCTGATATCATACAGCTTTAGCCAAGTCTGGCATGTCTAATACTACCCGTAAACAATACTACGTACTTCTGCCTGTGTACAGGTAAGGGGGAGTGTAGTCAGGAGCATTTCAGGGCATTAATGGCTGCTCGCTTGCAGACAACGCAGAAAGGGGCTTCCGGCAGAACTTCGGAATGTTAGTTACGCTAGCACCTACGTAGTTAGAGCACAGCAGAAATTGCGCACTCCTCAAGACTTTCTCATGAACTGTTGATACTCAAAGGCCCACCATGTTCGCCGTTCCTGGTTGGGCAGTTTCTGCGGAGCCGCTGGTGTCTCTAAGACCGACTGTTATTGCCTCTAAAGCTTCGGCTACGGAACCTGCTCTCCCTACCTCAAGGTTGAAGTCCAAGAAGCGAAGACGAAATGAGAATGGGAGCCCGTCCAAATCATATCTCACAAGTGAAGATCTCCACAGGCTATGGAAAAAAGAGTTTGGTGAAGGCTCAGGGGTGGAGCAGAAACCTGCAAAAAGCAGGAAAAGAAAGAAGCAAAAAATACAACCCGGCTCCACTTTGACACATGCAGATCATACAGTGCTGGAAGTGCACAATGAAAGTGGTAGCGATATACATGCTGAGGACGGTCTAGACTTCAAAGATGACTTGAAGAAGCCCGTCGAGCAGAAATCAGGACTGAAATGCAAGAATGGAAAAAGGAAGATTTCAATCTCGGATGAACGTGTCGACAAGCTCCTAGAGAAGCGTGGTACGGGTGACAGCGCCTATCTCTCTCAGCAACCAGGGCAAGGCAAAGCCACATTGAACTCCCAATCGACGTCGCAGAACAGAAAGGTCCGGAAGTCATTGCAGAAGCTCGAAGAACTGCCGTCACCAACCTCAATGATGATGACACCTTTGCAGGCAAGAATGCGTGTTAAACTTACCTCGGCTCGTTTTCGTCACCTCAATGAAACCCTATATACGTCGCCTTCTAGTGCCTCGCTTGATTTATTCACAGCATCGCCTGATCTCTTTGCCGAATATCACGCAGGCTTCGCTCAGCAGGTAAGAAGCTCGTGGCCACAGAATCCTGTCGATGGCTACATTGGTGACATCGACTCTCGAGCAAAGGTTGATTTTAGGATGCAAAGCCAGCCCTCTACCGTGAAGGTGCTGCCTCTTCCACGGAGAAAGACTGGTAGCTGCACGATTGCAGATCTTGGTTGTGGCGATGCTTCCTTGGCTCGGGCATTTCGGTCGACCTCAAAAGCTTTGGGCCTCAGGTTTCATAATTTCGATTTACATGCACCGAATTCCACTGTTACTAAGGCCGATATTGCCGATCTCCCTCTTCGAGATGGTGAGGCAGATGTAGCAGTATTTTGTCTGAGCTTGATGGGCACCAACTGGATAAGCTTTATCGAAGAGGCCTGGAGGGTGCTCAGAGGTGATGGCAAAGGCGAACTTTGGGTTGCTGAGGTCAAGTCTAGATTTGGACGTATTACCAAGGACAGGGTTGTGGAGAACAGTGTTGGCAAGAAGCGAAAGCTTCAAAAGCCGAGAGCACAACAGGAAAGACGTGCAGGTCTTGCAGAAGACGATGCAGATGACCTCTTAGAGGACGACGACCACGCGACGATAGATGAGACAGATATCACTGCCTTCAGGGATGTTGTGCAGCGTCGTGGCTTTGTTCTGCAGCCTGACTCTGTGAACAAGCACAACAAGATGTTCGTTAGTATGATCTTCACCAAGACTGGCATACCAGTTGCTGGTAAACATCAAGGTTCAAAGTGGAACGGCCATGAATATGAAAAGTCAGCCGGGTGGATGACTGGTCGCAAGAAATTCATTGACCAAAGCATTGATGATGAGGGATACCTCTCTCCCAAGGAAGAGTCAAGAGTACTCAAGCCTTGCGTGTACAAGAAAAGATAAGTTAAAGCTTTCAACGAATTTTCTTGTACTCACGTGTCACTTTTGGTGTGTTTCTTTGTCCTTGCCATGTTGGGTTGTCTCACCTGTTTGCTCGTCTTTGATTTTCGAGCCCTTCCTACCAGTACAGGGACCAGTATCACACTAAAGAGAACATGTGGGTCGATCATTCTCTACCGAATGGATGTCCAAAAAAGAAGAAAATTGGGAATACTGGGATTTGCACCCAGGTCTCCTGAGGGCTAATGCTATAAACCACAATCAGAAATGCTAACTACTGCACCATATTCCCGATAGTTATTACATGACCGCGAATTTAAAAGATAATGTCTACGTGCCATTAGATATTCTCACCTTCAAATCACCATAGTACTTGGTCTCTTTCAATCTTCTGCTACTGGGATAAGGCGTTCCGAGGACTTTGACGCCATTGACAATGTCTTGCGTATTTAGTTCCTCGTACGGTTCGATTGCTTGCTACCTTTTGACTTGCTGAAGGATACTGTTTTCATCTGGCAGGGAGAGAAGACCTACCAAAGCTAAGTAAGTACTGCTACCAGGGAAGTATACGACCTCCAGCGGGAGTATTTTTGCAGAGCTGTATCCGTCTGCCATGCACTACCGTCGGGCTATACGCTTTTGTGTGGCTTAAAATTCGCGTATCATTACGTTGCCCCATGCAAGCTACGTTGATATAGCTGCATGGTAGGGAGGCATACCCAGAGCACTAAGCCTACGACTCGTCTATTCGAAGCAGGCTTAGTAGTATTGCATGTGGTGTTTTTGAACATATATATAAAAAACCCTGGCATGTGTTACTGCATTGTTGGCGTCAGAGTCGAAGACATATAGACAGCGCAGCAGAGTCCCTTCGCTCTCGTTTTCAAACCAAATATTCCCAAGAAACGATCATGGTTTCACATAACTTCCTTGCACTGATGCCAACTTACCTTATCCATACCCTTCTCCCATCCACTCTAACATCGCCGTCCAAGGCATACAAGATCCACCATGACGCTTTCACCACATCCGCATTTCAAGCTCGCCTCACACTCGCCAGAAAGACCTCCTCTGCCACTGCCGCCTGTACTTCGGCATCCTCAATCTCAGTCATATTCCGACCTTCAGACTATCCCCCTAGGGTTCAAGACTGCATTTTGATTGAAACTTCTGCATGTACCTCAATGACTCTGTCCGCTCAGAACGTGTACGCGTTATGAGACAGTGGCTCTTGTCTTCAGACGAACGTGCGGTGGTGAAGAGCGGCTGTGACCCGGCAGAAGGGTAGAGCGGAATGTATCGCGAAATACCTTCAGTCCGGCGAACGCATGCTATGGATGCGAATTGTGAAGAGTGCTTGAATGAGGATGTGAGATTCCCTGAAGCAAGGCTGCTTTTGTCTGTCTGCCGATGAACGTTGGTTGCTTGCTCCTCTTCGGGAAATGCTTCAATGCCCGAACTCGGACGACTTGGACGGGGTCGCCATGTTGCTCAGACGAAGCACGAGTTTGCACAGACTGGGTTGCTAGGTCATTCTCGATTCTAAGAGTTTGCTCGTCTCCTTCGCAATCAACGTCGTTGTAGTCAGTACCACCGAATCCAAGAATTCGAGCACGAACCATGTTACGCTATCCAGCCCACGGAGTTCACTCTTATCTATTTAAGAAATCCACCAGCATCAGCGGCCCTCGCGCACTCACTTTGAGTGACAACAGCGTCCTGGCTAGCAGAGTTTTGTCATCAACAGAGATGGGAAAGAGATTCATTCAGTGTATCCATCAAACCAAATAAAGCATATCATGACCCCGTTTGATTTGCTTATCTGATCCCAGGGGTCTATTTGACTTGGTTTGTTTCATTTGTCAAATGGAGTCAAATGGAGTCAAATGGAGTCAAATTTCAGTAAACAATGTTTTGCTAGGATGACTGTCAAGGATTTTATCTCACAACAAGTGTCCGCCAAGACTTTTTTTATCTCTTCAAAAATAATCTTAAATATTTCAAAATGAAAATTTTTTCCGTCAAGACTTCCAATGGACTAGTAATTTATCAAATTGCAACGTCTTGATGATTGGAGAAAGCACGGACTTGTTTTATTTGACTCAATTTGATACAAATGGACACACTGGAATCATTCATTCACCAACTGCATAATTCCTAAGTCTTATCCTCCCAGCTTCCTCCATCCCAGTTCGCCATTCATCCTCGGCAATGTACACTAGATCTCTCGGACAATTGCCAACCCGGGGTCCGCGCCGGCTTGCGGTTCCTCTTGGGACAGGCGGGATGTGGCGAGAGATACTCCAAGAGGGAGAAGAAGCGTAGGAGGGTTTCCAGATGTAGAGCAATTGGGCGGATGGCGTCAGTATTCGATTGTGGAAGCTGGTTTGGATACGCGGTTTGGAGATAGGTCACCCATTGCGAGATCAATGGTGTAGACTCCAAACGAGTAGTATCAGAGTAGGACTCAATTGTTCTAACTTATCTATCTTTACAATACTTATTTAGTTCAGAACACCAATTAGCATCTTGGTTGACAACAGGGTACTGTCACATCCTGCCCACAAGGGCATGGTATCCGCCGGCATCACCGCAATTGGAATATCCTAATTAGGCAATTCCGCACCTTGCCACTAGCAACAAGATGTGTTGAATAGTATACACAGATACTAAGCTAACCACAATCTACGAAACGGATTGGCTTGATGAGCACAAGGGCTGTCCAACCTTGATGGAGTCTTCCATATGGGAGGGAAGCAGGGGAGGAAGATGACAATTGAGTTGGCTGTAAATACGTTTCGTTCTCGCAACCTTGGTTGTTGAGGCTATGGTGGATGCAAGTTTTTTGGTTTCGAGCAGTCGATCAATATTTGGACGTGTTGGATTCACCGACGACGCGAGAGAGAAAGACAAAGAATACATCTCCAAAGTGTTCTTGTGGCTACCAATGCTAAAGGTTAGAAGAGGCTTCGTGTTGGTGTAAGGCTTTTGCGCCTTTCAATGTTGAGCCCTGCCTCACGACTTACTTGTTACTGGGCATATCGACTTAGAAAATTTGTCGTTGAAGTACTTTAAAGCCTCTTGACTGAGTCTATAGCAGCATCATCGAGGCTGGATGAATGTTAAAACCATCGTCAGCTGCCAACATCTTCATGCACAGATATCAACTCCCAGAACGTGTACTTGACAAATGACACATCAATGGCTACCAGCATCCAGCTAAATTCGCCTCTTACCGGCCAGCACCTCCAGCGGCAAGCCATTGGCACGTCTTCCTTCTCACGCTGTCCAATTCTCTCGTCGTTTGGCAGGCTGTTGGGATGTCGTCTAGATTGCTAGAAGCATGGACAAGACCACCATCACGCCTTGGTCTTGAAAATTCCAGGCGTTGAGAGAATAGAAATGCCAAGTCCCATGTCTCGGGCTGAGCATTAGAGGACTCGTTAAAGGTATCAGAGCCGCCTTCAGTAGAGCGAAGGCTTTTGTTTCAGGTGAGCGAAACACAAAGTTGAGGTCTGGAAGGTAGATACTATTCTCACGGACTCTTTCACATCGCTGATTAAACTCGTGCATATCATTCTCCGCAGCGTCGAATCACTAACGTTTCAAATGTGCTATAGAACTTGTTCGAATGATGACCAGTAATTTGTAATAAAGACACCATAATTTCTGCGGTGCTCCCGAAGAAACTACGCACTAACTTAGCTGGCAGGCCGCAACGGTATGACAAAAACAAGGGAAGGATCTGGGTGAGATGACCAAGTGTGTGATGTTTCACTCTTTTTGTTGCCAGACAAGTGGCCCGAAGGTCTAGCAGAAGCCTAGAACAGCCAATCAGAGCCGCTCTGAATCGGATTACCAGTGGGTTGTGTTCGAGTATATAAGTGTTGTACAGGGTACTTCCTGTCCATCGATTGCTCATTACTGTGTTATCTTCATTGTACTCTACACTTACTACTCTTCACTCAATTTTCGAACTTACATCCGCCACTTCCCTTCTTTACACAGACCAGAGTGAAGGATATCAACCATGACTAAGCCAACGACTTGCTGTGGCCGCGCAGACAGCTGCATCTGCGCAACCAAAGCGAAATGCTCATGCGGCCAGCAATCAGCCATGAACTGCAATTGTGAGAAGAAAGCCGCCGAAAACACCTTGGCCGGGCCTCGTTGCTCTTGCAGTATGACCTTGCCCGTCTTTCCCTCTCATATCACTGACCCCAATCCTTCAGGAGCTCGTCCTGCCGGCGAATGTACTTGTGATCGTGCTCAGACGGAGAACCAGAAGCCGATGGGTGCCACTTGCGCCTGCGGTAAGAGAGCTGATGGTAGGTTGACTGGTTCCAATCCGTCCCGCAGCTTGCTGACATTGTTGCGTCTTCAAGGCTCATGTACATGTGAGAAGGCTCCAGATGGAGGGCTTTTGCCAAACGAGATTGACTTCACTACCAAGGCATGATCTCGACTCGCTTTGAGTGAGCTGAGAGCAGGATGGTAAGGGTGCGTGGAGAGGTTGAAGGCTTGCGATGCACAGATCAGCACCGCTTGTACTTTCAAGCCAGCATCAAAATATAAGGATAAACATGAAGATATACAGAAATATAAACTCAATCAGCCTGCTCCCTCATACTGTATCACTTGTGATTAGGATTGAATGATTGGTCTTGTCAAAAGGTGATTGAAAGATAGCACGGACTTAACTCCATCACCTTCACTTATCCCCACCCTGCCAGTAGCGGAATAATCCCTGCGCCAAGTTGATGGGATCATACCAATACCATAGCAGCGCATCCTCCGCTTCCCGCAAGAAGCAGGACGATCTCACTTCTGCTGCCAGTGCCTTGACCAACCGATTGACCAACCGATTGATCAGACAACAGTAGTGCAGCTAAAATCGCTGCGCTCGACAAAGTCAATTTTCAACCAGCAACTGGGTGCAACGTCTACCCCTGCGTTACACTATTCCCAGCTTGGACGTTCACTCTTCCGCCATACCCTCGCTATGCTCATGATCCATCGAAAGTCTGTGAGAAGGTTATGACCGCCCGTCGGGCACATTCATCATTCCGTCCTCCACCGTGGCGACCGGGCCGGGAGGCCTGTTCGGCCTGGGAAACTCGAGCAATGCATCTTCTATGCGTGGTCTCGTCCAATTTATAGCTGACCTTCGAAATGCACGAGCACGAGACCTGGAAGAGAAGCGCATCAACAAGGAGCTTGCGAATATCAGACAGAAATTCAAGAGCGAGAAGCTTGATGGCTACCAGAAGAAGAAGTACGTGTGCAAGTTATTGTACATATACATCCAGGGGTACAATGTTGATTTTGGTCATTTGGAGGCGGTCAATCTGATATCGGCGAACAAGTTCTCAGAAAAGCAGATTGGATATCTAGCTGTTACGCTTTTCCTCAATGAACAGCATGAGCTTCTCCACTTGGTAGTGAACAGCATTCGAAAGGATTTGTTAGATCACAACGAACTCTATAACTGCCTAGCCCTCCACGCGATCGCGAATGTTGGAGGACGAGAAATGGGCGAGGCTCTTAGTGGCGACGTTCATAGGTTGATGATCTCGCCCACCTCCAAAGCATTCGTCAAGAAGAAGGCTGCTCTCACTCTTCTACGTCTGTACCGGAAGTACCCAGCGATAGTGCAGCAGGAGTGGGCTGAACGAATCATTTCCTTGATGGACGACCCAGACATGGGTGTCACCCTGTCCGTCACATCCCTTATCATGGCGCTCGTCCAGGACAATCCGGAAGCATACAAAGGGAGCTATGTCAAGGCTGCGCAGCGTTTGAAGAAGATTGTGGTCGAGAATGATATTGCCCCTGACTACCTATACTATAAGGTGCCATGTCCTTGGATACAGGTCAAGTTTTTGAGGCTGCTTCAATATTTCCCACCCTCCGGTATGTCTTAGGAGACTGTCGTAATCCCCCAGACTTACGCTCTTTTGCAGATGATACCCACGTTCGAGAGATCATCAGAGAATCTCTACAGCAGATCATGCACGCCGCCACCGAAATGCCCAAAAATGTACAACAGAACAACGCACAGAATGCTGTTCTATTTGAAGCAATCAATCTCCTCATACACCTCGACACCGAACACAACCTGATGATGCAGATATCACAGAAGCTGGGAAAGTTTATCACATCAAGGGAGACGAACGTCCGCTATCTGGGGCTTGACGCAATGACGCATTTCGCGGCCAGGGCTGATACGCTTGATCCGATTAAGAAGCACCAGAATATCATCATCGGATCACTACGAGATCGAGATATCAGTGTCCGAAGGAAAGGCCTGGACCTGTTGTACAGCATGTGTGATACGACCAACGCCCAGCCAATAGTCAACGAGCTTCTCAAATATCTGCAGACCGCTGATTTCGCCATTCGGGAAGAAATGGTTCTTAAAATTGCGATATTAACAGAGAAGTATGCCACTGACGCGAAATGGTACATCGACATCTCATTGAAACTTCTTGCCATGGCTGGTGATCATGTCAGCGACGAAGTCTGGCAACGAGTCATCCAGATCGTCACCAATAATGAAGAGCTACAGGCATATGCTGCTCACACAATTCTGGATCATGTCAAAGCGGACAGCACGCATGATACGTTGGTTAAGATTGGCGGATACCTTCTTGGAGAATTTGGCCATCTAATTGCGGACAACAAAGGCTGCAGTCCGATAGAACAGTTCATGGCCCTGCAGTCAAAAATGATGGGGTGCTCCGATACCACCAGAGCGCTTCTTCTATCTACTTTCGTAAAATTTATCAACCTGTTCCCGGAGATCAAACCTCAACTTCTTCAAATGTTCCAGTTCTACAGCCATTCACCAGACTCAGAACTACAACAAAGAGCTTGCGAGTATCTAACACTTGCTTTATTGCCGACGGACGACTTGCTGCGAACAGTGTGTGACGAAATGCCACCGTTCTCGGAGCGGACATCTGTCCTGCTCTCAAGACTACATCAGAAGAGTGTGGGTACCAGTGATAAACGCACCTGGGTTGTTGGTGGAAAGGATGCAAATGTGGATAAGAAGGAGGTCATCATGGCGCAGCAGACGGGGCTGAAGAGGTCTTTCACTGCAATCGTCAATGGGACTTCTGCTCAAGCCAACGGCGAATCCCGAAGTGCGAGTGGCACATCTCAACCCGCGACAGATTCGTCCTCCAATGATCTAGCTGGACTAGGCATGAACGAGCACACCGAGGATGCGAAGACTCCTAATCTAGCGAGTTCGGTGCACCTAACTCCGGAGTGGGATATCGGGTTCAACAGGCTCTACTTCAGCGATGAGGGTATTCTATTTGAGGACTCGCAGGTTCAGATCGGCGTGCGTAGCGAATACCGATCACACATGGGGGTGGTCAAGATCTACTTCACCAACAAAGCACCCTTCCCTATCAGTTCATTTACAACTACTCTTGACAACCCATCACCCGCTCAGTTGAAAATGGACAACAAAAGCCTCCCAGATTCAACCGTACACCCAGGGTCTCAAACCCAGCAAACAGTCTTCTGCATGGCCAAGTCTCCCTTTACAGAAGCCCCCACCATGCGCATTTCCTACCTCGCAGGCGCTCTCCAGGCATACACTTTGCGTCTCCCCGTCCTCCCGCACAAATACATGGAGCCCTCAGATCTATCAGCAGATGATTTCTTCAAACGCTGGAAACAGATCGGCACGGGGCCTCTGGAAGCTCAATCGACATTTGGTCTAAGTGGTAAAGGTAAGGAGATGAACGAAAAATTTACTCGCGACGTGGTGGCGGGTTTCAAGTGGCGGATCCTGAATGATGTGGATCCCAACGCGAAGAATATCGTGGGTTGTGCTGTTTTCCAGGTCGAAAGTGGGAAGACGGGCTGTCTTTTGAGATTGGAGCCGAATTACGAACAGAAGGTACGCTGGTCGATGCATCGTCTGTTTCCGGTGGCGTTGAGGAGTGTGTGCTAATATTTCCCATGCAGATGTATCGGGTTACTATCCGAGCCACTCAGGATACGGTGCCGAAGGCCATGCTGAAGATGATGGAGGAACGGCTCTCCAGAGGTATATCGACAGAATCATCGTAGGCGCTGGAGTATATAGTTCTTGGTTGCATCAATCGAGGATTTTGTTTGCACGTCCTGCAGTTGCCGGATCTGCAGATCTTCTGGATCATACATGGTTGGGTCTCGCTCGCATCGAATCAAATATATGACGATCTCATTTGTTCCCCTCGTCGTCCTTATCTGGCAGCACCCTCGCCTCCGCTTTCGGCGGTCTCTGCCCAAATATCGTACTCCCTACCCTCACCTCATCACTACCCATCCTGATAGCCGCCTCGAAATCTTCACTCATCCCCATCGAGAGCTCCAGCTGCTGCCCCTCCCCTAACCCTAGCTCCCTCGCTACCCAGTCCCGGGTATCCTTCAGGCACTGGAAATCCTCATTCTCCGTCTCCGCCGTCGTAGCCTGGGATCGCGCAATCGCTCCAATGGTCATCAGGCCCCGTAATCTGAGATGCTGACACTGATCCCGTATGTGCCGGCACAGCTCTAGTAATTCCGGACTCTTGGGCTCGACGCCGCTTTTGCTTTCCTCGCCGCTCGTGTTCACCTGGACAAAGACGTTGAGTTGCCCGTCCTCCTCCGTTCCTCCCGACCCACCACCTCCTCCTCCTCCTCCTTCTTGGTCCTTAGATGTACAACTATCGATCCGCTCCCCGCGTCCCTTGTCCAGCAGATTCGCCTTCTTGACACTGTCCACGCTCTCTACCGCCCAGAGACCGCGCACCTCCCGCGCCAGGGTCTGCGCCTTGTTGCTCTGCAGACCACCGATAAAATGCCAGCGGATCTTACCCTGGAGATCGGAGGGGAGGAGGCGCGATTTTTCGAGCAGTTCTTGCACGTAGTTCTCGCCGAAGTGGAGGTGTGGTCTGCGGTCTTCTGGGTTGTTGACTGCGGGGGGCGAGGCAAGGGCGATGATATCGGTCAGAGGTTTGAGTTTGGAGACGGCGACAAGGCGGATGGGTTTGCGGATCGAGTGCGTCGTTGTGGTGTGCGCGATGCGGGAGTTTATGGAGGTGAGGGCGGAGAGGAGATGCGTGGTGCGGGCTGGGGAGGGTTTCATGGCTGCTGCGGTTTGGGAGGGGGTGGATTGCGTGTCTGAGGAGGTCATGGCGAGGGAGTGGGATGCTGCTGTTTCTGTGATTGCAGGAAAGACTTTTCCTTTCATAGGGCTGGAACTGTAGACAAGACAATACTCCGATTCGGCATTGGAGGATATCAGAGCTAACTTAGTTAGGGTGGATTTGGCCAGATGGGATTTGCCGTAGTTATCTATATCGCGTTCTTCATAATTCACGTCTTTCTCTACGAAGTCTTTTGGTATCCCTTGTATGTGAATGCCTCGATCAAGAGACGATCTCACCTCTTAAGTTGTACTAGATGGTTCTCGGTAAGGATGACTCTTCCAGTTCTGTGGAGATCACCGTTTGCACGTTTGGACGGAACATCAGCATTGTGTGATCAAACAGACCTTATGTGCTTTGTAGTGCCATTACCAGCTCCGCCATTTCGTTGACTCTTACAGTCTGTCACGTGCGTTCTTCAAGTGTTCTAAGTAAACACACAATCCCTATCCTCGTCAACCTCATCTTTTTAGTGCCTTCTACAAGTCCCTAAGAGAATTGCTACACAACCCACCTCATAGTCTAACCCATCCTCTTCATCTTAGCACGTCAGGCGCTTGTCAACGAGCATAGCTCTGAGTTTGGCGATGTCATCTCTGAACAAAATGCAGGATGAGAGCACGTTCTCAAGGCCTTCCTCGAACTCAACCATTCCTCTATCTACCTCCAAGGCTCTATCATCGGGCGCTGAAGCTGCACCCGTAGCCAAGCTGTCACCGACTCTTGCCTGTCTACCAGCCGAAGTCCTCCAGAAGATCTTGCAGCACTCGCTCGAGCTGAATCTTGTTCTGACATGCAAAAATGTCGCAAAACGCATGCCAGGATTCTGGTGGCTAGCGCGCATCTTGATGCTCGCGTCCTTCTGTGCATATCCTGCTGCTCTGTTCCTTGATGCGTCCTGGAAAGAGGCTGGTGCGATGCTTGGATTGAGGCTACCAATTTTTGATGGTCTCGATAGAAGGCTTCTACAAGGCATCGTCATGGATCGTGGCTGGTGGACTCTGGACATGCTGAAATCCGCGATGGCCGAGATTTAGAGGCCCATCTCCAACGTTATTGGATACAAAACGATAGCATCAAGACACACCCTTCTTGCCAGCAAGTGCTTGAGGAGCGTTGGAAGAATAATAGCGGCATTGTGGGCTTCAACTTGGAGCTTTGGGGTACTAATGGAGATTCCGGCGCCATATCGCTCAATATCTACCATGGGTTTTGGATGGACATTGTGGATCACTCGTCCGGCTGTCATGAGTATGGTCCCATCACCAGGGTCAATTTCATCCCGAACCAAGTTCTTGAAGTGCCTATCACAGACAGCAAGAAGGAGCTTCTGCACTTCTTTTTGAATTCAAAGGCTGCCGGTAACGGAGTGATGTGCTGCGCGGACGCTCTTATGCAGAAAGCTATTGAGGAATCGATAGCTACAGGTGATGTTGAGTCGACATGCATACTGATCAGGCTGAGCAAGCATCGAGCTGTCAAAAGCAACCACTTTTGCTGCGCAGTCAAGTTTGGTCGCTCCCACATCCTTCAAATCCTGCTCGAGGAAGACAGCACAACCTTTCCCCGTGACAATCCTGCTTTTTTGGACTGGGCGCTGTGTGAGAAAGGGAAGAGTACGTTTGGTCAGAGCCTTTATGACTACATGCAAGCGGACGGTTCGCTTCTATCGAGAGGCAGATACTCCTTTCTCCACTTCAGAAGGGGGTTGAAGAAATATAGGTCCGAACGCCGCACTGAGCTTCTCGAAAAGGATGGCACTCGCTGGCTAAATGCGGACGAGGTTATCTGTCAGCTGAACAGGAAGTATGGAACAGGTCGCTGAGAGGAAGACTGTACTGGTCGACCTCGTTCTGGTTACAATCCAACCCCTATTCTACGAGCTATGTGAGATAGGATCAGTTATCCTCAGAATGGTGATGGCGGAAATGTCTCTGAAATGAAGAAGGACCAAAGTCCAGAATAGCCTATCGTGCCCTGGAAAGCCCTTGGGGTTCCTTGACTATTATGAAGAAGGCACTCAGGAAAGGAAGCACTCCCCTGAACGGACATGGTCCAGAACAGAAGTGAACTCTTGGATGCAAAAGTGAGAAGCCCAGCTACAGGTCAAAGGTAGACACCAGAAGGAAACATCACACATTAGCGGTTACTCTCAGACAGAAGCACAACAACAATGACCCTCTGAGCACCCTTCTATACCGTTCTGCTATTTCTGTGATCAATATCCACAAGATATAAAGAAGAGCTCAGTGCCTACCTCGTTACCTGGACTGTAATGCATCCCATTTCCAATGTGCATACAAGCTGCTGTTGGCTTTGCTGTATCATATGCCACTTAAAATCGTTCTTATTGTTGTCCCAATGCACCACAGTTTATCGCACCGCTTTGTTGCGACTGAAATGCCGGAGTTTCCAATTAGGATAGTGCTAAGTTGGGAATGACCGCTCATAAGTTGAAAGCACTTCTTAGAGATGCGTATGTATGTTACGGAGATATGCGCAGTAGGAGAAGAACTATATGCCTTGCATGGGTCGTACATGAGCAATAGCCTGAAGGATCTCGCACCCTATATACCATAGCTCTTGCCTTGGAGCACGTGTTTACCCTTAGCAAACGTGTTCCTAAGCGTGTTCAGGATGTTGCCAAACGTGGCCAGGTATTGCCAAACGCGTTCAGATGTTGTCACAGCGTTACGACCTCCATATCTCAACGTGTTTTCCCACACTTCAGATCTGCTCTTGTTCCCTCCTCTGAACAAACAAGTACTCACCTTTGCCACTTGTGCCTGAACTTCAATTCTGTGATCCAACAAAGGTTCCATCATCTGTTGACCTTCAGAAGATTTGATCAGAGTGACGAGATCATTGTTCGATCGAAAACAACTCCAGCAACTCATCTGTACCACTCCAGCGCCATGGTTTCGTGTAACCAGTTGAACGATCCCTCCAGCATGGATCAGATACCAGCTCTTGTGAACAGCTGCGCATCGGCTTCAGTCTATAACGAGACCAACAATACCTCTAACGTGATGGCTCCCTCCGAGGAGTTGCCCAACTCAGCCAGCAAGGACCAGGCACCAACTCTAGTGAAACGCTTCGCATCACTTTCGGTCTCCGATGATGGCGACACTACCTCAACCACTTCTGAGGCGAAATCTCCAAACCTTGATACTCTACCAAATGAGCTCTTAGACAAGATCTTCGAGGAATCTCTTGAATTGAACATGACCCTCACAAGTACCATAATCGCCGCAAAACTATCACGCCGCAGGCGCCTTGCAAGGAGCCTTACTCTCTTGTCTTTCTGTCCCAGCGATGTTGCGAACAATTTGAATCTGAATCCAGTGCCAATCTGCGGCCCATTAGGCCTGAGTCACCCATTGACAGAAGATGATCGAAGAGTCTTGCAAAGACATGTTCTCAATGGCGATTGGCTGACCGTCAACATGCTCAAGCTGGCTGTCGGAGAGATTCATGAAGCATACATTCAAAAGCATTGGGTTGACGCCGGTATCGAGACCAAGCCGTCGTATATAAGAGCCTTCGAAGAACGCTGGCTCGCTAGCAACGGTGTGATGGAACGAAAGCTGGAACTTTGTGGAGTTGACGCATTCCGTGAAGACGTGTCTTTCGTCATTGAAGACCCCTTCGTCATCGAATTGAACAGTGTCGAAGAACTCGACAGCGACCAGTACGATGCTTTCGACGTACTCCAGGTGGTCGTTGTCTCTGACAGGCTTCTCGCCCCGCCTATCACGGATTCCAAGCTAGAGTTACTGTATTTCCTGTGGAGGAGCCAGTCTGCGACGGCAAGATGGCAGATGACCTTCTCAGAATCCGTAATGCGACAGGCTGTACAACACGCCATCTCGACCGGCGACCCTGACTGTACGTGCCTGCTGGTGGACATCATGTCACACAGCACCCCAGACGGCAGCTCATCGTCCGTCAAAGTCGAAGACTTTCTCACAGCTGCAAAGTACAACCAGGCGCGCATCTTGCAAACCTTGATGGAGTTCGATAGCAGAGACTTCCCAAGGACCGATCCGAGTATGAAGCGCTGGGCGCGTGCAGCGAGAAACAAAGGTGATGGATTTGGTGCGATCGTACTAGAGTTCATGCGAGCACAGAATGTTCAGCCTGGCCGGCACTCCTTCAGCACCTTCTTGTTTCGCTCAGGCTATGTACCCTACAATTTCCCGCTGTGGAATGCAGTACTAGATATGACCAATGTTCTCGGTGAGAGATTCGGTGTTTGAGGTTGGAAGGTGAACGGTGGGAGGTGAGAGGTGAGAGGTTGTTTCGTGTATTAGATTAGAAGACTGAATATTGATGTGTGAGATAGGGGCAACTGCCAAAAGAGTCCATAGCTAATCGAGGGAGCTTGATAGAATGCAGTGTACCATGGCGCATTGATTCTTATAAATATTATTTTGTAAAGCAACCGAACATGTCGCCATGATGGACTTCTGGCTATCCAAAGGCCTGAGCATCATATGTCGAGGCTGAGAATGCTCAATGATATGTGACCTACCTGGTGCCTACTTCAATGAGGAACATATTTTTCTTACAGTATCAACAGTGAGTACTTGATGGTATTAGAGGACCCTCTCGTGTCTATTTACATCAGTGAGATATATTTTCTTGAACCAGCAAGGGAGAGCGCTCAAACGATACGGCCGCTTCCCTGGGGCGCAGTTCATTAGGGAGCGGTTTCATTGAAGTATGTAGGTATTGTACATAAAGTTATAGATGAATAGTTTGAGAGTACCTCGAGTAATAATAGATACTGTATCTAGCTTTAAAGCCCTGGGTGATCGTTATTTGGACGCCAAGGACCTCCGGACCGTCATGTAGCTACAGGAGCTGATTGACCTAGCTGGAGCTACCATTTTCAATTCCTCCACACCACAACCAACCACAACGCACAACCTCCACCATGGCCAGCCACTCCGTGCTCAGGCTCTCGCGCTCCGCCCAAATGGACTCAAGATTCATGCCACCCGTCTTCCTCGCGCCAGCCCTCCAACCCTTCCTCTATCTCACCACCTCCAACACCGCATCCCCAACCTCTCACCACCACCACCACCAACACCCCTTCTCCACCACTCCCCCCCAACAAATCCGCCTCCGCAACCGCGAGAAGAACAAATCGCGCGGCGTGTCCGCCATCCGGCGCACCGGGCCACGCGTGCCCCTGTCCATGTCGAAATACGCAAGGAATTCCCGACGCGCGACGACCACGGGCTGTGGGGGTTCTTCAACGAGAAGCGAACGGCGATGACGGCGCCGGAGGACCTGGATGCGCACGGGCGCGCGTGGACGGTCGACGAGCTCGCCAAGAAGAACTGGAACGATCTGTGGACCCTCTGGTGGAGGTGTGTGCGCGAGCGCAATTATCTGGCCACCGAGGCGAATGAGAGGCACAGGGTTGCGGCTGGGTATGGCGAGGCGGAGAGTAAGGAGAGGGTTGCTGTGGTGAGTTGGCTTGTCACCTTTTTTTTCTTTTTCTTCTTCTCCGTGATTGGAGGAGGAGGAAGACGAAGGCTGGTTTTTGTGGGATGGGGGTTTTTGGGAGGACTACTGCGCAAATGATGAGAAACTCCTTTCACTCGCCGATATGAGCTTTGCCGATCAGGATTACGCTTAAAATTCTTGATGGGACATGACTAGGCTACGAGGGTTTTACTGAGATAATACTTTTTTTCTTGCTTCGAGGGGATGGATCAGAGACACCGCAACCCGATCCAGCTTGGCTAATCACACATTCAAACCGCGCGTCTAGGTCATGAAAACAATGCGGAGAATCAGAAATGTCCTCCGCGACCGACAATACGCCTACGATGAAGCGCAGAACATAGTGGACACGGCGGAGTTCTGGAGGGAGGAGATTGAAGCAAACAAGCTGGAGACGAGGGAGGATGATTTTAGTTCGGTACGTACTCCCCGCCTGTCGGTCGGGATGGATTGATACATGAGTATTTTTTGCTGATCGTGCCGGCTTTTGCTGGTGTAGTTGGAAGGAGAAGACAGCGAGGATCTGCTGGAACAATTGAAGGAGCAGAGGCCGATGGCGTAGGAGCCAGGTAATGTGAGCATGGATCAACAGGGCTCAGTGTGGGCAGACAAGGAGCTGGCCCGAGTTGAGCGTGATTGTGTCATACATTTTACTGCTGCATACTGGAGACAGTGCAGACTTGCCAGTGCTATAGCAGACGCCACGCAAGCGGAGCTTGGTCATCGGTCTCCGCAACGGGTTAAAACTCCCAGGAGAATGCCAGATCTGTATCACAGACTTGTGTTAATGCTCGTATTCTCATACTCATTGTGACTTGCCACGCCTTGACTAGCTATGCTGTATATCTATGTTGCTTTGTCTCCTTGTCCCAACATATTTCCCTTTCGTGTCGCTAGCCCCTCGTACCCACAACTTGGATCTCTATGACCCAACTGTCTCTGGCGTCTTGCTAGGATCATAGCCATGTTTCTGCTTCAGCTCCGCGACCAACGCAATGTATTTCTTCTCTGCGTCGGCCGGGGTAATACCCTCTTTGACGACATTCTCCCATGCTCTGTACTTGGCTTTGCCCTGTGCCGATCGAAGGAAAGGTTAGCGGACCCGCTTGGGTAAGAAGATGCATGTGAAAAAGAAGAGGATGAGTTTGGAGGCTGGGGTGTTTTCGTTCGTGCGAAGTGAGGGTGTGGAAGACAGGATGATTGGAGCCGTACCGTAAAGTCAAAGGTGCCTGGTTTGTCTGCGGATTCGAATTTCGGGTTCTGAGTCGCTTGTTTGTATAATGCGTAGAGCTGAAAGAAAGTAGAGCGTTAGCCTGAGATCATAGAGTATGATGTTGTGAAAGCAATAAAAGTGTGAAGGTGGACGGGGCGCCAGTGAAACCGCAGCAAATCAAACTGAGGGAACATATAGACAAGTAATATCAAAGCGCGAGCTGAAATATCTGCAATGTCCCACTCTCCTCTCTTTGACCCGAGAGGAGATGCGCTTTCTAGCAGTATATCGAACTGCTGCTTGGACGTCAAGCCTGTGGCAAATAGAGGTTCAATCCCGATTTCTGAATTTACAGGAGCAGATATCTCGGCGCGGCAAGGAGATACACTCAGGGAGCGGTTGCAAGGCTCAAAGACAGTAAAACCTACCTGCAGAAGTTCATCTTGCGATGGCTTCGCTTTGAGCTGCTTGACAGCTTTGGCAGCGGCTTCGAAGTTGGCGGAGGGCATGGTGAAGACTGTTCAAAGAACTAGGATGCGATCTGTGAAGGATTGCTCGGTATACACGCAGATTTCTGTGCTTCCTTGCGGTTCCCAGTGTGAAATGTAAGATCAAGGATATCAAGGCCACTCTTTGATTGCACTGGAGAGGACTTTTGGTGGCAAGGCACGTCACAATTCCTGTCGGTCCTGCGGGGTTCCCCACCAACGAAGTTTGTGTGGCTCCTCGCTTACAGTCCTGCGATCTTTGTTCGTTGACAGATGAATGGCAGATTATTGATAAGAGTAATCAGATGATTCTAAGCCTTATGTGCCAATACTCAGCCTCTCTGAATATAATAAAACGCCTGCCGAACTCCGTCGCTATGCACCAAGATAAGCCCTTCCTGAACAGTTTAGTAGTCAACGGCCCAACCGTTCTTTTCCAGGAATTCTGAACTCGCATTCTTGAGAGCGACATTTGGTATAAGTTGCTTTTCGCTCAGTGGTTCTCTTGTGAGTGGATCAAACGGACTAGCTTTGAGGTGTCGCAGGATGCTTATCCTCTCGTACGAAACGCCCGACGGAGTAATGACCGGGTCGTGCATAATTTCAAATGTGATTCCATCAACAAGGTAATCTGGTACAATCTGCCCTAAAGTATTAGCAAGTACAGAGTACTCGACTGAATACCAGACTCACTCTTTCTGCAGTCTCCTCAACCTGTGCATTCTTGAATGCGTCCCTGATATTTCTTCTCCGCTCTTCTGCTTCTTTCTCAAGGGCCGCCCTTTCTTCGTTGCGCCCAATCTCACCGATTTCTTGTCTCGAGTACCTCTCCTCCAGATCGTCAAGCTCTTTATCTAGTTGCTGCTGTAATAGGTCTTCTACGTTTGCTAGGGTCTCATTGAGCTGTCTCAACCTCGCAGTTTCGTTGCTCTGCCATTGCGCCTGCTTCGTCCGGAGTATAAACTGGCTCAGTACCTCACTAGAAGAATCTCTGATTTCAAGACAGATCTTGTATGCGTGCTTGGCAGTTTCCAGGGCCTCGACAGGATGCTTGAGACCAAGAAGGGCTTGAGCGAGGCTGTAATATGATTTCATCGAGAGGGGATTCTTTGGGCCATATAATTCTATAGCTTTGCGAGCATCATTCTCAGCGCCACTCCAATCTTGTAATTTGACACGCGTCAGCGCGCGGTTGGAGAAAAGCTTTGGATCAGCAGGATTCTGTTGTATACTAAAGTACTGTAAGTACGTATGATTTGCGCCGTGGATAGGACAGCATTACGCCTGAGAATATAGTTGATCAGCCTCCTTGAATTTCCCGGCCTTGTAGTGTTCGTTGCCCATTTCTTTTAAAGCCATGGCCGATGCGATCGCTTCTTCCGAAATCTCGCATGTTGAGGAGGGAGAGCGAGAGAAATTGCGACGCCACTTAAATTTTGACAATGTAGACCTCATCCCCGAATCGAGCCGGTGATGCACATCCGTGGGCGGCGATATCGGAAATCTGGAACGACGCGATACCAAATGAGGAAGGGGTGGAATCTAGGAGAAGAAGAAGTACAGCGGAAACTGGATTGCTAATCAACTCACAATACCATATGGATGCTCCTTGCTTACTTAGCGGAACACGCTGACACTCTAGTCCAGTTAGGTACAGCTGAGTGTTGGATTATACACCGGCATGCTGTGGACGGTTTCGTGATCAAGAACTGTCCTACCTCCTGATCGGGCTCTCCATATTATTATGATCCAGCCGCTGAAGATTACTGTTGGACTGTTTGAGTGCCGTTTGACCATGCGTTTCATATATGTTTTGTTACAGATCGGATACGCGTCTCGCATGAGATTCACATGTATTTTTGGTATCTGCGTTTACGCTAGCAGCATCTGTACGTATACATACGCACTCTGCGCACTCATTTCGATAGAACAACTTGCTATTTCAACTCACTTCCACAGAGTGGTGGCAACGTTCAACAATTACCAGGTCGCTAGTACAACTTGATACGTTATTGTCACATCTCAACTCTACTAAAACATGAACGCGAGGCATACTGGTGCGCCTACCTTGTATGAATATGCCTTTTAGAGATCTCCAACCGCTCGTAACCATGAAAGAAGCAAGGAAAGAAGCAAACATTGCTTTTTACAGGCCTGCATTTCCTCATCCAGAAATTCATGATAGACTTTTCAAGATACCCACACCCTATCTCACCATCAATGCATACCCTTCCGTGCTCGATAAAGTGCTGTTCATATTATACTCCCGCCAATGTCTTCTCAAGCAGCTCAAGGTCCCTTGGCTCCATTCCCCGCTTGGAGCGTCTGTTCATATTCACTGATTTCTTTTACCTTCTCAGCGCTAGCGCTTCCTGGGTCAAACCTCAACTTGACCCATTCTTTGACCAGTATCTTAGCCAACTCCAGTCCCACGACTCGCTGCCCGAAGCAGAGGACTTGAGCATCGTTACTAAGGACTGAGCGCTCAACGCTGTATGGATCATGCGCTGTCACCGCTCGAATACCAGGGACCTTATTTGCTGAGATGGCGACACCAAGGCCGGTACCGCAGATAAGGAGGGCTCTATCTACCTAAAAGGCGACATCATGTTAGCGTGGTCCAAACGGGCACAAAGGAGGAGAGGATTTATACATCGCGCGCAGTGATCTTTTGGCATGCGTCTACCGCAACATGAGGGTAAGCTGTGCTGTCATGAGCATCCCCCACACCGACATCGAGAACCTTGGAGACGGCAGGATTCTTCTCCAACTCTGCTTTGAGTGCAGTTTTGTATTCGTGGCCAGCACTGTCACTGCCAATGACAATTCTCAAAGGTTCTTGAGGACCTGGAGGTATGACCTCCTGGGTAACCGCATCTTTTGGAACGTTACCTGAGGACATTACAAATGAAGGTGTATAAGTCTCCCAGATTAGAGAAGCTGTAGCAATATGTAGAAGGAGAACATAATAACATGCACAGATTATTGCTGAAATGACCGTTTGATCGTTATTACATAGTTACCACGAAAAGTTGCCCCCAATTCTTCGATGGAGCACATGGAGTGAACCTTGGTGCGGGGAAGACCTGGAATCTACCCGGTGTGAGGAGAGAAGAAGAGCTCCCCGAAGTCGAGTAAACAACATTCGTCTTATACTGGGCTTTGTTGTTATGCCTCAGAGGCTCACCCCAACTACAATGGCTTCTCGCACCACGGAATCTGATCCATACCCTTCTCTAGCGCAAACTATACTCCTTATTTCGACCAAAGCATATTTCACTCCTTCACATACCCTCTCCTATCTCAAGTCCATCCTCGACCCCTCGAATGGCATCCTCCCACAGCTAAAATCTGCTTCTCCATCCGACGAATCCCCCAAATCACTTCAATTGGCTCTTCTGCCTGACTTTCTGAGCATCTACCACTGTGCCGAACTACTAGCTCAAAGCTCGAAGTCTCCCGAACCCTCCTCGTGGCCTCTCCTGCTTGGTGCTCAACAATGCTTCTGGGAACCCGGACTGGGGCCTTACACCGGCGAGATCGTCCCATCGAGTCTCAGTTCTCTAGGCTGCAGCATCATCGAGCTTGGCCACGCAGAGCGTCGGCGTTTTTTTTCCGAGACCGACGAGACAACGGCGAGAAAAGCTGCTGCTGTGTGCGCTTGCGGCATGGTGCCGCTTATCTGCATAGGCGAGGTGTCTGCGCCTGTGAGTAACGGGCCTATGAGCATGTCTGTCGGTAATGCCTTGAGAGAGATCGGACAACAGGTGCGGGGCGTATTGGAAGCTATACCAAAGGACGCCCCAATCATATGGGCGTATGAACCTGTTTGGGCCATCGGGGCAGAGAGCCCGGCAGGAGTGGAGTACGTGGGGCCAGTCGTGCAGGGTATCAGAGCGATGGTGGACAAAGTGCCAGGAAGGACAGGTGAGACGAGGATAGTGTATGGTGGAAGTGCTGGGCCGGGCCTTTGGGGGCGGGGTTCTTTGAGCGATTTTGTAGATGGTGTTTTCTTGGGACGGTTTGCGCATGAGGTGAGTGCAGTGAAGGAGGTGGTGGATGAGGTTGTTGACACCATGAGAACGAAGAAGGGAAGGAGCTGAAGACTCGGGTGAAAGCAAAGAACAAGGGCGGCGATTGAGCCGCAACATTACCTGACAACTGTCTCCAGGGCGAACAGCCCTTACGGCAGATGTGTACCCAGGGGATCTGTTATAACATGTTTCCATGACCAGAGGACCCGATACGCCAAACATATGCACCAGAACTCCGAATCCTCAGGTCCCAGACGCCATAGACTACCCCTTATTTCAGCTCACCCGGTGTCATGACAGAAACCACGCTGGTGCCCTCGCTGAAGCGAGTCCGGAATACCCGATTTGCATTCTGAAACATGCCGTCCTTTAAACTCACAACAATGAATTGTGACCCCTTGAACCGGGTCTTGATGAGCCGGCCAATATTCTGCGTGTGAGAGAGATCTAACGCCGCATCAACCTCGTCAAGAATATACATGGGCGCGGGCTTGAACTGGAGCAGTGCTAGGATGAGCGAGAGGGCAATAAGGGATCTGAGTAGCCAGTTAGCATAGGCACGGCATTCGAAAACAGGAGCAGATGATGGGATGTCGCACCTTTGACCACCACTCAACTCCGTCAGACTCTGCTTCCACACCTTCCCCAGACAAACCTTGACTTCCAGGCCTTCTTGAATTCTGTTCTCATCTCCATCGATCGGTACCAACTTCGCCGTATTGTTACCAGGAAGCAAATCGGCAAAGATATTTCCAAAATCCACCGTCACCTTTTTCCACGTTTTCAGCAACGCCTCTTTCTTGTATTCATCCAGCGTTGCAATAGTTTCCTCGATCTTCTTCTTATCCCTCACCACCGTCCTCATCATGTTCTTCAGGCTTGCCTCCTTCTTCTCAACACTGTCGATCATCGGCATGACTTTGGGGTTGATCTTCTTCTTCATACCCTGGAAGCGCTCTGTTACTGTCTTGAGAGCGGCGCGAGACTCAGAAAGGTTCTTGCCTTGGAAGTCATAAGCCGTGCCTGACTTGCCAAATTGAGATTTGTGGTCTGGGATCCAATCGTGTTCTTTCTCAAGGGCGGTGACGAGTTGTTGTGCTGCGGTGGAGTCTTTGCCAGCTTTTTCAACGGCGTGCGTCAGCTTCTGAGTCTCAAGGGATTCCTCAGTCATCTGTTTGGATTTCTTGGATCTGGCGGTTTCCAGCTCGCGGAGCTCGTCGTCAAAGCCCGTCAATTTAGCTTGTTCGTCCGCGAGCTCGGCCAGGGCAAGGTTGTGGGCGTCTTTGGTTTTGGCTTGCTCCTGCATTAAAGAGTCGACTTCTTCCTTCTGGCTTTTAGTGGTCGCCTCGGCTTCTGCGAGCTGCTCCTCCGCAGCTGTGAGGTCGCTTACTGCTTGCTCTGACTCAACGCGGGCATTCTGGAGCTCCTTCTGAAGAGTCTTGACTGCTATAGAGTTCTTGTTCAAGCCCTTCTTCAAAGCATCTAGTGTTTTCTCCAATTCTTTAAGCTTGCTGTCTCTGTTGTTGCTGAATTCGGACATGTCTTTTTCAATGCGCTTAGCATCTTTTACTGCTTCGGTCTGTCGGGACTTCGCATCCACCATTGCTTGCTTGAGCTGGATAATGTTTGCCTTCATTTCTTCGACTGCCTGGATGATGGACGACGAAGAGTTGCCGTTGATTTGTTCTTCTGTCAATGTGACTTCATGCGTCTTCAGGTCTAGTTGATGTTTGATATCTCTCATTGCGTCGAGTTTCTTCTTCTCACCTCTCATGATTTCATGCAGTTCGTTGAGCTCGGTTTCTTGCCTCTGCAGCTGCTTCGTTATTTCATTCAATTTTCCAAGCGTGACCAAAACGCCGCTCGTATTAGGAGAGCTTCCTCCGGAAAGTGTCCCAGATGGATCATAGACATCGCCTTCCAGCGTCACGCTTTTCATACGTACAGCTGGGTCGAATGTCACTCTCTTTGCTGTCTCCGCATCCTGACAAATGAGGGTCGAGCCGAAGACGTAGTCCATGGCAGCAGATACTTCTCGATCATAGCCAATTAAAGACAGGGCAATGTCGACCTTCCCGGGAGCGATCTTCTGAGCAGCGCCAATCTTCTCAGCCGAAGCTCTGAAGGCCGATATCTTATTCAGCGGAATAATGGTTACTCGTTTCTTCAGCTTGCCGTTCTGCAGAAGTTGAGTACCAGTCTCAGCGCTGTCAACCACGACATTGTACAGCCGTCCACCAGCGCACACTTCGAGAGCTGTTCCAGCTTGAGCTTTACCCTGATCCAATGTGAAGAGCTGGGCGACAAGACCTTTCACCTTCGACCTGTCAAAGTTCGGGGTAGGGTCGCTGAAGCTGAAGTCGACATTGGCCACCTTTCTCTTGAGAGCATCAGCCTGTTCTCGCATGGTTCTTATGCTCTTCTGCAGAGTGGACTCTTGCTGGTGCATCTCCTCTTCCCTGCCGGGGTCCACACCGAGCTTGGTCAAATCTGCTTCAAGCTTCTGCGCCTGTTTGCGTAGTCCTTCAAGATCGCTCAACAGGCCCGAATTCTGCTCCTTGGCCTTTTTCGCTTTCGGCTCGTCTTCCTTGACTCGTTTCTCGAGATGCGATATCTTTAGCTTGACCTGCTCCTGTTCGGTGCTCGCTGCACTGGCTCGATTTCGGGCATCTTGGAGCTGTCCTTGATACCCACTCTCTTGGCCTTCTCTGGATGCAACACCAGTCTGCAGGGTCGAGAGCAGCTCTTCTTTCTGCTCCACTTCTGCGTTTTGAATGTCCAATTGAGCCTTGGCCTCATCATATTGTGCTTGCATCTTATCGTAGGTAGTTTTCTTCTCTTTGAGCAGCTTCTCAAGGTCTTTTCCAGCCTTGATGATCTCTTTCCGCCTTTGATCTTCTTCTGCCATGCTTGTATTCTTAAGATCCAGAACCGTGCTCAACCTGACAAGCTCATGGCTGTGCTCCTTGACCTCCGCCTCGAGAGCCTGAAACCTGCCGCCTTTCTTCAGCTCCTTCTCCCGCACAGCTTTCACCCGCTGTACATCCTCCTCCAAGTTCCCAATCTCCCTCCTCAGTCTCTCAGCATTATCCTCCAATTCTTGCACCTTCCCTTTCTTCATCTCCAACTCTTGTCCAGCCAACCTCAATTTCTCTCCCGCCCTCACATAATCCGCCGCAACCACAACCCTGGTCAGCCTCTCCAGCTCCCCTTGTGTCTTCTGATAATCCAACCAAGCCCTCTTCTCCCCCCTTAACTTCTCCAGTTTCGGCTCAATCTCCTCCCTCAACAAACCCTCAATCTCGAGGACCTTCATCTCCTTCTTCGCCATCGTTTTATTTGCCTTCTCCTTTCGATCCTCAAACATCCTCGTCCCTGCCGCCTCCTCAATCATTGCCAAAATCTCCACGCTCTTCATATTCAACACCTTGGTGATCCTTCCCTGCATGATCAAGAAGTTGGGGTTGTTGATATTCAACCCAACAGACTGAAACAGATTCTGCACCGTCGCCTGCTGCGCACGGTGTCCATTGATAAGGTATTTGCTCGTCCCACCCAGCACGATCTGTCGCGTCACGCTGATCTGGGCGTACTCCTCGAAGCCGATGGGGCTGTTGGTCTTGTCGCGGTTGTCGAAGACGATGGTTACGGAGGCTTTGGTAACGCCCGCTTGGCCGCGCTTGTAGATCAGATCTTGCAGGTTCTGGGCGCGCACGGTCGACATGTTGGTGATGCCGAGGACGAAACATATTGAGTCGAGGATGTTGGATTTGCCGGATCCGTTGAGACCCGTGATCGAGTTGAAGGTGCTGTCCCACCCCGAGATGACGGTGCGTACGGCGTAGGATTTGAAGCCCTAGAAAAGAGAGATATTAAGTCAATAAACTTGGGGTAATTCAGGAATTGATATAGAGTGTGGACGTACATCGATGATTACTTCAATAACCTTCATACTGATCTCTGATTTTATACTTGCGCTTTGAAGATGCGTCAGCTACGCGCCCTGCGCTCAGTCACTGCCTTTTCAATTGAGCAGACCGCGTTGTTTACATAGACGTGTTTGCCGGTTTTGCGGAGTTAAGGAGTGCCAAGATATTTTGAGACTTACAGCTTGCCTACAGTCCTAACTTAGAGAACTCAGCTCACACCACTAAGATACTGTACTACTGCTCTAGATGTGCTGTTTGAGAGTTGAAAACATGGGACGAGGCCTACGCTTATGATTGATCTAGCGATATTCACTGGTACTAAACCTGTCATCGAGCTGAGCGCATTGTGAGCTCACCGCTTCAACAGGCGCGAGCGCGAAATTCTGCGTTGTCATGCCTCGAATCAAGAGGTTTCCCTTTATAGGTGATAAGTGAATCTTGGCTATTATTACGTATTACTACTATGAGAGACGGATGGTCACACAAGCCGCTTGCTTCGCAGATACATGTAATCAGGCATCGCATCTTCAACAACACGATACAGTGCAGCGGCAACTTCCTCTCCAAATTCGTTGGCCCATCTCTCCCTCTCCTGATCATTCTTGATCTCGGCGTCTCTCCTCTTACTTCTGATTATTCCCGTCGAATCTGCATCGTCTGCTGGAAGGAGGTGACCAAGATACCCTGTCCCGCCTTCTTCTCTTCTGGAACTTTACCTTGGGTCGAGGCCAAGCGCTTTGCAAAACTTAGGCATGACGCTGTCCTCATTCATTAGGTCATCGGCTTCAATCGTTACTGGCACATCTCCAATCGATATATACCAATCATGGAGGAGACGGCTGCTGCCGTTTATTGTGGGGTTGGGCAGTGATTGTTTTCCGAGTCTTCCCGTGCACACATCAGTCCACCTATCTACGTCAATAGGTTTGGTATTGACATATAACTGTGGAGAGTTCCTCGTCAAAGATCTGCAAATCTATGCTGCCTACTGTACATAGTATAAGCAGCAAGCTAAGTTGGCCGGCCAATTGGGAATAAAGTCCAAGAAGCACACTTCGTAGCAAAAAGTATTGCTTTTATATCTTCCAGACGAATACAGCGGAGTACTCATGATTTTGTATAATTCGGGTTTTCTAGTGGAACTTGTACGACTCCACAGATATAGTGCGACTTCTTGTAAACTTAATCGCCAATGATTTCTCGAGATAAGTATATATCCTATCTATCTATTCTGATTTGATTCGATCCACACCTGAGTGGGAAAGTTCCGAGCTCATCATATGAAAGCCGGCGCCTCGATCGACATCTTGTAGAAAGGATGTCTAGTTGAACCGTACGCGGACAAGCATCATGACCTCGACTTCACCCATGAACTAGCCTCAATCTAATTTCGACGTGCTGATCATTGGAGCTAGGCCTGCAGCCTGACGAGCTCATAAGATTCTGTAGAACCCAAAAATACAGTTTGCGCTTAGTTTGCTACGTGTGTCACCAGCGTTTTGTTACAGATTTGATACGCGTTTTGCGTCAGCCACACGTGTATTTTTGGTATCTGCGTTTCGCGCTATTTCGCTTGATATAGCAACTTTGTATGTATAATTACGCGCTGCTTTCGCACTGAATTAGATAGAACAACTTGCTATTTACACACTATCCACTTGATTAGTCAGCAAAGTTCATCAGATTCATGCTGGCCAATTGGTTCAACCATACCAACGTCAATAAATACCTTATCCTCGAGAAGAGACACACGGAGGGCTCAAATGTTTGACGGTAGAACTACTCCCTTCGATGGGCATCGGGTCCCAGCTGGAGAATGTCGCGTGCCGTTCCAATGACCCAGGGCACTGTATCCATCAAATCAAACAAAGCAAATCGAGGCCCTGGTTCAAAGTTTGCTTTGATTGTGTAATCCAAATTTGTGATTCTCTATGTTTGACTGGGTTGTCAAATCAAGTCAAATCTCAATAAGCAATGGATTGTCTACTTGGATTTCTCATCTGGATCAAGTGTCCGCCAAGACCATTATTATTCTATCCAAAATATCATTAAACATTTCTGTTGACCTTCTGAGAGGGCCAATTGGCCGCGTTTAATATGCGTAATCCCTGCGTTTCTGCTGCTTCTAATTGGGCAATTTCCAACGCAATGTCGCTTCTAATTTCGCTGTACGGTACAGCCAATTGTACATAGATCGACGCTCTCTACCCCCGTAGCTATCAATCAACTTGCTTTTGAACGCACTCTGCACAGCAGGTTGACAATTTCTCAATTTCACAGAGGCCGATTTACTTCGACGAAAGCACCGATTTGATTTAATTTGTTTGACTAATTCGAAATTGATAGACACATTGCAATGAGCAATGCTTTTGAAGACAGATGGGATTGGACAAATTCGAAGGTCCAATACAGTACCCGATCTTGTTCCTGGCATGAGGAAGCCACGCGAGTACATGTTGGGGCAAGGTAATTAGATCCGCGTATGGATTTCCTCCTTTGAATAAAAAGCGTAATTACCTCCATGGAGGCAAAATAGAGGAACTACTCTTGAGAAACATCCAAGAGACCCGTGGCACCACAGTCGAATACGGGAAGGCACCTCCAAATACTACCACTTTAGGAAATAATGACGATGAATTTCCAGCTTAGGTCATGATCAAGAAGGGATTTGGGCAAGGCAAAACGAATGGCACGACCGACCTCAAGCGAGAAAGATCCGGCTTCGATGTACCACGAAATAGGTGGCTTAGCGCCACACTACAAGGCACGGGAAATCTCTATTAGGCCATTGCTGGACAGATCTAGATAGATTTAGACAGCAGACAATAGGACCACAACAGGTGGGCAGTATTCTCCTGCAAGGCGGTACTTCAACAAGTTTGAAATAATAGTTACAAATCTAAAAATTAGAAACTAAAAATTTGAGACGTATCACTTTTTAACAGATTTTCTTTATGAATTCTATTGAATACACTTGAATCACACTCAAATAGCATTTGAATTATTGAATTCGTCTGAAACGTTTGCCCATTTAAGAAATGCGCCAGCACTGTGTCAAGTGCGTTCAGAGACTCAGAGCGCACTCGAACGCTTACCAAGATGCTGACCATAACTCCACACCTCGACAGACGGCCTTGCATGCAACAACCTCAGTTTAGTATGCCACTTTCATGGTCTACAAATTGTGGAGCAATTCTGAAGTGATTGATAGTGGTCCAGTCTAGAGAAAGATCCAATATTTTCACCTCAACCCGCCGGTAGGACACATGGTAGAGCCCAGGAGATATAATGCTGCGCACTCAGCCTGTGTATCTCTTTGTGTTTCTCTTTGCGCTGCAACAAAACTTTGTGATGCGCTCCATTCAAAGGCGACGGCTTGGCAAGCCCCTTTGTGTGATAAATGAGTTTCCACAATAGCCCTCATCCATACTTACTATGCCATGGCACATGAAAGTTGGAGACTACAATCAATCAATAACAGGCTTGAGTTGTTCTGCATATTGATTGATACAGAATTCATACAAGACAGAATGGACTTTCGGGTTGAGTCTCCAAGCAGGTTTGACAATCAGTGCAGGGCCTTATTGGTCGATTCGAGCTGCTTCAGGGACTCTGGCATTGGCTGTCCGGGGTCGAGGTAAGAGGCGGCAGTAGATTATTGACGTGAGTCCACGAGCCCAGTACCCGTATATATTAGCTTCAAACGTCTACTATTGCCGAGATCGGCGATTTCATCTTCTCGTCTCGATCTGTGGTTAAAAAGTCCCGTCCAAGATGGTGCTGTGACAGCTTTTAATTCCCACCAAACAACCTTCCAAGAATCCCACCGATACTCCCGGAACTATTCCCTGTATCAGGCCCAGATGGGTCTCCTTTCTCCATCCATTCGTCCAAGCACGCCTTCATTCTTTCTCTGTCTCCCATCATTTTCGTGTCGTCTAGCTTCTCAGTCACCCTTTCGGCCCTCCTACCTCCAAACCCTACCAAGCTGGGTATACTGCTGATGCCATATTCGACACCCAGGTCAGCCACAGTACCATTACTGTGGTCAGGCGAGTCAAGCTCTACCTCAGCAAGTGCAAGGCTGGAGAAGCGATCCACTGGCTGAGGGGTCCGAGATGTGATCAGGGATTCAAGAAGAGGTGAGATGGTTCGACAAGGCACGCATGAGGAGGTCGTGAACAGCAGAAGCAAAAGGGTGTTGTTGGAAGAGGCGAGCCGAAGATAGTCGTGGAAGATGGGTGGAGTGGTTACAGGAGATAGGATTTGATTGGAAGGATGCGTGTGAGCATGGCGAGAATGAAAGTTGGACTGTGAATGCCTGAACAAGTATGCTTTCTCGCTTTTATTTCCGAGGAGTTTCGCCAATGGATCTGTTTTGACAGTGCGGAATTTAGGTATTCTCATCGTTATATGTCGAAAACACAAGTTTTATCCCTAGTTCTTCGAGAATTGAACTCCTTCCGTCCGCCCAGGCCGGCAAAAAGCTTCCTACCATGCCAAGACTATATTTGCTTGATCACCCCGAATAGGCGGACATTGAACAACTCCCCTCCGAGTCTGATAGCATCCTCAGAACCCTTTGACTTCCTGGTCCTCCATACTTGCCGCTTGTCAGAAGGAGCTATACTCAACAAAAATTCTAGCCTGGAAAGACCCTTCGAATACGAGCGTACGGCATGGAACAGACCACCATATATCCTGTAAATGATCTAGCTGGTAGAGGCCACCAATGCTGCAGGCGCTCCAATAAAATGTTGCAAGCGGATCCCCCGCTTTCCATAGCCACTTTGCGGTAGTGGGCCAGCTTTGGGGCGCGATGAAATATTCTCGAGATTGGCCCTTGGGCATTGTGCTAATGTAGGTATCACGTTAGTAAGTACAAAATCAACAACTTCTTTCCCTCAATGTTGTCCGCCGTTTGGGTATTGCTCAATTGAGCCACTGCCCTATTTGATACAATCCAAACTCTTGCCATATTTAGCTTCTTCCTCCAGCACGAGCAGGATATTATGGGCGTGAGCTTCACCACTTGATCTGTTGACCGACGGGGCGGTTCGAACCTGTTTTATGCACAAGAGCATCATCAATCACCGTTGGGCGAACATTGTTCCTATACTGCAGAACAATGCGTCCCATTCGTACTATCATAGCTCTTCATCGCATTGAGACCTCGCACCAACGTCCGTAACTACGTCCTAGTTGGCGACTACTTGCGATGCCTACCAACGGCTGCGCTGCAGCGGGTCCTGCTAGAGAAACAGTGGAAAATGCCACGGCGAAGATGGCGAAGACTACTGCTAGCACAAACAGATCGTCGTTCTCCCGCCCAGCGTTACTCAAAGCACTCAAATCTGGAGATAGATCGGTCTTCACTGAGCTCCTAGAGCCAACAGGAATGCCAGTGGAGACAATAGAGAATGAGCTGAGAATTGCGCTTCAGACAGCTGCTGGGGAGGGCGAAACAGAACTCGTGGAAGCCCTTCTGCAGCGGGGTGCGAAGACAGACCTTCCCAGTGGAAAGGGAACATCTCCCTTGCAGCGTGCAGTAGATAAGGGCTACACCGAGATCGTACGCTTATTACTCCGTTTCAAGGCTGCCACAGAGGCGAAAGACAGACATGGTAGGACTGTCTTGATGTCTGCTGCATTGAATGGGGAGAATAAGATAGTCGAATTGCTTCTTCAATATGGTGCTAATGTTGATGCTGTGGACCACGATCATCGAACTGTATTGCTGAATCTAGCAGCAGATACCTCGAAACGCAAGTGGAACGAAGAGACCATCAAAATTGTTCTAGCTACTAGAATCAACGTGGAGCATGTAGACGCAATATCTAGAACGGCTTTACATTGGTCCGCAGTGACTGGCAAGTTAGACCTTGCGGGCGCGCTGTTGAACAATGTTGGTCGCCAGCCTGCAAATGTGATGGCTGCCACAGAACGTGGCCGAACCGCTTTACACCTGGCGGCTGAGAACAACCATGTCGAGATTGTCAGGCTACTGCTTGCACGTGGTGCTAAAACCGAAGCTACCAGTGATGGCCACTGGACGCCCTTGCTTAACGCTGCACAAAACGGTCATGAAGGGGTCGTTGATGTGCTTCTTGCTTCTAACGCAGACGTCAACGCCCGGACTTCTAGCGGGATGACAGCCTTACATTGGGCTAGTGAGCGTGGTCACCTGAAGGTTGTGCAAAGATTATTAAAAGAGGAAAGGGCATCCAAAAACCCGAAAGATGGATTTGACAGTACACCGCTTTCTCGAGCAGGTCAACACGGCTATCAAGGAATCATTCAAGAGCTGAGACCCTTTATCTTCGGCGGCTCACTGTCGCTTAATGCCAAGGATGCCTGCCTAAGGTTCAATGCAGCAATTGTTGACTTCTACTTCGATGAGAAAACAGTTGTGAGGAACGTGGTCAAGCGGAAATCAGTTTGGGAGTGTCTTTACGGCACTGACCCAAAAGACTCTACGGGCCGAACATTTGCCATCACAACTTCTCTGGAGGAGATTAAACCAAGGTCTCCAGACTTTAGATGGATCCACCTCCCAGCCAACAACATTGCTTGGGCTGAGGCGCTAATCACCAAATTCTTTCTTGAGAGGGATTTCGCCGAATCTGGAAGCTTCAAAGCCATGTTACGTTTATTCGGGCAGCGGCAACACCGTGGCCGCAAAGTGCATTCCAGGTTCATGAGGCCTTTATGCCAGCGAATTGGCTCTACACAAGTAGGGTTTGACTATAGCCGACGGCGCAGTAAGGACGGAAGAGGCTCTCCTATAAAGGCTGGAGCAGGCCGGCCTCTTTCTCTCGTACGAGAGATAAGTCTGCCCCGGCAGCACAATATTGTCGTCCTCTTCGTAAGTGGAGATCTTCCTTCAAGTGGTTGTGGCAGCCTTCCTAGCTTGAGAAGATAATGACCACTCAACTACTACGATGGAGTAATTATTGGACTGATCGTTGCTCAGATGCCCTACCTAGGTTGGGAGACGGACGTCAACCGTTCTGAGATGAGCAAAGTCATTAAAAAGGTGGAATCTACGAAGGATTCCACTTATCCGCATGATCCATCCCAAAGCAAGGATGTCTCCCTAATTGCAGGCTACTTGAATGACTCCTGTCTTCATGTCAGACGAACTCTTGACCAGTTCAAGCACCATAGTATCAATACTGAAAAGCGGGACACCGACCAAGTCGTTTATCGGTATTGCAAGGATCATCCGTTCCCTTATGAGAATCCAGAGAACAGGCTAAAAGTTTACATGGTTGACCAACTATGGGTATGGGTTCTTAGCAATAGTAAGTGTAACCGGGAGGCTGCTACTACAACACATGTTCTGCTACGCTCATGACTGACAACTACCAAGACCTGATCTTGACTTGTTTTCCTGAGAGATGGAACCAACCAAAAAGAGATGCGCTCAATCTCTTTGATGGCGTGATAGAGGACATCAACTCAAAGACGCGACCACCGATCAGGTCAGTATACGAACTCGCTGCTTTGATAACAGACCGGTCTTCCGGGACCTTTGATCGCCATCAATGGAGTAGGGATGAGTACCGGTTCTTGGAAATGTTTGAGATGTCAATTGGCGCTTTGGTATGGCACCCGCTACATACTTCTAGAATATCACTCTACCGCCTGTTGACCACGGCTGACACTTTGGGATGCAGACCAGGCGAGAAACGGCCTTGTTCAGACGATTTGAAGCAGACTCGTCTGTTGCCGCCCATTGGCTTAGGAATCATGATAGAACCCGTTACACGCCGAAGACAATTGTGGTTCCCGAAGCTGATGCCGAGGATCTGGAAAATGAAGAAGATGAATGGTTGAGACAGGATGACGAAGGCACAGAACCAGGTGGGACCAACCGGTTTGTTGACCGACTCCTGAATATTGCCAAAGAGGCGCGTTTGCTGGTGGAGTGCAAAGATATTCAAGACGAACTTGGCATATTGACGATGGTTCTGCGGCAGCAGAAAGGAGCACTGCATGAAATGGAACGTTCCTTTGGGGAAGTACCTATGACGGACGATGACAAGCGATATGACCTCTCAAGGAAGCTTGCACAGCAGAAAGCACTAATTGATCTGCATCTGCTCGACATCGAAAGAATGGACAAGGCAGCGAAAGCTGTGAACATCAGCCTTACCCAGGTTCTTGATCTGAAGCAAAAACATGCCAACGCGCTTGAGGTACGCCGCATGATGTTCGTGGCCTTCGCAAGTGCTTACTTTAGCAGGCTCGCTTCACACGAGATCAGGCTCAAAACACAGCCAGGCAGGGCCAAACCATCATGGTCTTCACCATTGTTACTATCATTTTCCTACCAATGTCATTCATGGCAGCCTTCTTCGCCATCAACATCATTGAGTTTCCACGCGACTCAATCAATGGTGTCAATGGTATCCATCTCGGTTATGTGTCCAAGTATATGTTTGGGATTGGCTTTGGCATCTCGATACCACTCATCACCATAGCATTTTTTATGAGCGACACCGAGGGCTGGATAGCGAACTTGAAGAGTTGGTTGGGACGTCAGAAAGCAAGCAAGCGGGTTTCAGCGGCAAGGCAGAGCCATGCGGAGGATCGAGGTCTGGAAATGGAGAAAGGTCGACCATCAGTGGAGAGCTGGAGATACAGACATCTGGAAATGGAGAAAGGACGACCATCAGTGGAGAGCTGGAGATACAGAAATCCGGCAAGGGTTGACACAGGAGGCACAGACAACTTAACCAGGAGGAGCCAAGACATCCGGGTCGTCTCACCCGTTTGAGCCGCTTTTTGAAGAATGTCACATATGGCATGTTCACCAAAACGATATCCGAGTCGGGCAAGCCTGGGCATGCAATCGCGGTAAGTAGCCGCTAGGTCCTACGAAGTCCCCAGGGTTCGTCTGCACAGTGGCATTCGTGTTGGTGCTGGACACAACGTCCCACGGGATTCTCTTTCCACCAAACAGCGGCCATCCGAAGCTTTGAGGCCTCCTCCCTCCAAAAAGATATAGCGCTTGTCCTCCCGCAGCTCCACCCATCTCCCATACCTGACACGTTCCCCTCAGTGCCTCGCCATGTCCATGTCGAACCCCCTCCTGTCCCTCCTATTTGCAGGTCTTGCCTTACCAAGTTAGGCCATCCGCAAGAGCTACCGAACAATGGCAGCAAGACGGCCCCAATGGCGAATGAGCGCCTCTCCACGCTCTTGGGCCACGGGTCTCCCAACTGAATTGTTTGCGATGGAATAAGTGCCTACCGCTCCCCTATGAAGGACATGGTATGGAGTGAGATGGGACCGGGATCCACTCTGGTTGCCCTATTGGGCCAGCTAGTAGTCTATGTGCTACTGCCCGCGTTGGTGGGAGTGGTCATTTTAGACGGACACGGAAATAATGAATGTGTGTACAAAGGTCGTGTATGAACCCCCCCAAAATGAGGATTGTTGGATTTTGCTGGACACCAACACCAGGCCTTATGGTTATTTGTACTTTTAGTTAATGTGATCTAGTGATAGGCATCAGATACTCAGCAGAGCCTCTTTTCTTCTTGATCGAAGGGGTCCAATTGCCTGATGTGGTATGATAAGATGACCTGCCGTTAGCCCTTGTTTTCTCCGTCCCGGGTTCTATGATGGTGTTTTTCGAGTACTAAATGTACCAAGATCCTTTATCGCGTCTCAAACAGCCCGAGCTAGACTACGAAGCGTGATACTTTTTTCTTTGGGTTATTTCCTATCGGTCGACCTATTTCTTCTGTGCGCGTCTACTACCACGCTTGGTCTTAGCCACTCGCGCCGCTACGGACTCGGCTTCCTTCTCCTCAGCCTCTCCACTGTCACTACCACCGCTTCCGGGCGAGTCAGGCACGTCGTCCTTTGCAGCATCTCCAAGTTCATCTTCACTTTCATCTTCGTTCTGGTCCTCCTCCTTGACCCCCTTCTCGGTACCTAGTTCCGGCGATGCACCGTCATCCTCATCCCCGCGACTGACCTTCATCCACTCTCCATACCCTCCCTCTTCTCCTCTCTCCTCTTTCACCCTCATCTCCTGCATCATCTGTCCCACACCCTGCTCGACCTTCTCCACTCCATTCCACGCCCCACAACTACCACATCTCCATCGCCCGATTTCCTCTAGCGACCTGATACCCGGTGGTGCCTGGCCGTTTACAAGCCGGCAATTACCGCATATCAGGGCGAGACGGTTCTTGGCGAGGGTTTCGTCCTCGCCGAGCATGACGTCGAGGATGCGGTCGTACCATCTGTGTTGTTGGTCTGGAGCGTACGCGGAGGAGGAGGGTGGTGGGGGTAAGGAGAAGGCGTTGGGAGCGAAGCCGGGTTCGTCTGGAGAGAGATCGTAGGACGTTGAGGTGGATAGAGGGGATCTGGCGGTCATACTGGGTGGTGGTGAGTTGGCATTAGGTATTTGTCGGGCTGGGGTGGATGGCCTTGAACCCGCTTGCGGACTACGCCCCGGAATGTTCGCTGTAGGTGGAGGTGATAGGCCTGTCCTTTGCTGTGGTGGTTCAAGCGGCTTCGGAGTGGCCACTTTCCTTTTCGTACCTTGTTTTGCCCCCGATTGTGCTCTAGGCATACTGCCTCCATACTTGTTCAACAACTCTTGCGTAGTATCATACCTTGTTGCCTTCTTCAGCTGCGCGATCTTCTGATCCCTCTCCGCCACCAGTCTATCGAGATGTCCCTGCCGCCTCGCTATCTGCCAATCAAAGTATAGCGCTAGGATCCTTCTCACGCCATACACGACGATTGGTGTGCCTGCCAGACCAATATAATGTGGTAGGCTCCATTGTTGTGGGCCGAGGACAAGAACAATGAGGGCCGTGTAGACGAGATAGACGAGAGTGCTCCACAAGGTCCAGAATGCCTTGGCGCGATGGGCACGTGTGCGGGTTTTGTCGAGGGAGACTGAGGAGGAGGTGATCTGCGTAGATAGCCTAGAGAGGGCTTTCTCGAAGGAGGCGGGGGACGAGTCGTCCCGCGCGAAGGGCCACAGTGAAGGCATACTGATTACCTCTCTGTCGGAGTAGCAATATTACAGATGCTATTTGGCATGCTTTGCCCAGTTCCAGAGTATCGACTGTGTGCCCTAGGCTGCACAATGAAGAGATATTCGCAACGCGATGAGCTATCAGAGAGGCGTATGCCAAAGTAACACACTTCTGTCTCGAGCTCGTGTCTCGATCTCGTGTCTCGATCTCATCTCGGGTGATACCTCACTGTGGTATACTGTAGTATAGTAGCTAATCAAGACATTAGTTAGGTGGTACAGGGAAGATTCTGCCAAGCTTTCGTAGTTCGGCAATCAACAGCACAATCTCTTGGGGCCAGCTGCGGTCTCTTCAACAAAGTCTGCTGTATTGGATGTGATCTAAAACAGCACACAGAGATTTTGCCGTAATGGCGCTTTGGAGGGTCGGATAGCAGATGGGGACGCTCACCAACGCTCACCAGAAATAACTTGACAGATTTCTGCACGACATTACCCAGCATGTGGCTCACAGATATGCAAAGTTCGTCAACCAATCCGGGGAAATGCGCCAGAATAGCTACTGCAAAGATGCCCGCTTTGCGATGGCGAATATGCTGACGGGTCTGTTCTACAGAGATTGGGGTGGCCTTCTGCTCGGGCGGTACGTCGTGAGAACTTCAGCCAATTGAAATATGATGCTCATCACAATCAGGGGGCCTCTTCTTGACTGGCGGGGTGATCATGTTCTTTGACCGTGCAATGTGAGCTGCATTATTTCAAAGCTTGGGAAGAAACGTGACACTGACAGGGTTCAGGCTGGCTATGGGCAATGTCTGTCTCTCTAGTCTCTCCGTTCATAGATTCTGTCCAACACCCTGCTTATCTCTGCGCCCTTCAGATTCTCTTCCTCATTGGCCTCACCCTCATCATCGGAGTGCAAAAGACGTTTGTTTTTTTCTCCCGGCGCCAGAAGTGGAAAGGGACAGCTGCATTTGCCGCCGGCATAATCTTGATATTGCTCAGATGGCCTCTCACTGGGTTCTTGGTGGAACTCTATGGTATCTTTGTCTTGTTTGGGGACTTTTTCGCGACCATCGGGTCTTTTGCAGGAAATATACCTGTGGTCGGTCCGTACATACAGATGGGACTCGAGAAGATATCGGGCGGAAGAAGGAATGCAGAATTACCTGTATAAGATGCCAGTGACGCCAAGGAACAGAGAATGCATTTCACGGCGCCAGGGAGCTTGATAGGCAGAGTGATTGCAGGAGCTGTTGTGTGATCCTCTGAGAAATGTACACCACTACCGCTTTACCATACAGTTTCCACATGAAGCAACGGAGCACTATGACCTGGCGCCGATGCGTCTTCGGTCAGAAAGGGGAATGGCCTCCGATGCCATGTTGCCCAGAATCTCAGCGCCTCCCCTTCGCTGCGGAACTTTATGCCAAAGATCTGCAATCCCATGTTTCCAGGTGGTACACTGCCTTCTTCAGATATTGACGCTGGCGTTTCATGACTAGGAAGGTCATGCCAAGATGTACCCGCAGGATAAGGTGACATAATATCCCATGCTCTGTTCCGTGCTATCCCATCCTCTTTAAGAAATCTAGCAAATGCAGCCTGCCCGAGATGTCCGCCGTCTATCCGAACAAGAACTGTCCAGCTTCGAAGTTGGTCATACTCCGCCCACCGGGCGTGACGCTGGATTGATTGCATGATCGAAGGAGGGAAGTACGGCAGAAGTGCAGTGACGCCAAAGCTCTGTCTAGGCTGTAATAGGCAATATTCGAGCATGCGCTTCCAGACATCCTCGCCACTTTCTGGATCAATGTATCCAGGAGGCGGTGTCAGTCCTCTGCCCCAGATCAACGCGGCCTGGAGTGGATGAGTTGGCAAGTTCTTTACTGCATTCTCGTGATACCATCGTAGACGGGATTGGTAGGTTGCCGCCAGAAAAGGTGTTCGGAATACCACGATCCAGTACGGAAGTCTATCGAGTGTCGTGGGATGTCGACCTGGAATCGTGGCTTCGGAGTAGTAGTCAGCTTCTAGTGCTCTCATGTGAAGGAAGTAAGAAACGGACATCCCATGGCCCCTGAATCCGTCCGATTCTTCTCTGGCAAGAGTCTAATGAAGTCGGCCCTGGTGAGACTCGTAGATGCGGCGGGGACAATCAAAATTGTGCGACATGGTTTCTCAGCGCGAGCACGAGAAACTACCCTTATCTGCCCCCTCTTGTCGATTTCCACACCTCGACCAACGGACATCTCTGGAGAAGATATGGGTGAGGCTGTTGCGCCCTGTGGTTGAGCAACATTATCTTTGTGCTGTGATTCTTCCTCCAACCATGAAGTATCCTGAGGGGGAGTCTGCTCTTCTGGGTTCCCGGTGGACAAATATCGATGCTTGCGCAGATTCGAGCTTGCAAACTTGCTGATAGCAGGCCATAGCTCATTACTGAGCAGGACGCGTCTACTCTGCACTATCCATCGCATGGGAATTGCGGAGGCCAGGCATGGTAATGGCAGAGCTGCTTCTCCTAAGATTTGGATCTGAGAGGCACTTGGACTGCCACTGCCGACTCCACCAGTGCCAAGGCTGGGCATAATCTGGGGCTCAAGCAAGTGCACTGGCAGGCTGCTTGAAACACAAGCACCAGAAACAACTTACATCCATAGCAAAAGCATTTCCCCCCAACAAGATCACTTTCATAAACTTGACCACTATCAGTCACCATGCAGGCATGTCAGCAAGGACAAAGTTTACTGTTCGGCCACTCTCCAGGCCTCCGAGGTCCGATCTTAAAGATGCCTTGCGGGTGAACATATCAGCATCTGCTCTGCTCTCCCTGAAATTACGCCCAGGAGACCTATGTCTGCTGCAACAAGATGCTTCGCCGGAGAGGCCAGCAATTGCATGGCAAGCGGTCGAGAAGATTCAGGACAATGTGATACAAATTTCCAAGATGCTGCAAGACCTGTATGGACTTAAATTAGGCGACAAGATATCTCTTTCAAATACCAATACCGCTGTGCAAGATGCACACGCTGTCAAAGTTAGGGAAGTTGTAGAACTTGAATCTTCACCTCCAATTGGCCCTCTCTCGGACGAAGACAGGGCTCATTGGGCATGGCTGCTATACGATCCTCTGAGCAGAGCCGAGTGTCTGATGTGTGGCTTACACTTCGATTCTGTACAAGCTCGAGGTCAGAAACGCAACTTCATTATATCGAAGATTGACGGAGTTGATTCACACTCAAGCTCTACGATTTGTCGATTTACACCTGCTACCACGGTCTCGATTCTCTCCCGAGCAGACCAACCAGCCAGCGATCGAATGGTGGAGGGGCTGAGAGGTATCAAATTGGATGAAACTCGCATTGGTGGTCTCAGAAGGCAACTAGATCAGATCAATCTCCTTCTGCGTAGATTTGAACCACAATTTCAGAACCTCACACGCCATTACAACTATCAGCCAAGTCAAGGCCTTTTGCTTTATGGTCCTAAAGGAACAGGGAAGAGCCTGGTCATTGACACATTGGCTGACATCCCATGGCGGAGTGTTATCCGGTGGTCAGCTGTCTCGTTAGGAAGAAATGATCTTGCCGAGCAGCTGCTGAATCGGTTTTCGGAATCTTTGCATCAACAGCCCTGCTTGATGATCATTGAGCAGCTCGAAATACTAGCATGCAAGCGAGGTACCATGGAAGACTCTTCATATTCAAGCCTTGTGCCAGCTCTTCGACAAGGGTTGGAACTTATTCGAAAAGCCGCGGTCCTTGTGGTTGCAGAGGTCAGGCATCCAAACAATATCGACGACAGCTTACGAGCCCAAACAAGGTTTGGTATTGAGATAGAACTACCTGTACCCGCTGCAAATGGAAGACTTGAGATCATGCGCTGTATACGAGGCAATGCAGACCAGCCTGATGATGCAATACTCCAAGACGTTGCAGACCGAACGCATGGCTACGTTGGAGCTGATCTATTTGCCCTGTATCAACGCATCCTCGAGACAGCTGCACACCGTACCCTCGCCCTGCAGGAGAATATGGAGCATCAATTGAATAGTCCTCCTCTCGGCAGCTCAACTCACCAAAGTTCCCATCCCTTCCAACCTGACTCACAACCAAATCTCACAATCCTCTCAACCGACATAAATACAGCTTTGTCCTCCACCCGCCCCACCGCCATGCAAGAAGTGTTCCTCGAAACCCCTAATATTCACTGGTCCGACATCGGCGGCCAACAGCACACAAAACAACGCCTCCAACGCGCCGTCACCCGCCCTATCCGCAATCAATCCAGCATGCAACGACTCAACCTCCGCACCAACCGCGGCGTCCTCCTCTACGGACCCCCGGGGTGTTCCAAGACCCTCCTCGCCAAAGCCCTAGCCACGGAATCCGGACTCAACTTCCTCGCCGTCAAAGGCGCCGAACTGGTGAGCACCTATGTCGGCGAAAGCGAGAGAGCGGTGAGAGAGGTATTCCGCAAAGCTCGTGCGGCAAGCCCGAGTATCATCTTTTTCGATGAATTCGACTCTATCGCTTCTGTGCGCTCTGGTGGCGGTAGTTCCAGCCCAACCGGCGGCAGCAACCTCAACATCCTGACCACTCTCTTGAATGAGATGGACGGTTTCGAACAGCTCCGCAACGTCCTCATCGTTGCCGCGACCAATCGCCCTGAGATCCTGGATCCCGCCCTGCTTCGTCCCGGAAGATTGGATAATCTGGTCTATGTGGGTCCGCCGGATGTGCAGGCTCGGAAGGAGATCTTGCGCTTGTGGCTCAAGAAGAGTGATGCGGCGGAGGATGTGGACGTGGATTTGTTGGCGGAGATGACAGAGGGGTACAGTGGTGCGGAGATGGTGAGTATTTGTGAGACGGCGGGCGGGTTTGCGATGGATGATGAGGAAGTGGAGCAGGGGTCGGGTGAAGGAGAGGAGGAGGGTGGTGATGGTGGTGGTGGCGTGAAGATTGGGATGGATCATTTGAGGAGGGCGGTGGGAGAGGTAAGGAGGGGTATTACGGATGAGCTGGTCAGGGGTTACGTGGATTGGGGGACTGGACGTGGAGGGACTTGATTTACCAGGATAAAATCAATGGATCCTGGATTCGGCGTGCAGAAAAAAAAAGAATAATATTTTCGTTGAACGAATGTCCGGGACTCGGGTCACTCTGCAAACCCGGTCCCCCTGCGGCAAGAGTGCCGTTCTAACCATCATCAGCAAAGATGTCATCCACCTAAAATGCCTACCTCCGAGAGGAGACTGAAAGGTGAAAGAATAAAGTATGTGCCAAAATTCAACCGCGGTTCGCCATCGAAGAAGAACCCACAAGCTCATGCAAGCCGCTGATCCTCCTCGCCTTCTCATACGCACCAGGGCTCTGACTGGGCTTTCGACTCTTCGACGGCAACCGCGGCGGCAACCCCTGGCCCGGTCTCTCCTGCTTCTTCAATTTCTTCTCCTTCTCCTTCTCTGGACTCTTCCTCCCGCCCTTGGCTCTGTTCTTCTCCGAACCCGAGCTCGAACTCGGTGGGAACAACACTCGGTTGGGCGGGGGAATAATACCCTTCTCCTTGGCCCCACCAGCGGGGAATCTCTTCGCTGGTCTCAACGTGCTGTTCACTGCGACAGTGGTGGCGGCGGCGGCTTCCTGTGCACGCGCTTTTTCGAGTTCGGCTTTGCGCTTTTGTTTCTGTTGTTCTTCTTTGGCTTTCTTTTGCTGTTGGCGGCGACGGTGGAAGTCTTCAAGGAAGAGAGTGTCTAGTTCTGGGTGGGTGATCGAGGCGGCTGCTGGTTTCTCTGGCTTTGCGTTTTCTTTGTCGGATTCGGTGGTGGATGGATTGGTGGTGGGTTCGGTGGAGGAGGTGGTCCCGGGGGCTTTTAAGGTGGATTGGATGAGGTGTTTACGGACGGGGCTGACATCGTTGACGGCGGAGTGCTCAGGGATGGCCATGTTTTCAAGGGGCCAGTTTTTGGAGCTGGCGGGCTCGAGGGCCGAGCGGTATGGGTTGTACTTTGAGAAGGGACGGGGAAGGTAGACGGGTGTGGCGGAGGGGTAGGTGATGACGGGGGTGGTGCTTGGAGCTGAGATGGGGGAGACGTTGCGGGAGCTGAGTTGGGAGTCTGATAGCAGGCGCTCTGAGATGGGTGTTGTTGGGTTCTGCAGGGGTGAGACGGTTTGTGAACGTCCTGCTGCCTGGTCCTCTCGCTTGGCGTCTATCTCGATGAGGAAGGACATGGGTAGTTGGGAACGGGAAGGGAGAGTGGCGGAGCTGTGGAGGGGTGAGATGTCATGTCTCGATGGTTCTTGGAGGGTACGTCTGACGGGCTGTACTGGTGTTGGTAGAGGTCTTGTACGGCGGGGCGATACTCTCACCTCTGTACCAGCTCCTGGCACCGGCGGAGGAGTCTTGGGGGAATAAATCCGTGGCGAGTATGTTCGCTCCGGAGAGATGGGGATGGTATCTGATCTGCTGATCAATGGAGCTACGGAGGACGTTGAGTCAAGGCTTTCGTTACGCTTTGAACCGTGCTTCCGCTTCGACTGACCGTTCAAGGACCTCATTGCGGGGTGCATATCGATGCGAAGACCTTTCTTGTCTGATAATGACCTGTCCTCGTCGACGTGGAGAAACGTCTGCTTGGTTTCGGGCGATGCCACACATTTCTCTGTCAAAGTCTTTCCGTCGTCCACATCCAGAAAGGTATGCTTAACATTGGTCGATGGCGGATCAGTTTCGCTCTTCCGCCTCCGGCGCCAAGCCAGACCCGGGCAGAAGCGATATAGACAGAAAATCATGACGCCGAGTATGAGCGCTGAGAATACAGCGACCAGTGCAATTTGCGACTTCGCCAGGCGTGGAGATGCTGATCTGGTCTGCAAATTCGCTGATGCCTCAGATTGTCTTTGATAAAGAAGGAAAACCGAGGGCATGTTGGCATCGACATGGGTTTGACCGGCAATTAATTGATAGTGCTGCAGGAGTAGAAGCGGGGTGCTTGCAAGGCGCGGATTCTGCGGAGCTTGTGGTAGCGTTGTACTCTGTACAAGGGTTTTTTTGTGACAGCGGTGCTGAGGCACTCCCACGTTCCGAACGTCTTGGGTTTCACGGTAACATGGGGGCTGTTAGTTAGCTCTAGAAATAGACGACTGCCCCCAAGGTAACTAGCATCAGGCGAAGCAACAGTGGCGTAGAATAATAGACGGCCCACTGACGCAGGGTCTTGGACAATGTTGGATCCAGGACTTTGTCTCTGGGCCTTGTCGACAGATGGATGGTAAATTCGGCTGCAGGATTGAGTTCGTATTTGGGACTTTCAGTTCAAGCCGTTACTTGCCTCGCTGCAAGTGAAATAAATTGACCGGAATGGGTAACATTACCGGATAAGGAACGGATAATCATGAATCAATGAGGTAAGTAGATAATCTTCACTGGTGATGTATTCACAGAATCCATATCTGCGAAATTTCTTCAGGCACTCGGATCAGCGAAGGAGGGACCCAAAGCTGGAACAACAAACGGGTGAAGAGCGTGCACTTATAGGTCCCATATTAAGCAGAGAAGCACAGCCTGGACGGCGCAGAAAGCAAGCAGACTGACCTCATGGAATCAACATGTGAATTTGCGTCACCATCGCCGCATGCCTCGATATTGCTATAGTTGGTGTTGCATGCGACGCTGGGGCAGCTATGGTTTCAGGACAAGTTCGCCAGCTTACCCAATAATGGTAGATTGAAATACACGGGAGAGGTGACACATTTGGCTAGTTGCCTGCTCATCCGATACACTGCAGGTTCGGAAGAGCAAGTCCTTGTGTAGTGTGCGATTAGTTATCCACAAGTGAGGTGGCCTAACTGTCAGTTACATAATGCATCAGGGAGCAAACCAGTGTCCTGCGCGGAGGTGGCATTGGAGAAGTAGGCTGAGAAGGCCTTGAAGATGCAAATACTCCTTTTTTCCTCTGACATGCTTTGCACAAGAGGTTCAGCTCAAAGAGCTACCAGCAGCGATATCTATCTCTAACTTGGTTAACTGGTGGTAACATGGTGGTAACATGGTGGTAACACGGTGGAAGGGATGTTCTAGGGGCCGGAGCACTCTGCCGGGCTTGGCGATCGAGGTGGAGCCAACAGTTGAACCTTAACCCCGCAATGTCTCGTCTTCACCTCTGCACGAGGCTTGGAGCTCTGGGAGGCTCTACAGGTGCCGTTTGAGCTCCAAGGCAGGTGAGCTCCAAGTCGCATTTGCTTCGAATGAGTGTCTGCTTGCATTAGCCCAAAGCAACTGCCTGAGCCTGGTCGAAGACGCAAACAATGCCAATACAGCATACCATTCGCACTACTCTCCGCACATGGCATCCTCCGCGCGTTGCTTCATTCTCTGAATCGACCTCGGGCCTTTCCAGGGCTCATATAACACGCCCACTAACCAGCACCAACCACCAACACTTCAAAACGCTTGCGCTGGCAATGAGCAGCGGAGAAGAGGAGCAAAAGCCAGCCTCTCTTTCTGTTATGGCGCAGGCCTACGATCTCAACAAACCTACGTTCGATATTCCTCTCGACAACAAAGGGACCATTCTCAAATGCAACCTGGTCATTTCCTCCGCCGTCAAGAACCCTTCCTCCCTAATCACCGGCCTCTCAGAGCTCCTTCGGCGCCCTGCCGACGCAACGAACGACCTGCAAACCCTAAGCACATCAGCGCCATACTGGACTCTAGAATCCACCAACGACTCCATCATCCGCGTCTTCGCCTTCGAGGCAGAAGAACAAGCTCGTCTCTTTCGGGACAGAATCAGCGCCGTCAGCGACGAAATGGATCATCATGCGCGCATGAGCGTGGATAGCGCAGCAGACTCTTCGAATCCTGAAGGCAAGGTAACGAGAATGACCGTGACGTGCACGACACATCGGCCACCGGGGCTGAGTATGCGGGATATACGGCTTGCAAGGAAGATTAATGAGATTGCAGAAGGTCTCGGGTGAAAGATTAAAAGATTGATGTGTCATCCGAAGGAACAAGATCCTACACCGGACTTGCACTTCGCCTTATGGGAAGCCTTCTCATCGGGATATCCACAGTCGAGGATCACGTCAGACGAGGCGAGGTCGTCTTCTCCTGAGTTTCAAAAGCTCTCCCATGATGCCTTACACAAACAGCAAACCCCCAGTCGAAAATTTTGCTATTACCAATTTAGCCTCCGACGACAGATGTTGCTGATGACCAGAGGGCAGATTACTGTTCTAGAATGAGGACAGAGGCAAGGAGTTGATGTAGATGTTAAGGTAAGATGTCTTGGTCCCTGAAAAATGCCTTGCACACTTCTTTACCAAGTACGTCAATATTCATCCGTCCAGCAGATGGACCAGATCAATCGTACAGACCGCCGTGGGACGTGGAGCTGCTCGGGTAGATGTTATTGTTGAGAAATTGAGATAGTAAAGGCATAATAATTCACGGCCGCCTAAAGGACAACGCCAGAGCTCGAGAGAAGCAGAGTGTTAAGGATATTGTATGTCGCTCATTACGCTAAAATTACCTACCACCGAGGGCCACTGTGAAAGTCTATACTGCTCTATCATGTATCGCGTCTCCCGAACATATGTACAATAGTGATCCAGTGTTTCGTTATGCACCTTCGAACGGCACTCTACTCTATCGCAAACCGCTCCAATCGTGCCAATTCGCTCAAGTCACCTTCTTAGCTTGCGCCTTTCTCGCCGCTCTCCTCTTTTCCGCCGCGGCACTACCACTCTCAGTACCGCACGCAAGATCCCACCACCTGAAACTGCTTGAATAATTACCAATGAACTTCTCGTGATGAACATCGTGATGATCCGCACCAGCCCAGAAGGGCAGGATATGGTGCAACGACCAGGGAAACTCGTATCCGGAATGCGCATCGATGGCTTGGAATAAACGCAGCACAATCCACAGATACATTGTTAAAATATGCAGATCATGGGTGATTGCGCACCAGATGATGGGACAGACGACGGTGCCGAATCCGAGAAGAAGCACTTCGATTGGACTTGCGTATTCTGCGGCTAGACCGAACGGTGCGGAATACTGGTGATGAATCTTGTGAATCATCTTGTAAAGTTTGGGGGTGTGGAGAGCACGGTGAGACCAGTAGTGCCATGTATCTTCCATAACGAAGAAGATGGCGATCTGGTAGGCCATGGTGAGGATGGAAGGGAAAGGAACGGTGGTTGAGAGACCGCAATATTGAGCTAGAGGATGAAAGAGCCAGATTTGGGGCAGCTCAACGGTGAAATGGGAGAGCAGGACTAATTTGGCGCAGTTCCACTGTTCGGCTGCAGTGGGGATCTTTTGCTACACAGACGAAAAATGGTGGTTAGCATCTTGCTTGCTTGCTTGCTTCGCAATAAGATAGAATGTCAGCGCAACTCACATTTTGGATTTTGTATTTGTTCAGCCCGGGAAGTCGATCGGCTATCATCCAAGGCAAGGAGCGCCCGAAGTAAACCATTTCATGCATTACAAAGGACATGATGCCAGTGGCGAGGACATCGTTCTGCATGTAGGCGTACCAGGCGGCCCACATCCGCTCCGCAACGTTGAGGTGAACATTGTACTTTGAAATCTCGTCGAATTGGCCCCAGTAAGTGTGTGGCTGAGGCGAGAAGAGCCCCGTCGTCACCGTGGAATTCCTGTTGGGAAAACTGTTAGAATGTATATCACACGCATGCAGACAGCGGCATACATCTTGGAAGCTCCACCTTGTGTCTGAAGCTGTGCTTTGATCCACAAGGCAGTGAATTGGAGTAAAAGTGAAAACAAAGGCTGTGGATGTAAAGACGGATATCCGGAAAGTTGCCCAAGGGGGAAGGTCAGGAACAAGCCAACCAAAAAAAAGGGTTTGTGCCTTGTGATTGGTGGAGAGTTTAGGTACCGTAGTGGCGTGAGCTCCCTAGATCTTTGGTGCCGGGTGTCGGGAAGTCAGTCATGCCACGTATTTAAGCTTTGTGGTATCGCCACCCACCCGAAACTGTGTTGGGGTCTTTATATGCTGAGATCACAATTATGGCGAGTATATTCAATACGACTTAGTACCATACTTTATCACGTTTCAAACCCATAGTTAAGTGCGCCTAGTCTGTCACCTAGGATTTGCAAACTGATACGCCATAATCGTTCACCCATCTCGCGGTCCTGGCCTTTGCTGTTGGGCTGCCCGATCTTTTTGTCAGGTACGATATATTGTCCATGAATGCCTGATCCTTCGTATAAATCCTTCCCTGTTACCGCGAAGACCCCGGACCTACATCCCGTCTTAATAGGGTCCACAAACGCAGGCCAAAATACATTGGCTAGAACCTTGCCTATCCATCCATATGCAATCTCCAATTGAAAGGGTTGAGCCGTACGGACAGCGCCGGGATGCGTAGCATTGACCAGCACGGGGCGTGGCATGTTTGTAGCTGGGTCGTAAGATGGTGATCCTAGCTTGCCTTCGTCGAGCCGTCTGGCTAGCTCCCGAACGATCAATATTTGTGCAAGTTTTGAACGACCATACAGATAAGTTGGCCCAATATTCTCGGTAAGCTCCTTCTCGGACTCAAATTTCGTGGATTTGGGGACCCAGCGATGCATCTCCGAAGACATCATCATAATTCGAGCGGATGTCTTGGTCGAGGCAGCAGTAGCTTGTAATGTTGGAAGTAACATTAATGCTAGATGAAGCTGGGATAGCATGTTGACCTGGAAATGGCTGTCCAGACCCTCCTTGGTGAGCTCGAACCCATTGATGCCAATGCCAGCGTTGAGTACGAGCTGAGGTGCACGACTATCAGCGAAGATCGCCCGTAAATGTCCATAGCACGTACTGCATCAATCCTTTTCTCCTCTTCCCTTAGCTTCCTAGCCACTTGGTCGACCTGCCGCAGATCCTTCAGATCGCATTTTTGCCAGATGACTCTACTTGTATCGCCCCAGGAATTCAGCTGCCCGATTGCCTTCCTTGCATTTTCTTCCTTGTTTGAAAGAGTGATGATTTTAGCTGCATTATGCTTGAGCAGATGACAGATAATAGCGAAGCCTAGTCCTGAGCTTCCTCCTGTAACGACAAAGACCTACATTAGTCATGAGCATGAAGTCCTTTAAGTAGTGCACGGTTGGACGAGACCTGATTCTGCAGATCTGGTATATCCTTGTCTGGGTCAAAAGTTGCTTCCCGCATTACATACATATTGAACCGTAGCTTGCGATATCAAGAGAAGCTCTTGCTCGACTCACAAAGGAGGGTGGAGTAGGGACACGTAGCCTATCGACGACAGAGCACACCCAAACCTAGGGAAAGGAAGTGAAACAATGCAGAAAGCTTCGAAGATAACGACCTCCACAGCCTCTCAGAGAAAAGAATGAAGCACGATATGGAGATGAGCTATTGGAAGAAGACGGAATGAGTACGGCGCGTGTGTTGATGGTTGGCCAAAGTCCGGCAATAACCAGTAGTACCTGGCAACGACCGTTGCAATGACTTCATCCAGCATGCCCCTTATCAAATACCTGACAAGCAAGTTCATTGGAGAAGAGTAAGCCAATGGCGCACTTCATAGTGGTAGCTGCATGCAAGTTCAGTCCCACGACATTTGACAAGAATCGTGTCCCAGACGTCCATGTGGTCCGTCGCGGTCGATCCACGTCATCGGCACGGGGAAAAATAGTCTGGGGTTCCCTAGCTTTGGCTGCGAAGTGCTTCGGCCAGCAGCCCCTTCGACACAGGGACCAGCAGCACAAACAATAGAGCTCTGCTGTAATCCTAACTGTCCTAGGATGTCGTTGGTTCAGGAGTAAGATAATATACACTTTGCTCTCAGCTTGAAGGTGTTATTACTGAATTGCGTGATAGCCAGATTCGACAACTCGACATCCAGGTTGATCGATTCCAGCTAGCAGGTGGAAGAGATATCGCAGCACTTGTCGCCTCAGCCGAGAATATCACCGAAGCATCCCAAAGGGATGTCTCCTATCGATTAAGCACACTGAAGGCCGTCTCCCGAGCTCTGTCGACAAACACCTCGTCGCCTCTTCTTAGGCGCAGAAAGGTCAAAGAACTTCTAACGCAAGCGCGGCATGGCGATGCAGTCGAGTCGACTTCTTCCGGGGTCCCCAGTCAGGAGGCAGATCTGGAATGGCTAGTAGTGGCCAAAGCTGCAGTGCAGGTGTATGGCATGATCTTGACAACCTTGTTGGAGCAGACAATTCCATTGAGTGATGAGATGTGGTATTGGGACAAAGTCTTGGGGTCTTATGTCAACACGGCTATCTACACAATACAGACTGCACCTCTTCAGTTATGGGCACAAGCTAAAGACATATACGCCGATACGAAGGAGAAATATAGGTCGAGGAGAGGCCTTCAAGCATCCTCGGAGGAAGCTTCACAGACGATATCAGAGGGATGGCGGCAGTTCTACAGTTTGGTCCAGGAGAGTGTCAAGGTTCGTTCTCTGAATCAAGCTCGAACCAGAATCCTGTCGCCTTTTGCACTCCGCAGAACTGAAGCACGCAAAAAGCAAAATGGTCTCCGGCGCTTACGTGAAATGAACTCCACTGGTATAGGACTCCTTATTGATGAAGGCCTCTCGTTTTCTGTGCCAGATGATTATTCCATGGGGCTCAAAGCTGAGGAAAGTCCGAAGCTGACTCAGGACGAATGGCGCAGCATCGTTGCAAAGTCCATTTCTTTGATGGAAAGTGTACTCAGAAATGTCAATACCCTTGACTCTGGTGTTGCTGAGTTCGAAGAGGGAGTCTTTACCAGTGTCGAGGAAGATCCTGAGATTGTCTCAACGTCGAGTGAAAGTAACGGAGGGTTGATAAGAGCTGGTCAACTGATAGACAGGCTGCTGGTCATTCTGAATGAGCATCTGCCAGGACAAGAACAAAGATCCTCGGCATTGACGAGAGATTACGCCCGGCCAAATCGTTTCATCCGATACTGGCCGGTAGGCATGTTCCTCATTGTGTTTGGTAGCACCATTTTACGTTTCCTTGCGAACAGAAGGGCGGTAATCAAGACATGGATTCAGGAGTTCGGTGTTACAGTGGTCGACTTCTGGACTAACTGGATCATTGATCCCGTCAAGAAACTGATCGGTACCATTAGGCATGATGAAGGAAGCGAGGTGGCAATCATGAGTAAGGACAGTCTCAAAGCCGACAGGGAAAGCTTGGAGCGTATGGTAGTGGACTTCGCTATCGACCATCCAGACGAAACAGGCAGGACGTACACAGAGTTGGAGATCGAGACCATCAGAACCAAAGTGAAGGAAGGTGATCTGACTCCTGTGCTGAAGGCTTATGAACGAGATCTACGGAAGCCTTTCGTGGGAACAGTCCGAGGTGATCTGGTCAGAGCTCTCCTCATTCAGGTTCAAAAAACCAAAGTCGATGTTGAAATTGCCATAGGTGGCATTGATTCTCTCTTGAAGAGTCAGGAGCTTGTTTTTGGCTTGGTGGGCTTGACTCCAGGGCTTTTGATTTCGTTTGCAGCGTTCAGTTGGCTCGGTGGCGTCTTCGGTAATAGAAAAGGCCTGAGGCAGAACAGAAAACAAGGGGAAACGATCAGAGTCCTCAGGTAACATTCACAAGCTATCTCCATGTTACAGATTAACAATATTACAGGAACATCGATCGAGTCCTGGCCACTTCGTTGCCAACCGAGAACGGAATGCTTTCGTACAAAGATCATGGACTTTTGTTGTGCGAGGTTCATGTGCTGAGGCAGCGCGCTGCTGCAGTCCTACCTGGCGATATCCACCGAGAGTTTTTGGAAGATTTGAGTGATTTGATAGACATCAGATACGGTGTGCAACGGCAAACGAAGGTGGTGGAGAGAATTCAATGGGCATATGCAAAATGGTTGCGATGAAACAGCGGACGGACATGCATATTTCAAGCATTTTAGCGAGCGAGCATAGTTTTGAGCGCACGAACTCGGCAGCATTCAGTTTTTTCATTGGATGAATTCAGATATCGGAACATCGAGCATTGTGACAACACCTCAACGCGCTCCCTTCATCTACGTATTATGTATTATGTATGTACTACGTATGTTGACAACCTTAGTGTGGCAGCGGCTATGATGCAGTGGCCGGAGGGCCAGGGTTGCCGCCAAGGCAACTTTGTTCTCAGGCACAACTTGACCTGGAACTGAAGCAGGAAATCTCATGACCGCCGACATCATCTGCCCACGGACTCCAGACATAATCCTTTGCCCAAGAGCTTGCCAGTTCAGCTTCAGAGGGGCGATCAGTGATACATATCTGCGCAGACAGTTCTCTTTTCTTTTTTATACATCACGGCAGCAATCCTCCATTCCCGGTTTACTACGTAGTCCCTCGTCGAGCATAGCACAGCCCTAGTTTGAAACTCAGCAAAGGCAACGCTCAACAAATTGCTTCTTGATACCACATTTGAACAGCCATTATGGCTGGCACTCGAAACTACGATTTCCTCGTGCGTTGTTGCAGCCTCACCTTGTGCAACCCAGCCGGCTCTCGAAGATCCATATCTAACTGTCCGTTTCACAGATCAAACTCCTCCTCATAGGCGACTCGGGCGTCGGTAAATCCTGCTGTCTGCTACGTTTCTCCGAAGACTCTTTTACACCCTCATTCATCACAACAATCGGTATCGACTTCAAGATCCGAACTATCGATCTTGACGGCAAGCGGGTGAAGTTACAAATATGGGACACGGCAGGACAGGAACGATTCCGAACAATAACCACGGCATACTACCGAGGCGCAATGGGCATATTACTGGTATATGACGTTACGGACAGGAAGAGTTTTGACAGTACGTTCCCCGGATGCGTCTCACGATCAGGATGGCCGAATTCTCTGCATCTTAGCAACCCAGGCAAAGCACCGTACTAACACCATCGTGTCCTTTCCCACAGACATCCGCACCTGGTTCTCAAACGTGGAACAACACGCCTCGGAAGGCGTCAACAAGATCCTCATCGGCAACAAATGCGACTGGGAAGAGAAACGCGCCGTGTCGACACAACAGGGCCAGGATCTGGCGGACGAGCTCAATATCCCCTTCCTCGAGGTGTCGGCCAAGTCGAATACCAACATTGAGAAGGCGTTTTACAGCCTCGCGAGCGATATCAAGAAGAGATTAGTGGATTCGAGTCGGAATGACTCCGCGGCGCAGACGGCTGGGGCCTCGGGCGGAGGTGTGAAGGTGGATTCGATGGGTGGGATGGCGAGCGGGGTGGGTGGGAAGTGTTGTTAGTTGTCATGCTTGTGCTTTGCTGTACAAGGGATCGTATGCACAGAGAGAGGGGGGGGTGTATCAGGAGCTGGTTATGCTGTCTTCCAGCGTTTCCAACGCCATACGCTTTCTGTGTCTCTACGCGGGGATTTTTGGTAGAGCGAAGCCGCCGGACCCAGCAGGAAGACGGAGTCGACGGCGTTCCTGGGGTGAGAACATTTATCCAAGATACTAATCTCCGTGCATTGGTCCGGAAGCAGGTTCATATCGGCTACGAAATTTCAGTTTGTGCATAGATTTAATCTTGCTTGCACGCTCCCTTATGTTCTAAGGTATTCGTCAAGGCCTGCGGCGGCAGTCTAAGCCGGGCAGTAATAAAGATGCTAAGGGAGGTTGACAGGACAAAAAAGCAGTGCAACGCGAGATCTCTTAACCTGGCAATCACCAACTTATGCATTCTTTCGGTAAAGGTACAGAGGTGAAGTGGGAAGGAGGGAAGAAGAATATGCCAGTCTCCATCAGTATCAATTGCTTCTCATCATTCGCCTTCCGTGCTGTGTGTATGCTTTTCTCAAACCTGTAGTGGGGAGCCTGCTACTCCAGCCCACTTCTCTCCCATGATTAGATTTTTCTCCCACAGTTCCAATGTCTAATAACCCGTCCCCACCAGATAGTCACCCAGTTTTTCTACTACCGTCGCCGCTTGTCCCGGTTGTACCGTCTCTGGATAGTGTGTGATGAGGAGGGTCTGCTTGGTCTTGACGATCACGACGCCTTCTTTGCCCTGGAACGATCTGTTTTTCAGCTTGAAGTCCGTTGCTCTAGTGCTGAAGACCTAGCCGGCGGGTTGGGATTTGGGTGGGTGCCAGTTACGCACCTTCTTCCCGTATAAACTCTTCTCATCGGCTTTTATGACAAAGTATTTTTCTCCGGCGAGATGGAGGCCCGTCGCCTGCACGGCTTTGGGTTCGTTGGTGTCGTTGTAGGCGGTGACTACTTCTCGGAGTTCCTGGGGTGATAGCTGTGGATCACGGAGGCTGATCAGTTGGGTGCCTCTGTGTAGATTTGCAGGAGGAGTGGAGGATGGCTAAATAGGGTCTGTGGATTCCTGACAGAGCATGCCGAGCTCTCGGTGTGGTGTGGAATGTTTGCAGTTCCCCGACCTGATGTGTCAACGGTCTGGCGTACCTTGAAGTCTTTTGAGGTTGCCCAACAGCTTGTGCCTTCGGTATTGAAAATCGCCGCCTTGTCTACGTGGCCGGTGCCCACCAAGCTGTGTCAAGTCCAGGTCAGTATCGCCCATGTAAGGCTTTAGTGCAGCCTCTGCTGACCTCTGATCAACGTATGCTGGTTCATCATGTCAGTGCTACTGTATGAAATTTGCGCATGCTCCGCAGTGGTGCAGATTCTCACCTTGCCAAGACATCTTGACAGTTGCCCTCGCCTACTTAAGAAACTGTTGGGTGGGAGGAGGAGATTACTCGGAAGGGCGGAAGACAAGTTTATTCGCACGATATCCAGAGGTTGTCACTACCTCGACTGGGCTGGTGACTGGCACTGACTTGAGTATTCTAGTTTCTGGCCAGAAGAAGGTGGGGAAGCTTTTGAGTAGGCTGGGTAAAATAAAGTGGGGGTTCGCCTGGGGAAATAGCGTAATCTTTAATGGTTTCCGCCACCTGTTCCCTTCCTTCCTGAGGTGAATTTGTTTAGATATCGATACGAGCCGGCTTTCCTTTTCGAGACTCACGCATAAGACATACATACATACATACGTACGTACATACATACATATGTTCATCGTAGCATGAGTTTCGCTGCAAGCACAAAGATTAACTCCGCATCGCAGATCCTTTGAGTTGGCTATTTTTGGACTCAGACATGCCACAAGGCTGCTGTGGTTGACTCGGGTATCCATATTGTGCAGGCCTCACTCGATACCTGTCGCGGTCTGCCTTCAACCGCCCGGTGTGGTGTTGGCGGGACCATGATGGATGGTTCTTTTGTTCGGATGGCTAGTTTCTTTGAATTGAAGGGATACGGGTAGATCAAGACTTCAAAGCTACAAGAAGATAGCGTCCAGACTATATCTCCCCAGGTATCACCCTGCACAATGTGCTTTGAAATGGGAAGAGGCTCTTAGATGGGAAGTCTTCAAGTGTCGATGACTCGGTGTCCATGAGCTATATCAGTATGGCCATGATGTAACCAGCGAGAAGCTCTAAACACAAAGCGTAAGGAGATGACGGTTGATGTGAATCAGCTCTACCTTGCAAAACCAAGGCCGCACACAGTGGCATATTCGTTTCTGCTGCTGTTGCTGCTGCTTGGTTTGAGGGTGGGTTATAGTCTGCGATAATTTACTACCACAGCTATTATTGAAGATCATGGAGAACAAGGCTGCTATGCCACCGTATGCATTTGTGCACAGGGGAGTGGGACCAGGACGGCACGGAGCACGTTTTCAAGATAACCAATATTCCTCATAATTTATTCTCCGAACAAATGAAAAGTCTCGATGTGGATCAAGGTGACAGCCTTTATCCCCTGAACTGACTAGTGGAAGTTGGGAGATTTCCGAGAGCCTGTCACTTCCAGATCTTGCTACATAAGAGATCTAGTGTGTTTCAAACTTTCCTTGGCCTAATCCAGGCTGTCAGTCCTGCTTCTCTGACCCTTGAACCATGGTAACAGTATTCGTACTGCCTCCGGACAGCTTTGAAACATAAGAAGAGGACTTACGAACTCCTACGATCCATCAAGGATCCGAGTATGTTGGGAAGGGAGCTTACCAATAGTGTTAACGACGAGCAACTAGTGATCTGAGTCGTTGTTTCAAAGCTTGACGTCCTGCCTGGCAGTCCCCCAATGGAATTCGACGCTTGGCTGCACCAGTTAAGCAACTATTTAACAACACTAAGCTGCCAGCGGGCAATCATCAGCAGGGAAGATTTAGCGTGTCCATTGATTGCAACTTGCTCCCTGAATCCCGGTGCCACAGACACGCAATCTCAGTCATTTATCCAGTTGCGGCGAGCTCTCTGGTCTTTCTCCTGGGCATCTGGCGCCTGCAGAAATTAGCCTCCAGAGAGTGTGAAAGTATGTAGTACATACGAAGTGACAGGATCTAGGACCCTGCTGCTCCTTTCATCCTGTCCTGTAGGTGTTCAGCGTATTACTCAGGAGCTATTTGTCCCTGGCTTTCTGTGGATCATCTCTTTCTCATCATGGCCATTGGCTTCTGCAGATCACTCTAAGCTTACCCCAGTCTTGCGAAAGTGAGAGTGGACCTTGGAAGAGATTGCGCAATGAGCTCGTGAGCCTCCTACATCACGCCGGTGCGCCTCCTTTGAGTCCTGAGCGCCCCCTCCTATCTTTTCATTCTCTAGCGCTGTTTGCTCCTTCTTCCTGCGACTTCGACTATCGCGACAATATTGCTGCGCGCAGTTGTCGGCAGCCTTTGCTGTGCTGACTGTCTGCTTCTCTGTTCTCCTGCTGGTTTCGGTGAGACCGTCTGTGCTTTTGAAACGATTGTCCCAGGTCCCACCTATCGCGACAATTTGAAGCATACCACTCTCGAAATCTGAGTTACGCCATTACTAGCTAGGCTGATGGCAACGAATCGGCTCGCACAAAGTTCAAGGAAACAGTCTATTGGAAGTGAAGCGGAAGGTCTTCCAGGAGTGCACCAATGTTCCGCTGCTGATGGGAAACCGCAACTTCCACATTCCGAGGAGAATAGAAACATTGCTACAGGCAGAAAGGATTCAGAATCTGGAAGGAATACAAACATTTTCTCGAGATCGAGATCCCGGGGTAGAGCGGAGGAGAAGCGACCTTGTATAACAGGACGTTTCTCACGGTCCAAATCGCGAAGCCGAAGACAGCCCGACGAATCAAAAGGTCAACTGAGTCACTCCAGGTCTCAAAGACGCTCCAAGTTCGAAGAAAAAGATAGAGATCTGGCTGACCTACCCACCCCTCAATTGACACGACTCGACTACACGACTGTTCATGGCGATGCTTCAACGATTGGGGTAGCTGTGGGCAGTCCAAGTCAACTTCGACCTATAAACCCGGGGCCACTTGGTCAATCATCCTTAGCAGAGACGGATATGAGCCTTTCGAGCTCGTGTGACACCTATTTCGAAGATCCGGCAAGCAAGATCAGGAACGCGAAGTGGAGGAAGCTTGGTGGCCTTTTCAAGGCAAGAAACGCATTCCTCGACGACCCAGCTCCATCACCATTCTATCAATTGCAGGCACGATATGTTCCCCAGCCGGTCAACAATTCCGAGTCAAGTTTCCTACCTTACACTACCGATCCCGCTCCACCAGCACACGATGCAAAATTCCTATTCGATCAAATACTTGAATCTGATGGCCAGCTTCACCCACAGAGGCATGTGGGCAGTCCGCTGCAGCCTGTACATGGCGCACGGGGCCGGTCAAGGAATGTCTCGAACGCTTCAGGTGGCAGGTCGGCGCAGCAGAACTTCTCTCATCTGGGTCTACCACTTCTGGACGTTAAAATCCCACATGTGCAGATGGAGCGGTATAGTGTCATGTTTGGAAACGTACTTGACAAGACTCTCGGAAACTTGGTAACCAACCCTGATGAGAACGCAGATGGTCCCCGGGTTGCACATCTGCAGGAGCCACGTGCGGAGAGGTCAGAGACAACGTCAATCACCAAGGACAACGCATATCTCGTACCCGAGCCCAATACCACCTACCCTCGTCGAGCAACATCACCCACTCCATCGAAATCACCATCCTTTTCACTCTTTCCGCAGCTACCCCAGGCTCCAGAAATGATTGTCGGTTCGCTCCCGCCAAGAGAGCAAAGTCCACTTCAGAGATCCTTTACTGCTCCGGCCCGGTTATCACCAATGCAAGAAAATTTCAGTCCTGACCAAATGCAAGCACCACAAGTAGACGATTTGAAGGCTGATCACGAAGCCACCGCCAGCCCGATCCAAAGCGCCTCGATGTTTATCCAAGAATGGGATTCTTTCAAGCGTGCTGTCCACTCGCCCTCATCAACTTGTTCCTCTATAGTTGACGATGTACGCTTAGCGACGATGTCAATGGACACACCAGAAGGAATTCGAGATCAATTCGAGGTTACAAATGATCAAGAACTAAAAGTATCACCTCTTAAGCCCAAACATCTGGCTAGGGACACTGAAGATGAACTTGTCACGAGGCAACACACCGAAACCCATGTGCAAACAATGACCAGGGTCAATGTACACGAAGACACGTTAACAGCACTAGAGCGTCCCAGATCTATCACTTCAAAGAGCAACGACGCTTCTCGCAGTTTGCAGCCATCTAAAGCCCGCATAGATCAGATCATGCGCGGTCCCTTACCTAATCAGCATCCAGAACCGCCGTCTGATCTAAGGAATGGGCATAAAAAGCCCAACAAACCACAATCGGCCGTCGTTAACGAACAGTTGCTGTATACCGGAGATGCTTCACCATTGCGAGATGGAATTGGAAGCGCTACCCACGAGCTAGCTATTCTGTGTGCGTCCGCTAGAGATGTTCCTGTTAAAGAACAAAAGGCTGCTGCATCTAGCCAGAGCCCTCCTTACATCGAGCTGACACCGTCGCAGATGCAGCAATTAACGAGGACTCTACAACAGCCAGCACATGGTTCCGGTGCCATTTTCCCTCCCGGACGACAGCATCCAACCGTTACACAGCGCTTGGCACAAAATGTTCCCGATTCTCATACAAGACAACCTCCACAGATCCCTGTGTCTGGCACAACACAACCTCCTCAATTTGACATTGGACATCCTCAATCACGTCCTGCCATAGCAAATACCTCTCATAGACTCCATCCTACATATCCCAGACCATCCCTCAATGCTAGCAATCAATCATTTCCAACTTACAAACCGCCACCTCCAATTTCCAGAGGGCCTAATCAGCCACCCTTCAACCAATCCAACACACAGACAAGACTAGATGCTCGCTTTGCGACCACTCTTCAGACGGAGAAGGATCAGGACAATATAATTGATTATTACCTCGACGATAACGATACTAAGTCATCTTCTCAAACACCTAAATCGCCTAGGAAACTGCAAAAGCGACTTTCAGACAAAGCGAAGAAACGCTTGTCCCATAGCAGCAGACCCTTTCCATATCCAAAATCAGAGCCAAAGTCGGAGCCAAGATCTGAGTCACAATCATCGCAGCCCTCCAAGACAGCACCCTGGTCTCCTATACCCATCTCAAAGTACTCTCCCAGTATCGTCCCTTTCCTAAATCCCATTGTGTCTCCTCCTACTACCTCACAGCAAAGCCATGATCACGCTCGGCGTTACTCCTCAACCCTCGCCGAACAAGATCCGTTAGATCCACATCTGCTCTCTCCAGCCGTCCGTGCCGCCAGAGAGAAAGCCACGGAGCTCATCAAAGCTTCCTCTGTCGGCGCCTTCTCCCAGAATCACACTGACCCACCATCAACATTATATCAGCCGCCTAGACCTACCCGAGCCGGGTTCAGTTTCATCGTCGACGGCCCCAACAAGGCTCCTCTTAGCGAGCCGTCCTTTTACTCGCACCCGGACGTCAGCTCGCCTAGCCTAATAAGCCCGAGTCCTGATCCCTATACGACGAGTGAAAGGTCAGGAAATAATTTGGCATTGCAAGCGGCTGGGAAATTTTCTATGTCGAAGCGCAGCCCAAGCAAGGGAGCAAGCCTATCGGGCCTTTCCTCCGGAACAGACGGCATTGAATCACGATCTACGAACCATAAGCCGCCGCGACCCATTCGATCCGCTTCTGCGGGCACGCGTGGGACTGGAGCTGGAACTGCGGATATCCAGGGCCATCTGAAACCGGAAAAAGGCGAAAAGGTGGTCGAGAGACAGGCCGGATTGGTTCCCACGATTGTGGAGCAGGAGAGAGGGGATTGGCAGTGTAGGAGTGTGAATCTGGTGATTGAGAGTGCTTGAGGTGCACAGGAGCGGAGACGAATCATTGGATATGATCTTACGGAAACGATGGAGTTAAGCGTTGGGCTTGAATCCCGCGGTCCCGGATCCGCCCTTGTTGAGAAAATCGTCTAGTTATGTTTTTCCGTTGATCAGATGAAGCGCTGGGATCTATTGCACTGCACATTGTAACGAATTGAGATTTACCAAGCAAGCGGGCGCTTGAGCGATCTGATGACTGATGAGCGTTAATGATGTATATCCGCCTTTCCATGTACGTACCATACAAGTACATATATATATATACCATACAATACATATATAGTGCAACTTGACCACAAACTGCCGGCTCAGCGCCCTCCCAGTCGTAGACCTAGACCCAGACCATGAATGAGCAATATAATGACCAACCCGAGGAAACATGGCTGTAGTACTCAAGTTGCCTTCATGCCAGCCGTCTTCACCGTCTTAACTCGGTCAGCTTTGCCACGGGAAGTACGAGGATCCCATCCCATCCCATCCGAACCCGTGTCTTGTCCTTTCCCTTCCCCTTTCTTCCGAACACCTATCTGAGAAAAGTCCTGCCAGGGAACAGACCGAACAAACCCATACTCCCCGCTCACTCCCCCTTCTTATCTTCTCCGACTGCGTTGCTTGCTCAGCTCAGCTCAGCTCACAGAGGAAGAACACGAGAGAGAGAGACGTGGAACACTTGAACACAAGCTGCTCCACCATCCATCCTTTCTGCTTTCGTCGCTGCCATCCCAATGATCGGTGCTGGTGCTGGTGCTGGTGCTGGGACCCTAAGAGATCGGTGGGCGATGTCAGAGTTTTTGTTTGAGACGACATGAAAATGTAAAAAAGGGAGGGGGGGAGATGAGGGCATGGCTTCACTGGGTGAGGAGGAAGGATTCCCAAAGGGAAAGAGATGGAGAGGCAGAGGAAGAGGTAGCTATCAAAACTATAAGTGGAAGGGCAGGATGTCAGCATCGCTGTATTCTTTCTAACCTGCATTTTTTTCCGTCTACCATTTTATTGCCTCTGGCACTTTTCAGCGTGTGTTAGCGAACTGGGCCGCATTTATGGCGAGAGTCGGTAGGGTGGGAGAGGATAGTAACGAAAGGGGAATAACGAAGAGCTAAGTGCAAGAAAAAGCGTTGTTGGATACAAGCTGGGTGGACTGATCGGGCTCACTGACTCCCTTTATGCGCTACATGACTCAGCTAAGTGAACAGTGGTATCTTTTCAAAAATCCAGGAGCCAGATACTTCGCTTGGCTCTGATGCAGAAAGAATAAACAGAAAAGCTGACCGTTGGCCTCCTAGAGGCACGGCCCGTGATATACATGTCTTTCTTACCGAAACAGGCCAGCTAGACCAAATACAATATGAGAGAGAATGATGTACATATGATTAAATCTCATATATGTCATACGCCCACTCCGTATTCCCGAGTCTGAGAAAGTTATTCCCAATCCTTCATCCAAAGTCAACAGGATAGCAACGTGTGAAATGTTGAGAAAAGGGTTAAAGACGCGTCTCATGCGGACACAGGACGATGAAGTGCCCCATCAGAACATGCCTCCCTCCATCCTTTGCATCGGCGGCGAAGGACCGCGCTTAACCGGAAAAGTAGGCAACGCAGGACTTGGCGCAGACATCAATGCCTGATATCTAGCCTTGGCATTCATATCTCCACCTTCACTGCTGACTTTCCTCAATTTGTGCCTTGGTTTCAAGGGCGAGGGTTTTTTCGTATCTGCTTCGTCAGAGAAGGTGCTTCGTTCCTCGGGCAGAGATGGACGTGCGGACCGAGGAGCAGCAAGGTCGACTTTGCTGTCATTTATGCGGCTCGTCAGGGTAGACAAAAGTGTATGAGTTGTGCTTGAGCCGGTTCCGATGCGGCCACGGCGGCGAGATGGATTCATGAACGGAGTTGTGGGGGTGGAGGAATCTTTGATACCGGGGCAGCCATTACGAAGAGAAGCGCCTCGTGGCAGGTCCACCGTGGCGACAGCGTAGGTTGTGGAGATGAAGGTTGGATCCGAGATCATATTCTTGCTTATAGACCGCTTACGGCCGCGAAGAGAAGGTGTGGCTCGGTCGTCCGTGGTTTGAGTAAGTGTGGCTGTTGGGCAATTGGATACAACGGGAGAAGTCTCAAGGATGGGAGGTGTAGAATTTGCCGAATACGGCGTTCGTGGAGAGGGTCTATTCGAAAGTGTTGCTGGCATTCCAGTCGTCTGCAGCGGGCTCAGTGACTTGCGCTCGAAATAGCCAGCAGTATTTGTTCTGCTATTGCTTTGATACCGTCCCGACATGGCTGATGCAGATCGCTCTGGCTGATCCGAAGCTTCTATGGATGGTCGTGGTGGGATGGGGATGTTTGTACGAGAATGATTGCCTGTTCCTTCTGCCATAGCTCTCTCGAGATCGTCTCGGTACTGACCATTGCGGCTTTTAGAACGGCCAGCGACATCAGATATTGATCGATCTCGTAGCGAGCTACGTGTCGATACAGGTGTAGCAGACCTTTGTCGTAGCCGATCACTATCATCATTTTGGCTCGTCCTGCTTGACGGTGGCTCCGGTGGAGGGTAACGAATATCTTTTTTAGGTGACGGCTTAGAAGCAGCTTTCGGTTTTGGGCGGCGGCTAAAAGCTTCAAGCATTCTCTCTTCCTCTTCCTTCCAAAGTTCCTGTTGGGGTGGTTTGGGCGAGCTAGTGTTCGGCGGAGCGGCTCCTCCTAGACCTAAGACTTTTACCGCCTTTAGGGTGTGATCGGGTGGATTTGACGAAATTGGCCGGTTGTTGCTGAATTCTCTTCTATTTGATTTAGATCGAAGTCTGGCTGTAAATCCATTACCAATTTTGGGTGACCCAGTTTCAGGCGGCGGGGCCGGGCTTGCAGATCTGCTACTGCTATCGACGACATTCTTTAATTTTTCTTGTACTTTGCGACGGCGCTCTGCGAGCTCATTGTTGAAAGCCTCTCGTTCTTGCTGTGTTTCTGTACTGCCACCTCGTTGATGTCTCGAGTGCAATTCGTCTTGCCAACTTATTGGAGGCCCAGACTTTTGACCTGACTGTTCCGTGTCTTGGTCTACCGAGCGTTGCGTCTGGGTATTCAGGCGATTTTTCATTAGGGTAGCCGTGTTCAAGAATTGTTTGGCACTTTGTGCCATTCTAGATTGAACGTCTGTTGACTGGTCCTGTCCTTGCTCTGGCTCTGGCATCTCGGTTTCGTCATCGTTCAAAGGCGAAGCTCCAATTCCGGGACTCTTGTTCATAAATCCCGGAGGGAAACGAGGTGAAACAGGAGGACAAACTGAAGACTTGTCGCTATCGCTTCGAAGATGTGTCCGTACGAGGCCATTGAGGCCAAGTCCTTCCGTCTGAGGATCGAACTCGTCACGATCAAGGGGTATCCTGATCTGATTCTCATATACAGAGGGGACGGGTCGTGGCTCATCAATGGACTGCGCTCTGTTTGCTACGGTGTCGAAGGGAGGAAATTTGAATCCCTCAGCAACAGGTCGAAATGCCGGATGGGTCTGGCCAGAAATTTCGGTGGGTGGCATTGAAGGTATTGCCTCCGCTTCTTCAGAAGGCCAATCGTCGTCAACAACCAGAAAGGTATTACGGTTGAGCGCATTTTGAGAAGTAGCAGAGGGCTTTGTCTCCGGCTGTTGGCCAACCGCTCTTCTCTGCGCTTCAAGAGGCGCCAGTTCTTCATTCAGTTGTCTGATGAGTGAAACTGCATGAGCTTGCGTGTCCTGAGCAGGCGTTGGCTCTTTCTGGCATGCATCATGCTTTTTGAATACAGGAATGCTTTCGTCAGGCGATGCTGAGTTAGAACTTGGGGTTGGAGAACCTGGACGTAGGGGTGGCAAACTACGTCCTTCGTGCATCTGAAGTTGTCTTTGTGAAAATTGTTGTTCGTCATATTCTTGAGAAGGTTTATTGAATAGACCAAGAGCAGTTGCCTTGCCCCGGTCTTCGGGTTGTACGCTGTTCACAAAAGTAGCGGCGCCTTCTTCTTCGCTATGTGGTGGACTTAGTGGACGTCTGTAACCTTGTGCTGATGCTCCTTCCAGAGTTCTGGCACTTCGTACAGTGGCATCTAGCATGGCCAGGTCTGACGATGATGTAGCCGGTGGTGGGCTAGCCGAGCGAAATTTAGAAGGTTTGGGCGATGGTTCTGTGCGAGGTATGGTCTCTTTGAGTTTTGGGTTGACGTTGACTGGCGATTCGGCATCCGCTTCCTGGTCGATAGTATGAGCACGGGGACGACTGACATTGTTGAACACGTCTTTCGCAACACGATGTAACGAAGTGGATTGGTTCAATGTTTGCCCATATAATTTGCCGTATATGGTGGCATTTCGATCAAGTCCAGCTTTCGGTTGAGTTGCGGTGTTGGGAGAGGCGAGACTCACGGCGCTGCCATTGTTGTGGTACAGGTTGGGTGATAGTGACTCAACCGAAGTTGCTGCTGTAGAATTCCGTCTAGGCACAGAGGTCGTTGACGAGTTGGTACCGCGATCTTTACTGAAGCTTGTCGCAGGTGAATGTGGTGAATCGTCCTCGGCATCGTCGAGGCTGTTCCGCCCTTCATGCTTCCTCTGCTCCTTTCGTTCTTTCTCGCGATATTTTTGGAACTGGGACAGAGAGACATCGTTCTCGTACATTACCCGACCATGCATGCTACCCGAATCGGACTGTGCAGCGTCCGAACACGATCGGGCCTTCATTGAAGATTCAACAGGGACTTTGTAGAACTTTTGGCGTCCACCGAATAACATGTTTCCTTCTCCTGGTCTTGACCTGCTTATCATACTGGTCCCACAATCGCTGTCGTACCCATCCGTGTCCAGAGAACGTTTTCTCTCACCATATGCGAATGGTGGTCGGATTGAGTCACGTATTGAGTTGACTTCAGTTATGTCAGTCAAAGGGTTGTTGCTGAAGAGGTTCAATCTGGATGCTCTCTTAGGAAACAAAACGCTGTCGTCATTGGCTTTGCCTATTTTTGTGGAGGGATCATCCTGTTCTCGGAGCATGCTGAATCTGGCAGAGAGGTTTGGCATAATTAGACTTGTTCGGAAGTCATTTGAGGATGGTAAGGCCGTAGCTAGGTCCACAGTCGGCTTGCTCTCAGGTATTGATTTCTTATTCTTGCCAAATGCTTTTGTGCCAAAGGAGAGACCTAGTGGATAATTCGGATCAGAGTGTGATTCTGCTTGCTGCTGCTCTTTCGCCTTCCGGCGAGTTCGGAATCTATTCATTCTTTCTCCAACCTGATGAAAGGTCAACTGGGTGCAATTTAGGTGAATATTGAACCGCGCTGGGGCGAAAGTGACGGTGAAAAGAGTCTCGTCAGCTTCCGAAAGTATGGATCCGCCAGCGACAGTATTTTTCTCGATCTCCAATGTTCCTCCTATTCTTCACGGCCGTTCATCTTCTGGCTTGATTTTCTCTAACGTATGAATTGTGGCTGTACTTGACGCGGTACTTTATAAATCGCAGTTGGCTGTTTGTAGTCGTAGACTTGGAAGCTCGAAATGTCAAATGGTCTCCGCTCAAATGTTTTGTTCGGTACCTAGCTCGGTGATGAATAGAACCCCTCTCAGCTGTTTTGTACGACCTGCGTAGGCGCTCTAGGGAGTTTGAAGAGAAAGTGAGGTTTTAGAATGAGTGACATTGAGTGATCGCCAGATCAATTGCTAGGAATCGCGGGAAATGCAGACAGGCCAGCTTTTCCTAGAAGTGGCTTCTCAAGCAATTTCCCAAGGCCAGGGAACGTGGGCAGTAGTGCGAGCTGTGGAGCGACAGTCGATTAAGCCAGGATGCAGAGCGGTTTGTGCCGACTAGAGTCTGATTTAAGTTACGGAAACTTAAAGCCGAACTTGGGGAAACCTATGAAGAATCGAGGCCCGAAAATGCTTCCAACGTCGTGGATTGCTAACCGAGGGCAAACGGGGGGAAGTGATGGCTCAGGGGCAGACTGACAACGGCGTATGAGCTTGAAGCGGAACAGCTTTCCTTGGTTCCCGGTTTGGAAGAAGAGGAAAAGGGCTGAAATGGTTTGGCGAATCAACGATCAGCCACAGGTTTTCTCAGATATCTGGGCTGAAAGGCAAAGTCAGACTGGAACCATCTTGTTGAAACAGCCATTGCGGGAAGTGGAGCAAACTACCGAGGGAGAAGGATGGTAGAAATTACAACCAACGAGTTATTCTCGCACCAAGATGTATAGCAAACGAAGGTGGTGCATAGGAGCACGGATTATGCGCTGGGGTGATGTGACGGTCTCCAGATGCAGGGACTTGAAGCGCCTGTTGATGAGTTAGGATCTGGGAGCGCGTCGTGGGGAGTGGAGACAGGAGTTCGGGAAAAAGGAGATAAATCGACGAGTCTGTCACACCTGCAATGGGCCTGCTTGCAATGCTTGGAAGAGGTGGGATGGGCGGAGTAGCCTGGCTGTACTACCCGGGGGGCATGAAGTATTGTTAGTTCAGCGCTAGTATATTTACTTGAAAACGCTCTCTGTACAATACAGCTAAGCCCATATTATATTAAGGGTAAATTTTCAGCCTATTTGAATGAACGGATTTAAATCAAGCTTTGCATTAACAAATCAGGGCACTATGACACAGTAACAAGAACTAGCTGCTACTAGAACCAGCCTCACAATACTTACGTAGTATGTCTTCCCCCGTAGTGAATACCCCCTGAAGCTACTACGTAGTATCAACAAGGTCTATAAAAGCTGTCAGGTGCATTTGCCTATTTCAAAAGCGCACCGACCCTGACTTCTTACAGAGTACCCATTTCTTGTCACTACTCAAGCAAGGTAAACATGTTAGAGTACAGCAGTGAGACTTCCTCTGGGCCAATTCCCTTCCATCAACAGCGATCGAACAAAGTGTTGGACACCGCAGAGCCATTCAGGTGCTATCAGCATATTGTATCGCTAGGCATAATGAATTCAACGTCACAGTTACTGGAGCGACTCCTAGCATCTATCATAGCTTGCTAGTTAATTAAGTTGCAACTAATGCAGGAGCTAGCCAATCGAACATCCTTTTTTTTTCTGCACCCGAATCTTGGAACCCCTGAACAAGGATGATGCTCCCAGCCCAATTAGCTATCAAATCTCCAAGCCTCAACCAATCTCTGACGGTCAGGCACGCCCCATTTTCACGGCCGACAGGAAGCTTGCACCTGCTTCTCAATGTTTATTTGTGACTTTTGGATAAGCATCATCCCCGGCGTCGCTTATTCTGAGGTCTGTACTTACTCATCGATTTTGCATTGCGCTAGGATTTCACCAGAGGTTAGCAGGCTGCTTGCACCAACATTCAATAAACGATTTAATTCGCAGGTACCCGAGTAGTACTGTGTAAGTGACATCAGCTAGCGGAAGTATCCTTACGGTGGTGGGTGGATATACCCATTTCAGTACGCCAGAAGGACAGCAGGTAATATTGCCTGGCGCACCCTTGCGGGCGATGGCCCTGCTGTGCATGTTTCACTTACAAGATGATTTCAACTGTTGGGATTGGGACCCAGCTTGGCACTGACTACGTGTGATGCAGTGTCGTCATTCAATCACTGATAAATGGGTGCGGTCCTAGGTAGCACATGGGTAAGGATACTATGTCGGTAACTTGCTTAGTCTGATACGTCGTAAAGTTGATCCAAGCAGCCCTTGCGTTTCCTGCTGCAGAAACCGGAAGCAAAGGGAGCTGAAGCTGTATCGACATGCTACATCGAATGGACAATGCTAGGTACGAAGCCTTGTACTAACCCACTCTGTGTCAGGTGTGATTTCAGTTGAGGTGTCATCCTTTCAATAATCTCAATCTTGTGCTAGGATGGTAGCCGGAGGACACCACCTGAAAAGAGTTGCAACATCGGCTATATGAGCATTGTTAGGCGCAGCTCTGTCCAGACATCCTTATGATCCACAGCCTGACCATGGGACATGGAGTGACGAGATATAAACCCAACCAGTGAGTCGCGGGTGCAAAGAGATGAGGTTTATAGCGTATTAACGTCGTGATTTACGATTAGCTGCCCTGGATTTGTCCAGCATTGGCGTATGATGTTGGCGTCAGTGGTTCGTTCCATGCTCTTGGGCTGGTGTATGTATAAAGGACATGTTGATCCACACAAGAATGCGATATATATGGTGTCTTGGAAGGCTGTAGCAGGACTAACATATAGTTAGAGAATCCACAATATAGGCCAAAGGCCAACAATCTCATATATCTGACCGCTTCACAGCTAGGATCCAGCTCTTGCAATGTCTTCCTCTAAGTGATGCTCTATGGGGAACCGACACAGGCACTTCGTCAAGGAAGACACGGACATGGACACGCATACGTGATCAATGCGATCTAGAAACCCCCATGCTAGAAGTAAGGGTAGAATCAAGGGGAAGAACATGCAGTTGACAGCTACACAAGAAACAAGCGAGGCGAGAAGCGATCAAGTGCTCAATCTATTCCATAAAATGAATGTCTCCAGATAGATGTGAATTACCGTTGGGCATCATCATTTCCGGTTGAGGAGTCAACATGCATCAGCTGTCATCCTCAAGGGCTGCAGTTGATCGTACACCATAGATGCGCCGGCCTGACCGGCTAGCAAATGCATTTGGATAAAATGTAACTGACAGAATCCCATTGGTAAGGTTGGACAAGATAGCACAGCTTACCGCCACTAATCAACATCGATAATAGTAGCTTACTAGGAGAAGTGAAGAGAAGAACAGTTGGAGATGAGGCTAGGCTGTCTTGGTGCTAACTAGCCCAAAGCGGGTATGTAGTCAGCATGTGTTATGATCCCCTTTTGGCATATTATTTCTGTTTCTCCAATTGTGTTTCTCCATCAACAGGAACAACGAATACAAGGATCTGTTAAATATTTGTGCTCTAACCACCCATGGCTTCCATTGAATCCCTTATAGCCTCCCAATTGCCTTCCCTTTCGCGAAAATAGCCAGCATGGCCGCTTCTTCACCACTTACCTTGCTCTCCCCATCTGTACAGAATACGAAGCAGAAGAGTCCCTTACGAATCGACCAGCATAACATCTCCGAAAGTGAACATCACGAAGTCAAGTCTAGTAAGAAATGCCTATACACGATGTCAACATATGTACACAGAGACTCATCCGAGGACGATGATTTCCACAATACACCATCCAGAGTGTCAATTTCACCCTGTAAAGGTACCACCAAAGGAGCTCCAAGCGATGGAACTCCGAGTCCGATAAAATTGGCATCGCCAACCAAAACAGACATAGCGCTTGACAGCACTGAATGTGCAAATTCTCCGTTTCCTGAATCCACGCTTCGTGTCGATGAAGGATTAATTCGAGAATGTGAGGCGCCGACAAAGGGCGGTACAGAGCCGGACGACACTACAATGCGTCGAAACATTGAAGACGAGGGAATGAGCACCATCATGCATGACAAGGAAGGGGCCAATCAACAGGAGTCAGGCGAGGAGGAGGCAGATATCACCCTCAGCATAGATGATACCGCAAACGACATCAGCGCCTTCTCTGCTATCCCGGAAGCCGACCTTACGCGCTTCGCTGCATTACACAATTCCACGGCGTCACCCATAAGACCCATGGTCGAAGGCTGGAGTCCAAGCAAACAACTGCGCAATCCCGCCCTGGGTACACCAGCAACCGTCAAGCGACCTCTACGACTTTCAACCCATTCTCAAAGCGACAACGGCTTCGATAATGATGCCACTCCTCGCCGTCCATACAGTGCCTCCTCTTCCGAAGACCTCCTTAACTTTACAGGCCAATCCAGCATCATTATTCCACCTCCTCGGTCCAGCTCCCGTCCCAGCACGCGTCGGTCTCCCTCTGGCCGAGGGGGCTTCCCCATCAAGATCAATCCCTCCCCAGCTCACCGCTCTCAAGCTTCTGTCGATCGAGAGAGAAGTCGAGGAGTCATCTCTCCTGTTAGACAGATCCCTTCCCCTCCAACTTCTACCACACCATACGCAGACCGAAGAAACCACCTTCTGGACTTTGATCTCGAGCCACTTGCTACACCCCGCTCCGTCCCTTCCATCACTCCTCGCGAACTAGAGAGTCTACGATCGGACCTGTCTTCGCAAATATGCTCCCTCTCTGCAACCCTTAGTGGCAAAGAGGCAGAGGTGCTTGCCCTGAAACGTTCTATTACAGATGCGGAAGTGAGAGTCGGAAATACAAGCGAAGAGTTGCGGAATGAAAAGTTGCTCAGAGAAAGCTTGGAACAAGAAAAACAGGATTGGGACCGGCGAGGTCGAGAGATGGAGAGTGTGTTGCGAGAAATCCGTCAAGAAATTATGGTCGGCGAACTCGAGCGGGACAAGTTGCGAAGGCAGACTGAGGAGGCGGAGAAGAGAACAGAGGAGATGGAGGTAAGGGTTGTCGAATTACAGACAAGGCTAGAGAGCGCAAATCGGCGGAAAACGCTTTCACCAACGAGCAGCCCAAGAAAGAAGACGGATGAATTGCTGGGAGAGCCGGCAACACCGTTGGTGAATGGAAATGGTGTCAATGGTATGGACATGAACGAAGCGGTCCGAGAAGCAACAGAGAGGGTAGCCAGAGATCTCCACGCACTCTACAAGAGTAAACACGAAACCAAAGTCGCAGCGCTTAAAAAGTCCTATGAGGCCAGATGGGAGAAGAAAGTCCGACATCTGGAGGATGAACTCAAATCGACCAACACCGAGATCTTGAATTTAAAGACAGAGAGAGATGCAACCATGTCCGGACCCCTTGCATCTTCAATGGCGGTAGATCAGCAGCTGCAAGAACAGACTCGCAGATCTGAAGATCTCCTGAGGGAGAAGGAGCAGATGGAAGCGAATGCGAAAGTCCTACAAGCCCAGATCGAGGGTCTTGAAGCAGAAGTCCAGTCAGTAAAACAGCTTACCGACAACCTGAGAGAAGAGTTAGAAAAGGAACGAGCAGAAAAAGGCGAGCTGGTCGCCCAAGTGGATTTATTTCTAGCCCTAGGAGACGACCAATCCGCCGCCATTACTACTCCCCAACACAACGGCATGGTTGGACTTAAAGGAGAGGCCAAACTCCGATCCGTCAGCAGCGATAGCATTGCCTCATCGGCCGCTTCATACTCAGCCGCAAGACACAGCGTAGAATGTCACCAAACTCAGCAGGCTACCCACCATCATCAACAGCCACCACAGCAGCAAAGCCCAGCAAAGCCACATTCCGCTGTCAACGGCCGTGCAGCAGCAGGGGCCGGAGGGACCGGCGGTCGGCCCAGGCCAATGAGCATGCTCCAGCCACCAGGAAAGTTCTCCGGTATACCTGGTCCTGGTGGGGTCAGAGGTTCCGGGAAGGCTTTGCCGGCTAGGACTGCTGGCGTCGGTGGAGGAGGTATCATGGAGGGGATTGCTAAGATGGGCGCGGGCGCTGCGGGGAAGGGTTACTGATGGTTTGCACGAATGTTCGAGCATGGGTTGCGGTGCTGGGCGTTCTTTGAAGGGTTTGATCTTCTGATTGTGGTCAACTTAAGGGTGGGTAGGTTCGGCCTCTGCATGATCTGGGTGGATTATCGTTGCCTTTATGATGGATTGGGTCTGGACGTCGACTGTACTTGGGAAAGTCGACTTGGTCTTGGATTTTGGGACTGTTCTTATGAGTTTCAATATGCTCATGACAGACGGACAATGGATAAATGGCATTCATATTCATTACGGAGTACTCCAAATTCCACTGCAGCGAATGCGGGTATTCGTAATCTCAAATCGTTAGCTCCGACCAACCAATGGGTCATCTAGAGTCAGCACATACATACCGCTGTGCCTCTGTGTAGGGCTTTTATGTTGAAGTTCCTTCTACTACGCCCTCTTCATGTTCTCCCGTCAATCGCCTGCTCACCTAGTCTTCTTATCACCGTAGTCTCGTCTCAAAGTTAGCATCATCACTATAAACAGTTCAACGAGTTGTCTATTGCAGGTTTCGCCCACGAGCCTGCCACAGGCCACACAGCCTCTTCATGTATTTTTTAGATTCTCACTCTCAGCATCCACCCTCCCTGACCTCAAGGCACTCAAGCGGCCGTCCGCCAAGCCGTGTCAAGGCGACCCCCGACACTAACCAGAGAGGCACCAAAACTACATCTACAACAACACACAAATTCCTCTGAGCCGATTATATACAGCGTTTAATGTTTCAGGCTGGAGATTCTTGACTACGTCCCCTAACACGTTTCTTTGGCCCCTGCGACCGATATCGAGCGGCGCAAACAAAGACCACGGTAGGCCAGCGATGAAGGAGTAACTATCACCTTAGCGATGGCAATTGGAGAAGAGTTCCAAGGCGAGTGAGACGCAGTAAAAAATTGTTCTGGCCATCAGCTTGAAATAAATACTGCACTGCCATTAAAAAGTACCGATATTCTCCTATCTCTCCGGAGTATTGTGAAGGTATTTCATGAGATATACTAACTTACCACACCTACCGTGTCGTTTGACCAGAACACGACAAAGTCCAAGGAATGAATACTAGTAGTGAAAACCCTACTTAAGAAAAATCCGCCTCTGGTTTCCAGAGATTCAAAGGTTTTAATTCATCCAATAACCATCTTCACCACTTGTATATAGCGTCTACTCACTTTTGGCCATGGAAGACAAAATGATGTGGTGTTGGCGGACGGTGAGTACTTGATCAATCAGTGTAAGAATCTCGTACGAGATTTAAGCTTACAGCACTTCTCAGCCAATCCAGCGAGCTTGGTGATATATAAATGATCAGGTCTAAACTAAGCATCAGTTGATGGTAATTGAGGCATAAATTTCAGAGAATCTCTTCCTGTAAGTTCTTGTGATGTGGGTTAGAAGCTGCCGACTAAGGCGCTTTGGCTATCTTGGGTAAGTTTGCCATGTACTAAGTACTACTACTGGAGCCAAGAAAGCTTCATGACAACGGCCGGGCATTGATCATGCCGAGGCTTACCCATGGTGCTGCTTTACTTAGTACTAGAACGACATTATTTAATCTGTGCGACACGCTTAGCAAATCATCTCTTTACAGATGACGAGAAGACGAGACAGACCAAGAAGAGAACAGTAACAGGGAAGAACGTAGAGTAGAACACAATCGGAGCGGGGTGTTCATTGTTTAAATTTAGGATACAGTCGTATTGGGCATAGTCTTTAGGACATTTAGCACTGCTGATATCGACTACTCAGCATAGTGCTCGAATCAGTAGCACATAGAATGAGAATGGCGGAGATCATACCGCATCGAAGTGAAAATAGTAAGACATCACATAACGTACGGAGGCAGGTTCACCGGGTAGTAACAGTGAGGTCGAGGTGAGTGGATCGTGCAGCTTTTACTCGTCTTGATCCGCCAAGAACCAGATGAGAGAAGAGAACTTCTTGAAGTCCAGCGAGAAGGACCGCTAAGATCATCATCATCATATCATTGCTCCCTTAGACCTATACTATGCTATCAGAATACCCCCCTCATTCTCTTCCTTCCACCTAGCATCCACTCATCACCATCAGAAGAAAGCATCGCAACATATATGACACCAAGCACCCAAGTCTCCGCCTCCTCGCCTCATATAAGACATTGTCTCCTCCTCCCAAGTCTATAACAATATATCTAAAAAACTAAGAAGCCAGGGTTGATATAAATAGGTGGGAAAACAAAGCACCATGAACTATGCTCCAACAAATCACCCGCAGAAGACGTCAAGACGTCGCACTAAATCATATAAACGCCAATAACACGAACCATTTCAAAGTTCTTAACGCCGCAACAGGTCCAAATCTTCCCAACTCCATCGCCTTCTGCATGGCTACGATGCTTTTTTGACACAATTGTGTGAGATCTCTTACTCATGCACGCTCCAGGTCCACAACCTCAACCCTTACAACCTCTTTCTGATCTCGCTCTGGTTGGGCCTTCGCCAAGCACGGGGCCAACGACCGCACTGTAGTGGCATTTCCGTTCTTTTCTCGTGGCACGAACCAGAGTTGCAAGGATCCCAGTATAGCAACGAAGGCGCTTCCCCACCATGCCAACCCAGTAAAGCCGATGTTGGTGCCTATACCATAGAGAATGCCCGCGATGGGCGGTGAAATGGTTCGACAAGCTGCAGCCATTGATGCTGCTAGACCATTGATCTTTCCAAGTACGGACGGTGCAGGGCTAGCTTGTTTAAGGAGAATTAGAATGACGGGATAGGCAAGGATGTGGAGGATGTTACGGATGGTGAGACAGGTGTAGATTCCCGGGTAGACTAGGGTTTCAGGTAAAAGCACCAGGTATGGTACAATGGCATGGGCGATGGGGTGAAGGATTGTGACGAGAACGAAGATGCTCCACACCCCAAGCCAGTCAGTGAGGATGGGGAAGATGATGCCTTGAACGAAGAGGGCGATAAGTCCATTCACAGACATGATCAGTCCGACTACCTCGGTGGTCAAGCCTAGACCGCCCGGAATATGAAAGGGATTGAAGCCGTTGAGTGAAGAGATCTCGCTAATGCGTTGGTCTTGAAGAAATATTGGCAGTAAATGGTCGTAAGCCATAGAATGGTAAGTGAAGATCCCAAGAGCAAGCACTAACATCGAAACTTGCCATGTAAATGCTCTGGAACAAGACTTCTCATTGGGTGATGCTGGTGTCGACGTTCCATCGGCGTTAACATACCAATGTTCTTCCTCGTGTAAGTTGACCTCATTGAATGTGCCATACGACTCTGTTCGCAGATCCACGTCGGGGTCCGCAGACGCTCCAGCAGCCGTGATCAATGGAGTGTGGTCCGTTTCCTCATTATAGACGAAAAGGCTTGCTCGTGGTTGTAGATCTGGATGTGTCTCTTGTAGTAAGAAGTATCCAGAAAGGATAGAGAAGAGAAGGAATGCCGCGCAGATCAAGTTCGGTAGAAGGTATGGGAAATGAGCAAAAATACCGTGCTTTGAGAAGACAGAAGGGAAATGTTTGGACGGATTGGCAAATGTACCCCCAACCGCTGGTCCGATGATTGTCCCAATACTCCAAACAAACGGCATCACCGAATATGCTTTGGCTAAAGATAAGCGTCAGTGTGCTGGTAAATTTCTTGGGGGCGAAGGGCGTCATGCTGCTTACGTTCATGCTCTGGCCTCTTCACCAATTCCCCAACCATGGTCTGGATGACACCAATGTTTCCATTGAGCACACCACCAACCACTCTGCCGAGTAATGCTACCCAGAAGTTGGTAGAAAAGCCGACGATCAGCAAGGAGAGCATTGTACCAACGCAGCCAGTCAACAGCACGGGTTTTCGGCCAATTCTGTCTGACAAAGAGCCCCAGAAAAAACCGGTGAGGGCCTCTGAGAGGGCGAATGCAGATATGAGGACACCGGTATAGAAGGAGGCATCGCTGCGGTCGCCTATATGGAAGCTCTTGACAAGGGGCCAGGCGTAAGGAAAGATGGAGGTCAAGGCAATTGGCTCGGCGACTCTGACCAGTGCTAGAAGCTTGTTAGAAATGCACTGTGTGGAGAATAGTGTCAGGCAGAGGCAAAAAAACCACATACCCAGCAAGAGAAACTGAGCAGTCGGAAAGCTGTCATCGCAATAGGTTCTTGAAGCTTGTGTAAGTCTCATTCTTGAGTTCACTGTTGAAGTCTTACGACCCATTCCAACAACACTACAACGACAAGACACAACACTCGATCTTTAAAGAAACGAGCTGTGGATTGCGTTGATGACCCCGGTGCAGAGGAAAAATTATAGACAAACTTAATGTGAGGGTTGTGCTGACCAGATGTGTACCCAGTTTGGTGACGGTAATAGAGAAAAGTATGAGAAGAAAATGGAATGAGCGAGAATCTGGCAAGAGGGCTAGGAAGTGGTAACATCTGAAAGGCGGGGCGGGCCACCAGAGCGAGCCAGGAAATTATTGTTATGTATGTGTATCTCGTTGTGCTCTGCCACTAATAGACTAACTTACCAGGTCTCGCTTGTCACCATCTCTTCTCGGGAAAAGCGGGATTGCTTGTCTCACGAATACCAGCAATTCAATTGGGACGGAGCTTTCCCACGTACTTAGCGTTTGGAATTTCACCGCCTCGAGAACCGAGGCACATCGAGATAATTGATGTGGTTCTTGGCACACTATCTCCGTCAGAAGTTGTGAGAATCATAATGCGCAAGGCCCCGGTGCCTACGATCCCACTTTTTTGTCACAGATCTATCCCCAAGAGCGCCACCGATTGTGCCAATGGCTTTGGGCCCCTGCATTGCAGCACACGCAACCTGGTTTGTCACAGCTCCCGCGTACGGCTTCCTGCACAGAGTGACTTGCTTGAAACCCCACCATCGTCGATCGACGGTCGATCCGGGTTTTTCCCGTCACTGTGTACTAGTAGGCCGTTGAGAGGTTCAATCAATTTACGCTTCGTTAGGGCTAGAAGAATGCCATTGACCTTTTTGAATGCCTTTGTTGCGAGCTTGCCTAAGATAAGGTTTGATGGAGATAATTGATGCAGATGCAAGAAGTGCGCCGCTCTGCAAACTATTGATATGGCCCTGCACGTCGACCGTTGGGTCCTTAGAGTAGTGATTAAGATCAAAGTTCCCTTCTTAGCAGTGACATTAATGTAGTACTAGTAGTAGTAATTACGCAACACGTTGAAGACGGAGACATGCAAGTTACCCTCTCTGATAGACAACAGTCAGTATGTTGCATTGCTGCCCAAGATATGGCTAGATTGCCAACCCAGCCAGATGGTGGCCATCGAGAAGAGCAATGTGAGTTCTTGTCATTTGGATTGAGAGATGTGCTAGGTTATGCTATCCTCAAAAGATGGGCGAGGGTATCTTCCAAGATGAGCCCACAAGGAGTTCAGAACTCGCTGCAGGTCTGCAACACTCTTTCTCCCACTCACCTGAAGGTTGAACGTACAGTGAATTCTTGAAACCCCCCTTGAGCCCAATCGTGGTCTTAAGCAATCGTGGCAACTGCCCCAGAACTACTTTTAGCTTGCATCTGGCAGGGTGAAGATTTTTACTGCATCTCTGAGCTGCCAATCATTCTACAGATGAAGAATAGCCGTTTCAGATATCAAAGCATCGGATGGAAATTTTACGGTCACCAGCGTAGCAGAAGCACCATTCGAGTTTGCTGCAATTTACCACGACTCGGCCAGGCTTGGTAGTCACAGGAGTGCACACGGATCCAACTCTGAAGTCTGGTACAAGTATGCTGTCACGGGTCGCTGTCCTGAAAAAATTTCCGGTAGGAAGTCCGGTGGTAACTCTAATTTCTGGTGTCGGAAGCTCTAGCAGGCCTGTTTTACAACGCCTTCGTCTCCCGCTTCATCCGACCTGTGTCCTGTAACCCAATCTCTTCATCTCCTCTCAATACTTTCATCACCAACTGCATGTCTCTATCGTCAACCACCTTGGCCTTTAGCTCGTACACTACATTCAACAGTGCCAGGCTAGCAACAAATAACGCGACATCTCCACCTCTGATTCCCTTCCACCACTCGTGCTTGACCCCAACCTTCCACAAGGAATCCACACTCATCCTCGTAACATACAACGAGTTCATTCTTCCTGCTGCCGTTCGGTCTAGAAATTGGAAACATCCTCCCAGGAAGCCCCCAAGGAACAGCCGAAATCTCGGAAGGAACGTTCTCGGGAAGATGACGGCAAACAGACAAATACTGCCCCATGATGCACCAATTGCCCCTGAAATTGCAGCTGTTGTTTTGAGAATCCTCTTTGCCAAGCGATTGATGGATGAAATAGGTGAGTCGAGAAAGCGTCGGTATTGCGGCACAGCAAGGGCAATGTAGAAGATTGTGAAAACCCGTGCAAGCCTTGGGAACGACAGAATATTATGTGACAAATAGGCGAAGAAGCAGGAAGGATTAGATGGGTGTAAGAGCGCGCAAGAAAGTTGTGGTATTGATGGATGGGCACGAGACGTGATTGGAGAAATTGTAGGATCTATCCTGGGAGGCAGAGGTGTCAAGTTTGCTGGGTGTAATATGGGAGAGATGAAGGGTCTACCGGATGGTTAGCAAGTTCCTTGAAATGATGATGCGAGCTGAACCACTGACGGCCACTTGAGTCGTGCCATCTCAGCCAGAGAACTAGTGATCTGAACCGTTGTCGGCCATCGTAGGGACCGTGCAACATTTGGAGGTCTTCTTTGGAGGTAACTTGGCGTATGTTCGAGCATGAAATTATCATAAACCTGGTGTGAGGGTTTCAGCGCTGTAAACTTGTCCTCGGTTATAAGAGGTTTACCTTGGGGCAACAGTCTCGATCAAATACGAAGGCGTGGAACAATTGTCCTTGTGCTAGCGGAAACAACATCCAGCTTCCAAACCACCATGGCACCCCCCTCAGATAGCCATCCCTTTCTAGCACATTGTACAATATCTCCAAGGCTCGTGCGCCCATATAGATGGTTATTGTAATCCGTAATTGATCGCTCGGATGAATACCCAAGGCAAATCCTGCTAGACTGGCACCAATGGCTGGAGCAACATGTGAAGTCAAGCCACGGAAAACTTTTGGATATCTCGCACGTAGCTTGCTTGCCTTCTCTTTTAGCAAACGGAGACGGAGACGTATAAAGAAGCGGTGAAGTGACCGGTGAAGGAACAATATTGAAGATAGAGAAAGCGCGAGTCGAAAGGTCGGTGATACGAGTAGAGGTCGCTTTGGACGAGATCTGCAAATAAAGCTATAAGGCTATGTATACTGTGCACGCCCTCCAAAGCTGCTCACCTTTCAGACATACCGCGGCTTTGCAAGGTGATCGAAGCGAGCTCCCATGCTTTCAAAGCAGCTGCCGTAGCGAGAAAGACTCGTAGAGAAGATCGAACGGTTGCTGCATGGTAGTCATCATGAAGTGCAGCCTGCCGGACATGACCTTCGCTCTGTGGGCTACTTCTCTGCGCCTCGCGACCACGTCTTCGAATCAGGTAATGGTGGAGAAGCTTTTGTTCATTATCGGTGAGAACAAAGCATAGAGGCGTGCGATGGACAGCCTTTTCAGAGGTCATGCTGTAGACCCGTTCTTTCGCATGGCAATTGCATAGGGTCAAGCTTTACTCGTCATCCAACGTAAAGATGGCTGTGCTGCTTTTCAAGAACCATACCATTCTGCTGCAAGCATACTAGGCAACTGACTGGCGTTATAGTTGGTATGGAGAGGCATGAACATGGCAAGGCGGCTGTACCTCGGTCGAGTGTACTCTGTAGAAGTGCGGAGATTGGCGAAACATTGGAGAAAGATAGTAATAGAGACACTTACTGTAAATGCTTACATACACGGAGGCATCTTGATAACTGCAGAAACTACATTTGAAGATGGGGTAGCACCTTTAAGTATGCGACAACTCATGCTCGAACTCATCTTCATCCTCTCTCTTTGCGTATCCACTTCCCTGTGTGCATGTGGGTTTTCTACTAAGCCCTCCCCTATTCGTCGCTGCTCCTGATTACTGATCTCTGGCTCTTTACAGCCTCCGCAACATCGTTTTGCAAATGTACCTGTAAAGGAAACAGCACCATAATCGCCCTCAACCCCCAATCCTCCTCCTCCTCCTCCTCTCCAAATGAACCACCCTCGCTTTCTTCTCGTGATCCAACTCAAGAAAGAGAGGTGGAGATACTAAATGGGAGAGACGAAGAAGAGACACGCAAGACTCACCGCGCCAGCACCTGTAATGACTGCAACCGCAAATTCTGCCTCGACTACAAGTTGCCTGGGTGTAAAGGGGTCCGAGAGGAGGAGATCTTCACTACTTGTTTTCGTACGTCTATAATCACTTGCCAACAGGATGTCTTGTCTGCTCCGCACTCCGTCATAGGTCAAGGACCTGCAAGCAGAAGATCTTCGAATACATGTGCTAACGGACTATCGATAGAGCGCGACTCTCTAAAGGATGAAACCGTGGTTTTTGTCTTTATTTTTGCTACTGCAGGATTGCTTCTCTGGGCTTTTGTGAAGCTGTATGTGCAAAAATGGCTTGTGGTATGCACCGCGTCTGTCCTCGTATCACTCGTCCTCATTCTTCCTGCTCTCATCTTTCGTTGAGCGACCCTAGACTAACCGTGATATCAATATCAGAGCGCGCAAGAAAGAAGAAGCTACATACCGTTGTCTGGGGAAGAAGGCACTGGCAGTGCCCCAGATAGGATGACCGGGTAGGAAGCGTAGGAATGCCTCTTATATGTTATGTCATGAATTTGAAGTGATTGTAAGAATTTTCGGCATAAGTGCAGCCCCATAACTTATGAACGATCCGGAGAAGACCAGAAGTCTCACTTCTAGTCATTGTGCTCGGTAGGTCATAATGCATGCTGAGAACCACAACCGGAGTGTTTACGAGGCACTCGAGTGTGGAGTAGCCCGAAGTACATATCCTACCACCTCAAGATAGGATCGATAGTAAAAGGGATGACCTCATTTGGTCGCTCAAGTGGCCAGTTCCCTACTGCCATCCGTAATTTAGGCTACTACTATGCTCGTACAAGACAAATTGTGATTGCTAACTCTTCTAGGGAGTAGAGCGGCCATAACTACCGTTGTTTTATTGACACCCATACCTGTCCACGCTTAATCAATCCACAGCACCAACTCTTTTCACAATGGATCCTGGCATAGTAGCTGCGGCCTACGCCGTCGAAACAGCTGTCGAAGGCGCAGCAGTTGGCGCACTCGCAATTGCACAATCTACCGTACCTCTCAAAGCCCGCTTTTATCGACTACCTAGTCCATCTCCAGCCTTGACACGCTCTTCACACACATTGAATGTGATCAAGGGAAGAGGATACATTTTTGGAGGTGATGGCGAAGGAGTTGGAAAGGGTGGAGATAATGCTATGCATGTGCTTACATTACCTACAGACCTGGTTTTGAAGGACACAGATTACCAGAAGATACCTGCTGTGGCTAGGCCGAGCAAGGCGGCTCACAACGCGGAGAGCGAGGCTGAGAAGGAATCCGCTGGGAAGGCGCAAAGTGGTGATGAGGAGGAGGAAGATGATGGCAACAATGAGAGCGTGCCGGCTGCAAGAGCAGGGCACACCGCGTCTGTGATTGGCAATCGAATATACATCTTTGGTGGGAGACCTGCAGGGTCGTCTGATGCCGATGCACCACCTAATGCACCATTAGAGGAGAATGGCAAGGTGTATGTCTTTGAAGCAACCGAGAAGACCTGGCGCGTCCTCGTTCCGAATGAGATGGGATGTTCAAATGGCGTACCTCAACCTCGGAATTACGCTAGCAGCTCCAGCACCATTCACCCACTCCCCATTAGAACCGAAGAAGGCACTGGCAGGGGTAAAGACGAGTTAATGACGGATGAGGCCAAGTTGAGGTTAGTAGCAAGACGACAAGGGGAAGATCTTACTGCCACGGATGATCAGCAATCAGAAGGATATGGCACTTTGTTTCTGCATGGTGGCTACGATGCTGAAGGCAAGCTACTACGTGATGCGTGGGCTTTTGATGTCGCTTCCCGAATATGGTCCCGCTGGGCTGATGTACCTAACTCTGACGGCGACGACGGCGACGGGAATATTTGTTGCATTGAGAGCAAACTGTGGCGATGTGGTGATGATTTCGGGAAGGTAGCGCATCTCGACATCGTGCGTGATGAATTCGATGACATAAGTGGAAAGGGCGAACTTGGAGTAAGTCCGAAAACAGGGGAATGGACGGTTCATATTTTTGGTGTCAAGCCAGGTCAAGAAAAACTCGAGAAGCAAGTTGAGGAGAAGATGGGTGGCAAACCTACCAACACCGCATCTCTGTTTCCTGCAAGACGAAAGCGATCTGGTTTCCTTCCTGTCACCACCGGCCAAGGTCGTGAGTACCTGTTGCTCTTTATGGGTGAAAAGGGACCCCAGGAAGTACTGGATGACATCTGGAGTTTCCAGATTCCCAGTGAGAAGAAGTCGGCTGCTGCATTCAAGGACACAATAAGGACCATGATTGGAAAAGGTACAGGAGTGGAGCAGTGGGCAAAGTCGGAGATTGTGGAGAGCGACAAAGAAGAGGGCATGCTGGACTACCCAAGAGGCCTCAGCAGGTTTGGAAGCAGTCCTGCGGGCGACGCTGTTGGCGACGTCATGATTTGGGGAGGTATTGGACCCGAAGGAGCGGTCTCCGCAGACGGCTGGATATTGACGCTGGAGTAGAACGGAGTTGAAGTACACATCTATGAGATTGAGGTCTTATCACTGTACCTCTGAGTCTGCGAATGAAAATACTCCTTGGACTGAGAATCAAGCCATTCAACAACGGCGGAGTGGTAGCCTACTTTTCGGGTTCAACAAACAGGATGATAGCGATGTGTGGGCACCAAAATGGGTGCCTAGCATGCCAGGTTTTGTGTGGAGAGCTCGAAACTAGCCTCCTCGTATCTCTAGGCATCAAATCCTTTCTCAACAAGGAGGCTACTAGATATGTCGATGATATTAATAACCTCTCACATCACAATTTCTTAGCTGTAGTAAGCTTGCACCGAAATGCTTCATCGGCGAGGGCTTCGTCATGCTTTTAGACAACAGGACGGAGAGATATTACTCCACTTAACCATTTACTCTAGCCTACCTTGCTGCTGGCCACGGACTTGGTAGAATTGCTTCGTGTTCAAGGAGCTCAATACGTGCTACTCGTGTCCAAAGGTAGGAATAAATACTAGGTCAAGAGAAATATTTTTTGCATGGCCTTTCGCGTACTTGAATCATTGTCGATATTTGACGTATCTTGATACATCTCTTTCAAACATGAAGATTGTCATTATTGGTGCAGGCATCAGCGGAATCTCAACCTACCTCTTTCTTAAAAAACACCTTCCCAATCCAGCTTCGCCTGCCGAGCCCCATCAGTTGATTATTTATGAAGGCCACGAAGCAAACAAAGAGCTGAAAAGACAGTTGTACTCGAAAGACGCAACGGAGCAAACCACCAACACAATTGCCATTGGTGGCGGACTGGGATTGGGCCCTAATGGTCTCAAATGTCTCGAACGTCTCGACGAAGCCTTGTTCCATGATGTTGTCCGATCTGGCCATACTATCACGCAGTGGAGAATGTCTTGTGCGCGAGGCTGGGAGCTAGCTTCCATTGGCATTCAGACCGAAGAAGATCCTCCTACCAACTCTGTAATGATTGGTAGGCAGGCTTTGTGGCATTGCATGCGGCAGTACGTCCCAGACATCGCCATTGTACACAAGAAGATATCCAAAGTTGTGGCAGCTGCTGGACAACGGCCGATGGTATCTTTCGATGACGGCGCCGCAGACATTGAATGTGATATGGTTCTAGGATGCGACGGGCTTCGAAGTATTGTGAGGAAGTCGATGTTCCACAATGAAGGGGATGAATCCTCCGAGAAGTATCCTCCACATTACGAGTGAGTATGTGAGCTCCTTGCAGCTACCATTCTTACACTGCATAGAGGACTCGTAGGCGTGGGTGGATTCATTCCGTCTTCCTACCTTCGGGATAACGGAGTAAAGAATGGGGAGAAGGGTATTGTTTTCGGTGCCAATGGTTTCTTTGGGTACGGATACAATACAACATCTCCGGAAGGCCAAAGTAGGAACCTGCCGCATGAGACCTGCGACCCTGGGGATGAAGCCAATTGGTGGTCCACTTACTACCTTGACGAGTGCCCCGACTGGCGGTCAATAGATTCTGAGGACGCCAAGCGACAGCTGATTGCACGTCACTCTAGCTGGAAGAATCCTGTCATTCAGAAGATCATCAAGAACGTGAAAATCGATTCGTTGTACCCGACATGGACCACCCCTGGGCTGCCGACTTGGGAACGAGCCGGTCTTGTGCTTATTGGAGATGCTGCAGATGCCCTTCATCCCTCATCAGGCCAAGGTGCCAACCAAGCTCTGGAAGATAGCGAGTGCTTCGCACTTCTTCTCGCGCACCACCTCAAAGCCACCTACTTGAAACCTGAGCGATCCCAGCAAGAAACTGAGCGGCTCGCTGGAGAACAAGCTGCGAAAAATTATTCCAACATGAGGATTCCCCGAATCGAGAAAATACATCAAAGATCCGCGGCCCTAGGGGACTTTAAGAAGCCAAAGAACTTGGTGCAAGAAATGCTGATGTATTTGTTCATATGGTCTATGAGTGAGCCCTACCTTGTGTTTTTGCACTGTTGAAGCTGATATTGTCTCAAAGAGTTCTTCCGAGTCGATACACATACACGTGAACTCACCAACTATGATGTTCCATCCGAGGTGGGAAAGATGCTGGCGGCGTCTCGGGGAAAATAGCGACAATAGTTGGGTTTTCCTGCCCTCCTCGCTCAATCCTGTATTCCAAAGGAAGCTAGCTTTCCTCACATATCAATCAAGAGCAAATCCTGTATTGGATACGGAGTGCAGTCTTTCATGTCCAACTCAGGCTTTCTGTTTGTGATGTTGAGTGCTACTGCTCTCAGCTCTGAGTTCTCAGCTCTGTGCTCTGTACCCTGTGCTCTTTGCTCTGTGCTCCTTGCTCCTTGCTCTTTGCTCTTTGCTCTGTGCCCTGTCATGCCACCATGACAAGATTTTGGCTGCCACTCCACCCTAGGCCACTGGGAAGGTTCGCCGACCTACTGGATTGCGTAGCAGATGCATGCAGCATGCCAAGGCGGCAGCGGATAGGAAACCACCGTAGTCTACAAACGGTTAGCGTTAGATCTCCCATATCAAAAATCGGGCAGTGCGGAGATGCACAGAGTTGCAACATACTCTGACCAACAATCGATCTTCGATTTAGGAGGCTTCAGCTTTTTGGAGACTCAGAGAGAGCCGCAGGTAACCATCCGTTTGTATTCCTCACCACTCAAGACAGGTATTGAGGTCTTGTTGGAGAACCGCATTTGGCAGCGTTTGGCAGCGTTTGAGTTGTGACCGCCATAACACCAGTGATGTCTGGATGCTGTCATGGCTGGTCAAACAGAAGAGAAAGATAGCGGAAGCTCAAGCGTGAAGCGTGTCATTCGTCCTGTAATACCAGCTTTGCCCTTACGCCCTGTGAAGAGACAACCAGCTTCAAAAAAGCACCAAGATGTGGACCCAGTGGAAGATGAGCCTCAGCGTGGTACCAGTATGCCTCTCCTATCAGGCGGCTGCAGTACACCAGACCGTGCCCTCAAGATTCAGTTTGGGGAAACGAAGGGAGATTGCGAACAGGCTGTCCACTACTCTTCAGCATCATTCGCCCACACCAGTTCTTCGCTAGATGTGACTCCTTCTAGCGTGCCATCGGGTATGTTTGAGCTAGGGCAGCTTGAGGTGTCAAATGCTGAAAAATCTTTGCCAGATGGATCGAACAACAACGACACCTTAACACAGGGCATCTCGTCTAGGACTAGCTCCGCACCACCAACTCTCACCACATCCTCAGATTCTCCTCCCCCAACTCAAAAACAAACGCTTCACACACCTGTTGTTCAGCTACCTGCACAAGCCAGCATATCTCGCTCTTCTTCCCTCCAAATCTCCTTTCTCTATCAAGAAGAAACCGACTCTGCCAGCACAGAATCCACTCCTGACAGCGAATCTAAAACGCCTCCTCTAAACTCACAGCCACTGAGTCCACCTGGTATGTCGACTTCCGAGTCCCGGACCTCCAACTTTGCTTCCTATCTGATCAAATCTAACCAGCGATAGATCTACTTGACGTCGAACAGAACCAGGCTTTGACTGGAACTGAGTCTACAAAGACAGTACCTGATCCACTGACCGCCTTTGAGCTATTCGACCCTGCAAACCCCATCATGCCTTCCTATCCAGCTCGTGCGCACATCCTGCCATCAATGATGATTCCCCTCTACATGTACCTGCTCAGCCTCTTCGATTACAAGCTTGCATGTGATCAGCAGATCGACGTTCATGTTCCAGGGCCTTCACCTTTCCAATTTTCCTTCGATGCACACAAGGTGATCATCTGCCGATCTCCACTACTAGCAATGCTGGTACATTCTAATGCGATCAACGGGCTTCAAAACAGCAGCATCAATCTCTTCTGGCCTGTCAATTATTTCAATGAAGCTGCATTCATCCAAGCTTTCCGACACCTCTACAGCAACGCTATTCTCAACAGCAAGGACATCGAGGAAATGACCTTTGAAGCTCGTACCCGCCCTGCTCCCGACTGGAGAGCTTCTCAACTCATGTTCACTATTAGCTACTGGCTCGGAGGATTGATTCTACAAGCTGACCCCGTGGTTGAACAAGCCAAGAGCCTCGTACTTAATCTGCTCAATTTCGACATCATCGGAACCGCATTGACTGCTGCCACACTCTTGCGTGATCATGACTACACCAGGGACGAGCACAACAACGCCATCGCCAATCACCAAAGTCTGTACACAGTCGCTGAGACTGTAGGAGTCAGACTTCAAAACATGATCTTCGCATTCATAGCTGAGAACATCATATTCAAAGACTTTCAGCTCGACACCAACCCCCACCAGACCCTTGTTAGGCCACTTTTCCCCGTCAGACAAGGCCTGATCGACCACTACCGTCGTCAAGTCCCGGTTCAGACCCTCCAATTCGGGCAGTTACCTCCTCAGCAAGTCGCCGGTCCAGCCCAACAGTTCAGCATGGACGACTCCCACACCTCTTACATCATGCTCAACGTCCCCTTTTCTGTCCTCAAAGAGGCAGTTCCCGTCATGAGAGAAGTCGCCGAGGACTGCCTGGTGGACGACGCCTTGGTCAAGGACTTTTTCAAGAAGGTGGTTGCAGAGAGGGAGGTCAGGCGGTGGGTTGCTAACACCGATAGAACTGTGACCGATGCGGAGCAGTTCGCGAATATGGATGTCTGGGGGGTGATTGGGTACGAGGAGACCGTCGAGGACGGTGAGAATGGGGAGTGGTACTTGTCGGCAGAGTGCTCCGACGGGTGGGCCGCGCGTGGCGGTTAGTTTTTGTTTTGCATAAGATACCCCAGGAGCCGGGCGTTTCGGGGCGGCAGATTTGTGCTTTTTTGTTGAATAGCCTAGATTAAATCAGGCAATAAAATTGCGTTTCCAAAACCCAGTGTATTTCTGCTCCATCTTTTTTGGAGTATATGGGGAGCCAGGCTTGTGATGCCGTAAATGATTACGTGGTATTCTTGAGAGTCAGGAACCTTTTGATAATATAGAATTTCTAGATTTTGAATTTGTCATTGTGGATCATGTATCGAAGGGCCCCTGCCCACTATATGATAGCCCAATTCCCTCCATCTATCCTTCTTGGGCCTTCTGATACCCTCTTGCTGCTGCTGCTATACCCGAATCTGGGGGAAATTTTTCAGAAACACTGTTCCTGTTTCTCAAGTTTGGATCGTTTCAGATTGGGTATCTAGCTCTGCTAAAGGGCACCGGGGTAGGGTATGATATGGAACCGGCGTCATGATTTATTTTACGATCGATTGTTTCGGAGCGCACTTGGTACCCACCTGCTGGCTGTACCTGATGTGTAAAGAACTTGAAGAAAAACGCTTTCTGTGCTCGAATCCAATCTTCTCCTGATTCGCGGGTTTAATATACAGAAGGACTCTCGTACAATTTCCCTCATATGCTGGTTGCGTTTGAATGGGATGCTCGATTTCATGAGCGATCTGCTAAGATACTGGAGGGGACCTCCCGTCTGGATGCAGCTAATGCTGCTCCTCCCTCACACTCAGCTCGAAGATGGCAGGCTTCCGTGGGGTGGAGCGGAGAATGCTGAACCTGGGATCGTACGGGATGAGGATTGGAGGTTTCTTCTCCAACTCCTGACGTCGGAGTTGGAGGATCGAAGAAAGTTGCGATTTCGGTTTCTTGACAATGGGAACGATATGTCTCTGCGGGCATCGTGGATGCCGCTCTGTAGGGGGGGCACCTATCGAAGGGATCTCGAATCAAACAAATTTAAGAGTTTGGCGTCGTAAATGGGAGATCTGAAGGTGGGTCTCTTCAAGATAAAGGGAGTACGGAATGGCACGCTTGCATCCAATGTCCCAAAGGGCACCGGGTATCTGCTAATCATCCTTGGAGGCTTCGTACCAGACTAGTAGGGAGACGATGCTATCCTGGAAAATCGTGCAAGAGGGGAGTGTTTGGTCAGGGTGGCGAGGCTCACTCCATACAGCTGATTCTTGTCCAGGCACCTAGAGTTCAATTGTTTACAGAAATGGCTAGTCACTCTAGTCGATCTCGCGCTTTTCACCCGGAGGTTGTTGTTCTGCGTATTCGAGGGTGATTCTGTGCTGGAGAAGAACTGGGGGAAGGAGAGAGAAGCAGTACAATCGGAGTTGCCGACGTCCCCCAGGTTATGAACATGATAGCCTGATCAATGATGTGCTGTTCTTTGTAGTAAAAGCAAAGCATATATACGGTAATCTCGTACTCAAACTATGAATTGAAGCCCTGAATTTATTGTCATTGGAACCAGGTGCGAGATGTAAAGAACCTAAACTGAGGTCACTTTTCAAGCAATGCGATTATCCTAAGAAATGTGAATTGTATCTTGAGACTCCTATTTTTAGTTACTTGGCATCATATATATATAAGCTTACCCGCCAGATAAATATAACGGACAACCTGTCTTCTTCACCCAATAGATTGTGGTCCCTTCTATTTTTTCTCATCTTCTCTTCACTTATAATGTAGAGGTTGTACTCGAAGGTAGCGGTACGAAAGGCTCAGTATGTGTTGCTCTTGCTGTACCATTGGTCGCATAGTCCTCTGTGATCTTAAGCTCTCCAGTAGCGATATCGAACATGTTGATTGTTCGATTAAAGAGGGCGAGCGAGGCAAGAGGCTGATAGTAGGGAACTTCATGACCGGCTTCGTAGACCCGAGTGAAGCTAAAGTTGCCGTATTCTCGGGTCTCGCCATACTCGACGCCATCGACAATCATGGGGGTGTAGCCTGCGGCTCGGAACTCCTCCGCACCAGAAAAATTGGCTGCTAAGCTGACGGCTTCGCCGCCGAACCAGTTGCAGATATAGTCTAGGCAATGCGTCAGAAAAAAAAGTGGAATGCAAATATTTCTAAAGCTGTTTTACCTGCATCGCCGTATATGAGGGCAATCCGGACCGGTGAGTCAAGGAGAACTTGTAAATCTTCAAGGAATATAGGGTAGACAAAATCCCCAGTCTGCTGAAAAGCGTAATATATCTCATTGTTGGAATACTGGGTATAATTGGTATTTACACCTATAGCTTCCTGCGTAGAGGCCAAGTTGAGGAATTCCTGGAAATAATCTGGCGGCGTGGGGTCATCATAAGGATGTCTTATATCGTAAACGCCCCGGTCCCCGTAGCTGTAGTATGGCCCTTCGACGTTGTCTCGGCACATGGACTGTGCTTCCGAACAGATGGCTTGATCTGTGAGAGAGGTGCGGTTCGTCAGCTTGCAGTATCGAAGTTGATCAAGACAGCCGTTGATCATGTAGCACGCGAAGTTCATATAGTTGTATACTGTATCATTTATCGCTTTGATCCCGTAGGTATTGTTGTTTGCGAATATAGGGTAAAATGGAACTTGAATCGCCTCATCGATAAGAGCATTAATGAGGCCAAGGGTATTGAAGGTGAAATATTTTCCAGGAGTCGAACCATTTGCAATGGCTTCGTTCTGTTCGTAGAAGTACCGATAGAACGTTGGGCCATAATGGCCACCATAAGATTCTACAGACACGTTAGTACTTGTAAAGCTCCTTTTGGGTGATATGGAAAAGTCGCGAACCTGTCCAAAGATTAAATTGTTTCGACTGAACCTCTGAGTCGAGCTGAGGGAGTGCGGAGTAGAAGCCCTGAAGGATCTCCCATGCTGCAATGGCAGCAAGCTCGGTTGTGTCTATAGGAGCATAGTTAGCACGCCATCCACGACAGTTAAGAGTCCCGACAGCCGCGAAGTGATCCCACATACCGACTTCGGTCGCGTCGATCACAGGATATCTGCCAGCGACTCCGCCGACAGAAGCATTTTGAAACACACCTATGACAGTATTGTCAATAATTACCTTTTTTTTTTCATGGCAAGGTATTCATTCTAGCTGATTCAACTCAATTAAAGCCAGCCGATCGAGGTGCAAAAGATTACGTAAGAATATTCATCGAAAGCATTGATTGACTGGATTTCTGTTGACGGCAACGCTGCTCACCTGTGAAATTGTTCAAACTGCCTGGCTCCTGGAGGCAGTTAGTATTCTCAAGAGTCTTGATATGAGAAGATGCACCCACCGTCTCGGCGTATGAGAAGCCCACGCCGACCGGCTGAGAAAGAAATAGCATGTTAGAAACTTCGTTCCATGCGTATGGATTGAGCTGGGTCTGGAGGTCTTCCGTAACATTACATGGACCCAGCTCTGGCACCATATCAGCATTCCTTCTCCGTCATATTGGAAGCAATCTGACCTTGGAAAAGCCCGATCAAAGAATCACTACCAGGTCCTCCGTTCAACCATAACGTGATAGGATCGTTCGCGGGATCTCTTCGCGACTCAAAGAACCAGAAGAAGGCGTGAACATCCGGCGCCAAGTCAATGAAGCCGGAGTATGAGTCAACTCCTGGCGTTGTTTCGCAAACGCCAGCCTTGCCTGGCTCCTTGTATCTGATCGTGACGTTGGTCGGAGATGTGATCGTGGTGACCCCAGTAGGGTCAAGAGGGAGTTGTCTTGCAAGCTTGCGGAGTCTTGGTCCATTGTGCGGGCTTGATTGAGCGCAGGAAAGCCACGCTACCAGCCACGACACAGTCAAAAACAGATGCATATTGGATATTGGCAGGAACAGGGAGGCGTAGTAGCCACCACGAGGAGCAATGAAGAGGAGAGATAGAGAAGAGCCTCGAGACAGGAGATAGGAGACACGAGAGGGAAAAAACTTCTATTTAACCGGCTTTCCGGGCGCCACGATCAGAATACCATGTTCTGCACATACCACCTTCATGCGGAATCTCAATCAACAATGAGTCCCAAATCGTAGCTAGCTAATCCTGCCACCTGATGCAGGTAGTTATGAGATGGCTGGCTGCAAGAGGGGTAGATAGCGACATGGAAGACACTCTGTGCACCTGAGGTGGAGTACTGACGTAGATATTTTCCATCTTCGCAGCAAACAAAGACCGCTTGGAGACGCCGAGTCCGATTCGTCGATACGCCGGGACAGATCTTTAGAGAGTCCTTGAGTAGAGTCCTCGAACAGCACATAACATCATACCACAACACAGTGGGAGCCCTTGTCCTTTAGCATGCCTATCCACTCGTCAATCAAGCCCAGAAGAGGAAGGTTCTTGTGAAGATGAATCAATCCAATGCAGGGTCTAAGCGGGGTTACGACATCCACGCGTGGCAAAGCATCATCCGCTGCAGGAGCCCTTTGAAAAGCTTCTTGGCAGCTGTTACGTAGTACGGAGTACACAAGTCGGATTTACGTCTCTCTGATTGGTCGTTCTTTAATGATAAGCAACTAGAACCGGCTCGCCGTTCCGAGATTGAAGCTTGACCTCTTCTCCATGACGCTTGAACGAGCATCAGCACAGAATCAGCCTAGCGGTTTGGGGCCGCTTGCAGAATGCCGCGGCTATGGACTGCGCAGGATATTTCAACGCAACGGGGATTTCTGGAGCAACCAAGAAAGCAGGAGAGTCACATTCTAGTATACAATCTGATCGGTCGCTGCAGGTATATAGGATATGAGGTCTGCAGTGGCCGTCAGATCATGACGAAGTCTGTTCCTCTCGCTAGACGACTATGAACATCACAACTCCTTCGTCTGCTAAAGAGAGAAATGAACCGATCACTTCATGCATAAGCGGAAATGCTCATTTTGGCGACCCGGTCACGATGCAATATCTCCTTAGAAATAACCTGGTTCCCAGGAAGTATTCCATGGAGTAAAGGGGGTCCACTCGGCGCCATGATGCGGGTCATTGGGGTTAGGTCCGAAGGATGAACTCTTGCTTTCATCCTCCGCAGCCCAAAAATCCATATCTGCATCAAGATTGAAAAGAGTATCGAAATCATGGTCCAAGTCAACATCGCCAATTATGGTGTTGCTTGTGTGGTCAGGTGGCATCATTGCGCTGAAGGAAGCACACTCATCAGATCCATCGGACGCTGGAGGTGAGTATTGCCCCATCGATCTGAGATATTTAGATGGCATGGACGAATGAGAAAATGTAGCGGACTCATCTGTGTCAGGTGGCGGGGTCAGAACTGTGGCAGAAGTATTTTTTGTCCTCGTTATCTTGGGATTCGACGATTGAAGGGACAGATTTGTAGCCAGGTTTGGGCTGCGCATTGCTTTCTGTAAGAAAGATGTTGCCGAGGCTGCCGAGGCGTAGATATCATGCAGCTGTTGCAGTACTTCGATGCATTGTTGATATTTCTCTGCACTGGTCCTTTTATTGATTTGTTGGTTGGGATTTGCGTTAAGGAGATCACATATGTGGTGGGTGGCCTGCGCCGTGTCTGAAGAGATGCGACGAATACGTTCTTCATGATTTAGTCTGCGCCCTTGCATCCGATCTTCCTTTGTCAGCAGCGCAAAGATTAACTGAATAAGCGATACTGACAGAGCATATGAGGAACATGACGATCGAGCTGGAGCTCGAACGAATTGCCAGCCGAGGGAGTACAGAAAACCCTGTCAGCATAATCCGAGGACGGGATCCAGTCAATTGACTTGATATTCATGTTGGAATTCACGTCGCCAGCGTCCGACTCCGCATTGGATGAAACTGGTGACTGAGATTGCTCATCTAGGCTACAAGAGCGAGGCTTTCGCTTCCGCCTCGAATCCGACACAATACATTGGAGACGATCCAGCCGACAATTGTTGCATGGCGGTCCACTATCCACCACATCACATCGAACCTTTCTTGAACGGCAAGTCTGGCAGGCTTTCGCCGCTCGACGTTTGGCAGGGCGCACACCTTCCGGAAAACCTGCAATGAATGCTTTCCTCTTCGTTGTGCTCTGCTGCATGGTTTCCGTGGGCGGGGACATGGTGTCAACCTGCATATTAGAACCGATCTTATCGACGAACATGATCCGGTACTGTTGTTTTACAGCTGCTGGTACCTTGAGGTACCAAAACAGAAGATAGGTAGTTATTGGAAGACAAAGAAATTTCCTACATACACTTAAACAACAACCCGGGGGACCGCTTACCATACATACAAATCGCTGACGTCGCACCGGCATTTTCTCTGGCGTCAGAGCAAACCCCATGATTCTTTTCCGGACTGACACGCCAGAAGAAGTAAGGTCTGGGGAAAATCGTGCATACCATGAGCAGAATGCATGATGATGGTTCGTGGGTGAGGGGCATCAAGGCGGGAAGTACTCCGAAGAACTCCACCGGCTCAGGTGTGGGGTAACATTAGCGGTAGTGGTGCACAGGAAGCTAATCACAAGTTTCCGAATCTCATCCGTGCTCGAAGCCAGTTGACCACATCCTCTTATACGTTGACCAGAGGACTATTTTCGACTGTGAGCTCGATGCGTGTACAGGACATGATGCCCTCACCTTCCAAACCATGCGTTTCTGGCGCTCATGACTCAAAGACAGCAGTTTTAGACGAGAATGTTCCTTACACCTTGAGGCGGTTGACGCCAAGATGACGCTGGCTGGTTCGAGCTTTCCGCTCCGGTAACCCGAAATGGCGGACATCTAGGCCATTGGCCAAGGGCTTCGGAACGACTTTCGGAACCCTTGATCGGCAGTTCCTGAGCTTAGCAGGAAGAGGCCTCTGAAAGTTATGTCTAACTTTCAAATCTCATCAGATTCAATATACAAAAATTCATTATTACAGTCCTTACCTTCCAGCATTACTCGACCCTCATTCCTTACTCCCAAGCTCATTCGAAATCTCTCACAGGGCCTCCGCTGCTGTGCAAGAGAAAGATTTGCAGGACTATGGATTGCGCCAGTTATGAAGAATGGAAGTTTCGTCAATTGACATTGCCCTTGCGAGGAACCTGAGCATCTCAGTCAATGCATAGATTCTCGGTTCTCGGTTACTATTGCAACAGTCTTGTCTATAACCTTTGTAGGTCATCCTTCCCTCAAGAACTCGTCTGGAATGCTCTCGAGAGGCCATCTCTACGCCCCATATAAAAGAACCAGACCAGCATTCTGCTAGCGAAAACCGAAGAGATTTGTGACCGTCGCTTTCAAAGACGATTCAATGATGGTAAAAAGTTGAGGTACCTACTCAACTCGAGTCTAAGAAGTATCATCGTAATCACAGATGTTCATGAAGGGCAATGTCTTCATCTGAATAAGCCATACTTGCTTAAATGTTCTCCAGCATGAGTTTGTTGTCTACAAAATATTTTTATAGACAAAGGCATTTGAATTCGCTACATGGTGCTGATACTCTTGGCAGGCTAGAAACGGGACAAGATAAGCACTATTTTACTAAACACGCTGAAATTAAGTTTCCGAACTGCACTTTATTACATCCATGGCGTCTATCATTTCCGGTTGCAAAATACGCTCAGTCTTTCCACCTTTCATAATAATAGGATTTGAGATAGGCTCCTAGAAGGAGCTTTCAACGCCGTCAATTTCGTCCGGGATCTTCCCATTGGCAAACCTTTGCAATGTTGCAAAAGCTTCAGCCATTCAACGGATTTGCAATGGCTACAGTCGGAGGCCTGCTATTTCAGTCTGCGTAATGGGTTAGTATCTTGAGATTGGTGCGGATATTGTGCGGGTCAATCGACAAAGAGGCTCTTACAGGGCTGAGGATCCTAGGAGCATCCTCGATGATGTAGGAGTTCTGTCGCCACTGACACGTGTATTCATTTGCTCCAAGAAGACGATCGAGCCGCCTGTAGAACTTCTTCGAGTTGATGAACTGGTCGGCGATGGTTTGGGAATACCTGTTTCCATCGATTGATCGAACAGAGGAGCCATCGGACAGCGGCGGTGAGCTTGATCTACTCCCCATGGAAGCGCTGGCAGTCGCCAAATTGAGAGACATCCAGGTGTAGGACATGAAACAAACTACAATGAAGCGTAGTTAAGGAAGACAGATACACAGGAATAAGGAATACAGGAACACAGAAAGGAAGAGAGGCTCGAGGCGTGACTTTAAGTAGACAAAACACCTTTCGTCAGTTGGTTTCTGCAAGGCAGAACGCCAAAGGGGCTACTTTGAATTCCAGTCAGACCAGGTTTCACAAATATGCTTTTGTGGCGCATTTTGGGTGCCTCGGGCATAAGCTCAGCTCCAAACAGACAGACAAAGAAAGCGAGCCTGACAGAAGGCGAGGCTCACAAAAATCAGCCTTGCAGGTGAGGAGGGCACGGGGCCAAGCCACCTATTGTGCCTGAGTCAGGCGCCCTGAGGCGGACCTTTGTTGGGTTAGTCTTACATCAGAGATCAGTTTCTGAGATGTACTACGGGGGGGCCTGAAGTAATGTTAGTCTGGTGCTAAGAACAACTAGGAGTTATTACAACAACCTAGTGTTATGATTCGTCACTTCAAGGCTTATTCCGTGTGCATTCATTCTCATGAGTCAAATAATTACATCTAACTCTATTTAGGCATAGCTGCTCTGTACAGAGAGGGTTAACAAGTAAAGATACTAGCGCTGAGCTAACATTACTACGTACTTCAGGCGCCCCCCGTAGTAACACCAGTCTCTTGCCGCACGCGCCTTACCGTGCGGGGAGCGTATGATCTACCGCCCTGAAAATTCTTCCGAGGACGCTGAAGATATTACTTTAGGACACTCTTTTAAGATATCCTTCTAGACATTCTTTAGAGAGTCCTTTTAGAGTATTTTTCCGAAACATCTATCTAGGATACCCTTCTACGACACTCTTCTAAAACACCCTTCTGAAGCATCCTCTTTAAGGCACCCACTCAAGATATCCTTATATGTTAACTAACTTAGTTACTGTAAACTTGACTCTGCCTATTGATAAGATGTATTCTTATGGATATCTCTTATCATATCAATATCAGTTCAAAACCTAGCCTTCGTAGAACTTGTACAGCTATAATATATAAGAGAAATGCCAGTGCATGCTGTGAGAGTAGACTTGCATAGCTCTTTGTTGAGGGCGGTCAGTGATTTTTACCGTGGGATAACCCAATCATGGTCAGCCGTAGCACGCTACTTTTTCTTATCCGACTCTCACATTTTCCTTTTCACCGATGGATAAATCTAGTCTCACCACTCATCATCATCAAGAACGTTAAAACTCTGTGGACTGGAAGATGTCAAGGTCTCAGTACCTTCGTCGAGTCCTCCATCGCGATCAGAACCCTGTATCCGCCAGAGTATTTGAGGAGCAAGCAGGATCTCTGTTTTTGTCGCCTAATACGCCTGATCAGGGTATAGACGTCTACTCTCTGGATCCGGCCTTGAGTGAAATCACGAATTCGAATGAGTACATGCAAGACGATCGGGTGAGTCACTCACGATCAATCATCGACGACAGTATCGAGATTCAGGATAAGAAGGTCGATTCTCTCAAGTCCCAAGGCATATTACAGCCGCCGAAAGGGCCAGGTGATACAATCCTTTCGCTCCGAACTAAAGAAGATCTAAAGCAGTATGTGGCTGCCGCAAAAGGCTTTCAGGCCTTTTTCATCCGTCAACGTCATTCGTACTCCCCATTGACAATAACATATGAGCTGTTCGAAACTCTACTCCTCGAGAAAAATGTCTCTCCTCAATTTAGAGACTACGTCTTGTACATGGGCGAGAGAGAGCGCGAAGTGGAGATGGTACCACCTAGGCTACGGTGGACAGTGACCACAATACGTTCATTCCAACAAAATCGTTCAAATCTTGAATGCATGTACGGTCTTCGCTTCGTAGAGCTCAACGGAAGGGGCAACGCTTATCAACCCACCTCCCGGTGGTCTTTTCGGCAAACTGCTGTTTATTGCAGCTTTCGTTCTGCTTCGGAGAATTCCCCTGGATTTTTGTTACTCCATCGCGACTCGCACAGCAGCGCATAGACGGCTATGCAAGCTGCAGACATGAGGGTCTGGAGTTCAACCCATTCGAAATACACCTCCTACTCTTGGACACAGCCATGGCGAATTGGAGACACTACCTGATAGACTTGGCCGCAGAGACAGACCAGCACGCTGCCCAATCATTAGGAGCTTCTCCCGACGATCAAGGTCCTATAAATATGGCAGATTGCGGTGAACGTCAAGCACTTATGATTTTGGACGGCAAGCTACAAAATGCGGCAATCGCCATCAAGTCGACTATAGAAAATGTCAGAGCACATCTTGATTGCCATAGATTGCTGCGAGAAGGGGTGTCTGAGGTCAAAGAACCAGCGGGGGGCTTTATTGTCTCAGATCTTATGGAACAGCTGAAAGAGCTTGACACGCTTGTCTTGCGAGTCGACGCATTGAGAGCGCGTTTGCAAGGCATCACAAGCTTAGTGTCAAGCTTTCTTGAGCTAAACAATGGCTTCGCCCTACAAAGCCTGGCCAAAGATTCAGGAAGGGAAAATGAAGAAATGCGAAAGCTTAGCGAGAGAATGCATGCGTTAACGGAGAAGGGAACTCAAGACGCCGCAGCTATCAAAGTCTTGACTATATTGACCTTGATATACTTGCCTGCAACTGTGGTTTCCAACTTTTTTTCCACGTCTTTCGTCAACTTACAAACATCCCCCGGGATGTCGAATCATGTGGTTGTCTCTGGTGACTGGTGGATATTCGTTGCAGCTTCTGTTCCGCTCACGCTACTCACCCTCTACACTTGGTGGGTTTGGACTCGCATTAAAGTTTACAACAGGTATCCCTTATGGTGGATAGGTCGAAGAGGCCGTTCTGCTGGTACAAGGCCTAGCACAATACAACCTGGAGAGAAAGTATGATCTTCGGCCAATTTGTCCAGAATATGGGCTTGAAAAATAGAACACGTCGCAAAGCTCCTAAAGCTTCGCAATCTATCCTATGAGAATAACGAATCTACATGACTTAAACCCAGAATCGCTCACATAACAGCAAATGGCATGGAGACCCTTTGGAACCGCAGGGCGGACTTTTCCAGCGGCTGTAAATGACAGCATCACGACTCTCGCACAGGCGACATGTCAACCGCAAGCCTTTTTGTCTTCTTATGTGCCACTCCATTGATGGGAGTTCATGGTCTCCTGCTCACCAATGAGATTCATGCAAAGCACACATCCCCTCACCAACTAAATCATTTCAGCCACCCAAAAGCGATCAGTTCCTGATCAGCCACGTTCTGCAAGCCAAGCTCAATAGTTCCTGTTGTGGGAAGGTGTGGGCGCCTGAACCATGCGGCGTCTTTTTGAGAAATGTACTTTGCACCTGCTCATAGCCTCAGCCTCACGGGACAGTCATCAAATGTCTCTCAATCAGGCTCGAGGCAGACTTGCCCCAAAGCTAACCCAATTGTCTCCGCATCTTCATCATTACACGTCTTTATAAAGCTATCATCTCACTAACTTAGAGAGAATTGACTTTCCCCTCTACCTTCAACAGGACCTTCCCTTTATGTCTACCAATAGCTATGCCGAGAGGAAAGCTCTGGTGTGGCTTCGTCACCATCAAAGAGCTCTTTAAAAGATCTGCATCGCAGTCACAACCTGATTCGGTCGGCTCTGAGCAAGAGCGATCCCAACGAAGAGAAGATTCACGCCCAATTCCCACCAGTTCCCCAAACGTGCCAGCGAATAACCAGCCCAACCCAAGCCCTAGTAGTCTATCCAAAGACCTCGATTCAGACCCTTCTGGTCCCCTGCCACCTACACAAAGCTCTCTACCGGATCGCGGAAATAAAGGCAATGCATCCAACAATTCTCGTCCCCATGGGAACTCCTTCACAGACACTCTACAACATACAGCGACAATCCCGATCTCTCGAGCTTCTACAGATAACCCTCATCTAATCAACACTGGGCAGGGGCAGGTGTCTCAGAGAGTTGATTGCCATATAATCCCTGTCTATGATGGGAAAGAGCCTCGGGAACCGCATGAGTGTAAGGTGGATTGGGTGGGTTCAAACTACTTCCCCAGCGTCGATGAAACAGCAGTCAATCTGCTCAGAGACAGTCACAACGTCCCTGAAACCACGCAACTGTATCGCAAATCAGGAAGATGCCGTCTTATCAATGACAACACACATCAAGTGGAGGATTCCAGAATCGTGGAAAACCAGCGACAGTGGGCAGAGGAAATACCAAAAATGGTAGCGGCACATTTGTACAGAAGTATCTACGACAAATTTCACCTGGAGATGCGCTTAGAATATTCAGCTCTCTCTATAAATCTAGTCAAGGGTGAAAGGTACGCAACCACAGTGCAAAAGGAGGTCCATGGAAAGCTTGTGACAAATTGGGAGGACGACAAGTACATACCACGTCGAGATCTGGACCAGATCTACTCTGAAATTACAATCAAGACCCTCATTGACACGGATCAATCGCTTGACAAGCTGGCGCTTGCGGCAGACGAGAGAGCAGAATTCCTCGAAAACATCAATCTCAACGCATCTCGGTTGCTCGCTATTTGTATTCACATCGACATGCCGCTAGCCTGCTTGTACCATCTCGTGAAGAAAGGTTACAAAGATGGAGACCTACCTCTTTCCCGTAAGAAGCAGCATTGTCCTTGCACGGAATATGAAGTTAAATTTGAAAGCTTCATGAAATGGCAGGCAGCCTTCGTCGCGCACATCTTTGTCAATGATGAAGGCGGACCAAAACACAAATCGCTCCCAGACGACGTTGTTTTGCCCATCACTTACGACACGGAGAGACCATCTCTGGGGAAAGGCGGCTTTGGTGAGGTGTACAAGATTTATATTCATTCTGACCACCATTACTTCTCTTCATACAGAAATGCACCATTAGCCTTGAAGAGATTCTTTCAATATTCCCACACTCAAGAAGACTTCGGGAAGGAAGAGAAGGTACTAAGTGCGCTAGCAGAATTTCCGCACGATCATATTACACCGCATCTCGCGTCGTGGACACAGAAAGGCATATTTTATGTGCTGTTTCCTTGCGCCGAAATGAATCTGCACGAGTTCCTGAGGATGTATCCTCCTCGTGATCTCGATACCGAGTTCGTGAAATGGCTGTTGTGGCAACTCCGTGGTCTAGCTGACGGGGTTCGCCATATTCACAACCTAGGACCATCTCGACTTGTTCCAGAGCCCCAAAGTCTGTCACCGCCTGGTCTGCGAGCACAACGCAGAAGATCGGGATATCACCATGATATCAAGCCGAAGAACATTCTCGTCTTCGCGAAAGACAAGGTTGGAGACGGTGAAAGAAAGATCACTGATTTCATCTTCAAGATTAGTGATTTCGGTGCTGCCAAGATCAATATCATCCTGTCCAAGTCGGGCGAGATCAGTTACCGGACAGAAGCCTTATCTGCTGGCGATCCTGCCTACTGTGCGCCTGATTACGACCTTGTGGGAGAAACGTCACGCCCATACGATATCTGGTCACTTGGCTGCGTATTCCTAGAAGTTCTGGTCTGGACTTTTGACCTTCGTGGCCATGAGCTCGTTGACACCTTTGCTTTAGAGCGGGTCCAGAGCTCTGGGTCTCGTGATGTGGTTGGTCATTCATCCGCTTTCTGGCATCGGAATGACCGGAACAACATCGTCCTCAAATCAACTGTGGTAAAACGTCTAGAGCAGCTTCGAACACACGGTGAAAAACAAGTAATCTTCAGACACGTCGTGCGAAACATTGGGAAAATGCTTACCATACCACCCCGTGAACGTGTGACGGCGGCAGAGGTCTACAATGTGCTTGATGCGGCATACATGCAAGCTGAATATGACGTTCGGAAACAACCAGACATTTACCAACAGGGCATGGATTGGTACCGGCAGGTAGCCTCGTCACCGACAACGGTCCACGATGGAGGATCAAGACGACCAAGTATTGACCAACGCTCCTTCGGATCCTTCCACGCTCGTGAGAATGAAGAGCATGGTTTTCCCCAAAGTAGCCCACGGAGTCTGAGTTCATCAAATCACAGGTCTAGGAAGGGGAAGACATCGCTCGAACGTGGATTTAGTACAACAAACTCAGACCTGCTTCAACTATCTCCAGTGGACACTCAGAACCTACCACCGAGACAGAGCCACTCACGAAGTCCTTCCATTATATCAGTTTCTCACCATGACGATCCTCACGCTACTGAGCAGCGCATCTACGATGCTGCACATAATGATTTCCAAGAACCATTTCCTCCTGTGGGATCTCATTCAGATCCTGTCGGACGAGAGGATTTTATGACGTTACCCTTTTTGAGTAGAAGGCGTACAGGTGATTCTCAAAGCATTTAAAGCTTGAATGCATTGTGTTATTGTCATTTTGCATAGTGTTGGAAAATGTTGGTTTTCATGATCAGCATCTTATTTCAGCCTGGAGTTTGTTAAGAGGAATGGGAACTGAGAAGCTACACGATACCCCTTACGTTGGAATCTTGCATGTGCTGTTTTAGACCTGTTGTACAGACCAGTTGTACAGACCAGGATACGTTGTATGATGTCTGGAGTACATATCCACCGAAAATTTCTTTCACAGAATGTATTGTGTGAATACCATTCGAGCGCCATGGGTTTCTGGTGGGGAACAGCTGCTCGAATTCTTACTCAATTCTTTTACAACTCTATTACCTACAGAGCACATAAACTGTCTGCTCAAGCGCCTAAGAACGAATACTACAATGTGACGGAGCTTTTTTGTCTCTTTCTAATGTCTGGCAGAATTGGAGGCTCTGAATAGCACAAGTGTTCGATAACACGGACACTACGCAAAAGTAAGCGTCCATTCAGATAGGTATTATAAGATTATAGGATATAGAAATACAGTGGGTTGAAAAGTGCGATTCTTCGTTTAAATTCAACGGTTGACTCTTGTTTTGGCGATAGTACTGTAGATCCGGGCATGTGGGTTGACTTCCTTGGACTCGTTAGGCTACACGAAGCGCTAAGGGTGCCTGCAAGAGGCGAAAGGCGGCTTTACCCGCAACTACTCTTCCGAGCCACCACATTCCACAAATGGTACGGAGTACAGAGCTCAGCCAGCCCAATTCTGTCCAACAGTGATGGAGATCCAGTTCGCAGCCTCGTCGCAACATGCAACCTTTGCGGATAATGCCATGCGAACTGCTAGAAGCCGATAATAGCACAGCCTCACCCGCATAAGTCTGCATGGCCACCTGATGAACGTCTGGCCGTCTCATGGTGACCGCGTCATTCTCTTCCTTATCCATTGATTTCTTGTCTCCTTGCATCTTCTGATCTACACAACTATTGAACCGAGAACCTTTCCTGGTGTCATTCATTCTAATCAGGATTCTTTCTCTTCCTCAAATCTCCTCCACAAACTATTCTATCAACTATGGACATCCACATCTGGCCCAACAACATCCGCAACCTCAAATGGCCCAACGACGGAATCACATACAGCTATGAGCACCGAGGTTACATGGCGCCGGAGAAGATCGAGCATTGGCTCTTGAAGGCTTTTGGCGATGGCAATGGCAAATACGTTGTAAGTGTGCTTAGTTGGTTCCTTTGGGGGTGCCATTGCCATACTTGAGAGCATAAGAAATGTTCGACTGGTTATTCATCTTGCGTTGTATTGCTGCCATCTCCTTTTGACCATTGGCCAAACCGCTGGAGCAAATATTTATCTGGTTATTTCTGACGATTTGGTACTCACTGCTTTTATGTTCACGTTTCTTGGTGAGAAAGACTGCTCTCTATTCTTCCGTCTTTGGCGCACGAGGAAGATTAGAAGAGAGGACCATATTCTGACGTTCGTAGTCTTACTCCACAACATGAATACGTTGGCTAATCACCTACTTGATTTGCAGCTCTTCAATGAACGAATCTATATTAAAGCTCCCCGAAAGCCAACATCCGTAAGTCAAAGCTTAGCTGTCAATATCCCACCATCTCTTCTAGACCTCTCTTCGAATCCGCTCGTCGATGTTCACTCTACATTACCCAGTACCCGTACCCCACGACCTGATTATCCACCCACCTAACCTCCCCCTTCCTATACTCCTTCAGTCTCTAGCCTTTGCTTAGCCTCACGTGATCATTCAGTCCCCTGGCCATCGGTCCTTATTTTTTCCCCACGAGTGCTCCCCTACTTCAATACCTAGCTGCTTCCCTTCAGTGCCTACCATCAGAGAGTGGGCCGTGTCCCTCCCTGCACCTGTGTATTCTTTTCTCGCCAAACTTTAATCCCCAATTCTCGGTTACCTCTGCGGATCCTTCTCTGCTGCCCCTTTCCCCTGCTCCGATTTTTCAAATCAAAAGCCAAGAACGCTGATCCTTCCCCATTCCAATGTCTCCTTGCCCTTATTCTCTACCCCATGAAATCTTAAGATCCGCACCTAAATCCAATTCAACAACAGGACCATCCTGCACTTCACCATTCCTCAATCATCAGATCACATACTTCCACTAACTCTACCTTCTCCTCACCTTCCGCACCCGTTTCCCTTTCACACCTCTGCTCTAATATCCAACCACTAACCCCCCGATCTATCATTTACAGGCCGAGCTCCGCTGGATGCAAGACGGCAACAAGAGAAGCGGAGTAGAAGTTGCTGAATACGGATGGTTGACCTTATAGATCTTCCATCCTGGAGGGCTCACTACGGAGAGTTGCACCTACCTCGGCACCACTATTGACTGCTAGCACTGAAGGAGAACACCAGGCTAAAAGGCGTCACAGCTTTACGGGGTGAGACGAGTGGGATTGGAAGAGCATTGAATACTTTCCATCATCATTGTGTACCGACTCTCCATCTTGCGTGATATCTCATCCTCGAAACGTGTCCTCACTGGCCAACCCTCTTCTCAAGTAGCTCCTACCTTCATGTCACAGTGCCGATATTCCACATTCCTCGATCATAATCATGGCATTTATCGTGCCCTTAGTCATACTCCTCCTTCTACTCCCCTTCAGTCTCTCTCCTTTCTTCTTTCCTTTACAAGTTTCCTTTACAAGTCCGACCCTCAAGTTCGAGCAAGTCACGTCTACCAGTCCAATCCTCTCCCTAGGTTATGACAACGCGTTGCATCTGGGAACAATCTTATGAGCTAGCGTATCAATGCTTTCTAGCTAGCTAAAATCCCTAGACGCCTTATCGTTCAGTATCGCCCCTTCGGCATAGAGCTTCTCTTGTCAGCTGTCCTTTCCTTTTCCGAACTTCTTCCCTTCGGCGATCAACCGAAGCAGTACATCTCTGGGGCACTAAGCTAGATGGTGCATGAGGTTGAGCACCCCGTTCAGACTTCACGATCGAAAGTATTGTTGTATACGAAAAAGTGACAAATTCCCCCCGCCTGAGGCAAACTATATAGGCCGGCATTCAGCCTATGTCGGGTTATGCTCCTCTTTAGGTATGACTAAGATGGCCAATGAAGATTTTAAGGCGTCCAGATTTTTGCCCAGGTTTGAGGGAGAGCTAACTTCAGGTCTAGTTACAGCAGACCGTTAAGAGCCCTTCAGTTCTCCACGTAAGAGCCCTGACAGAAGCAGTGGCTTGGCGATGCGCATGGGCTTGGAAGTCAAGATGAGTGTCTGGCGAGGATCTGTACTGTCTATGAGGAAGGTCATCTTTGTTGTAACCTTGTTTAGAAATCAGTTGTGCACCCACGGTGATCTGTTGCGACAAGCATTTACGTATGCTGGTAAGCAACCACGTCTTCACGCTGCTATTAACAGCTTCTAATCAAGCTGATGATGTAGATATAGACTTAAAACTGATCCTACCACGCTATGGAATACGGCTTCTCTCGACACTCGTCCAGCTCCAAATTCACAGCTTCGCCTTGCCGTCATCTACCAGTTCTGCGCCTGCACCGGCAACACACAGCTTGCCAGTCTCCTTGACCCTGGTCTGAAAGATGACCCTGCTTCCTTCCTTCCACATTTCAGTCTGTAGAGTCTGGCCGGGCAGTACTGTGCCAGCAAACCTAACCTTGATGTTCTTGAAGGGGCCAAAACTCTGCAAAACGTGTTTCCCACTGAATCCAAAAAAGCATAGCCCGTGCAGAATAGGAACTTTGAATCCGCCTACCTTACTGAAGTCGGGATCGATGTGCAGAGGATTCCTATCACCATTAAGCCTGTAAAGAGCGGCTTGGTTTTCGGTTGTCCTCTCCTCCACGACAGCGTCTGGGGCACGGTTAGGTGGTTTGTACGTTGTTGTTGCTGCGCCTCTTTTTGAGCCCTTGCTGGCCCCACCGAAGCCGCCAGACCCGCGAATGAAGGCAGTCATCTCGTTGTAGAAAAGGTCTTCTCCTGTTTTGGCATCTTTGGTGGTCGTACCAGACACCACGACTGCTGCGGTGCCCTTATCGATGACCTCGATCAAACGTGGGTAGGACAAGGTTTCGGCGGCGGTTGGGATGGGGAATTTGCGGATCTCCAGGTACTGCTCACCATGGAGCAGCATCATCGGGTTATAGTTCGGGACTATATCGTCGGTATTCCAAGGTGCCGAGGCGTTGAAAGGAGGGACAACAGCGAAGGTGGGAAGTACCTGGAAGTCTGACGACCCTTCGTAAACCAATGGTAGCTCATCTCGTTTGGCACCTAGGCTAAGATTGTAAAGAATGACATCCTTGTCATCATAGATAAAGGACGTGCCTTCTGCCTTCATTTTTTTGGCTGATTCAATGTTCGACAAAATTTCGGAGTTTTGCCCGGATGAGCTGCTGCCACCACTCTTATTCTCCAAGTTGGCCATAATGGATTTGAGGCCATCTTGGCCGTCTTCTGGATGATCTGCACGTCCATCTCCGAAATTGATGATATCCTTCCAAACGCCCAGAACGTGCTCGGGCGTCAGTTTGACGTCGATGGGGAAGCCGTGCCCTCCAGAACGCTGCCACCTGGTACGCCCAAACCAGCCGCTTCCAACCTCAAAGAGACCACCCGTTGCAGGATCAGGAACTTTATCGGAGCAAAGAAGCGCCACAAGAGGAGCAACGTATTCGGGTTTGAAGGCTTGCACCATTTCTTCCGGCATGATGCTGCGGGTCATGTTCGTGCCAGCATTGGGGGCGATAGTATTAACAAAGATATTGTTTTTGGCTCCTTCGCGGGCAAGGGCACGGGAGAAGCCGAGAATGCCCAGTTTCTAGGGTACACGTCAGCTGAGTTTAAGATGTGTCGAAAGGAAGCCCATACAGCAGCAGCATAGTTGGCCTGTCCAAAATTACCGTAAATGCCACTTGTGCTGGTGGTATTCACGATTCTCCCATATTTTTGCTTCAGCATGTATGGATATGCGGCTTTCGTGGTCTTGTATGTCCCACGTAGATGCACGGCAATAACCTCGTCCCATAGCTTATCGTCCATGTTGTGGAAAGCTTTGTCGCGTAGAATACCAGCATTATTGATAAGAATGTCAATCCTACCAAATGCGTCAATGGCAGCTTTTACGACAACATCGCCATCTTCGGCTGATGCTTTGTTGCCCACTGCTTTGCCGCCAAGCTTTTCTATCTCCTGCACAGTGGTGTCAGGATTGACAAGATCATTGACAACGACTGAAGCACCAAGTTTGGCGAAAAGAAGCGCATAAGACCGACCGAGTCTACATACGTTAGTAGTGTGCAGACAGTCGGAAGAAATCCACAACATACCCTCCACCTGCGCCTGTGATTAACGCCACCTTGCCTTTCAAATTAATATTCTCTCCTTTGTCATTGCTGCCCATCTTCATAGCTTCCTCAAGGAGTGTCATGAAATCGGCTGGCCCAGTTGGATATTCAGGTTGTGAGAAGTCGTTGACCTGGTCCCACTTCTTCAGAATTGCACCCGGCGTCAAAGTGTCATCCGTTTTAAGAAGAGCTCCTTTGGCGCGTTCCCACCTCAGCTTCGCTATGTGACCACCACCGACTTCGAAGATAGATCCTGTCTCTTGCTTGTTGGAATGGTGAACCAACACTGCGACGAGGGGTACGACCCAGTCAGGCTTCAAATTCTCGAGCAATTCCGGCGGCATGACTGTAGCCGTCATGCGACTCGCTGCAATAGGAGCAATGACATTGACCATAATATTGTATTTGTAGCCTTCCTTGGCCAGCGTCTCTGTGAAGCCAACCTGAGATAGCTTTGCAGCAGAGTAATTGCATTGACCAAAGCTACCGAACAGCCCTGCCGCTGAGGCAGTATTGATTATGCGTCCATACTTTTGTTTCCTAAAATGTGGCCACGCTGCACGAGCGCATTTATAAGCTCCCTTGACGTGGACTTTTATAATGAGGTCCCAGTCATCATCCTTCATATTCTTGAAGCTGACGTCTCGCAGGATGCCTGCATTGTTGAGCAGGATATCGATACGACCGAAGGCTTGTATGGCTGTGTCGATAATCCGCTCTCCATTCTCGACGCTGTCATAGTTAGAAACGGCCCTCCCTCCGGAAGCCTTGATTTCATTGACAACAACATCAGCGGCCTAGAAGTGCCTTGTCAGTATGGAAGTGGCATTGAAACAAATTGGGTGCCAGACCTTGGTCGAGTTGCCCTCCCCCTTGAAAGAACCCCCAAGATCGTTGACCACGACATTGGCTCCTCTTGAAGCAAAGAAGAGCGCATATGCCTTTCCAAGACCTCCTCCAGCTCCTGTCACCACGACAGTCTGATGGTCAAAGCGTAATTCTGCCATTGTCGCCTTCCCACATGAAGTTCCTTCGATTTGCGATCTTTGACGAAGCTTTCAGGATGTGGCTAATAAATACAAGAAAGTGAAGTTGCAATTCTAGAAGAGTTTACAGAGCGGTGAATGAGAAGGGAAGCACCTGTCACGAAAACGGGTGGACGAGTATACCGCTGCCCTCCCGAATGCAATGCTCGGACTCCAGGACTCGGCTGTACTGAGCCTCGGCAAATCTGGGGTAAGTTCTTGGCACCGATTCAAGTCACATGCCAGTGCTTGCTTGAGAGAAATTCCAAAGTGACATTATTTACGGAAAGTGCGTTTCTTCCTATCTGGGTTTAGAGTCTTGGCCTCTCTATCTTGAAGTCATAATAAGTTGACCGAAAATCTTTGAAAAACCCTTCTAATCATTTGTGTGTATTATGAATAGTTATATCATGACGCTGGATTTTCTATAGTTCATCGGAACGAGTTGTAGTTCTTTAGATGAATCTCGTCTCTCGTCAAAACCCCGCAGTAGTTACCGAACTCGGTTTAGATTATCAACTCTAGAACGTCCCTTTCCGCATCTCAAGTATTACTGTGTTTCAACTGCAAAGCAGCAACAAGTCCTGAGACCTCCATCGCAAAAATTCGGTCCGGGGCTAATGCAGTGATCAGTACAGGACTTCTCTCCGCTGGATAGTGGCGGAAATTGGGCACGAGGATGGCCGAAATAGTGGATGATAAGTCACAATTCTGCATCCCATTTATAATTGAGCGTCTTCAACTCCATCGTCTACGCAATGCCAACATTGAGAACGCACCACCTTTCTTTCTCGGCGTTAATGGAGTTCAAGGAGCTGGTAAGACTGTGCTGGTAAGGACCGAATGTGGTTTGGTTTTCATGGTTCCTCGAACAGCTCTTTGCCTCCTGTCCTACAATATTTTGATCTACTCATCCATAGCCTGTTCTTCGAGTTTTGCACGTGCTTCTGGAAACCACTGTTCGCATTACCCCTGACTGCTTTGGGCCAGGTGTCCATTATTCAACAGACTCTTGAACGTCCTCCCCACAATCTGCCCACTGTGGTCTTCTCCCTCGATGATTTATACCTCACCCATGCGGACCAAGTAGACTTAGCAAAAACACATCCTGACAACCCTCTACTTCAACATCGCGGTCAGCCATTAACTCATGACATCCCTCTGGCAAGTTCCGTCTTTTCTTCTCTACGTCAAAATGCTCCAACAAAAATTCCGCAGTACAACAAAGCTGCATTCGGCGGCCAGGGAGACCGTCTGTCTGAGGATCAGTGGCTGAAGGTCAATTTTGAAGGACAGAACACGGTGAAAATCGTGATATTTGAGGGTTGGTGTGTAGGTTTCCGTTCGCTGAGTGAGTGCGACCTCAAGCAGAAATGGGAACATGCTATGATGAGTCGTGAAGCAGGTGAATATATTGGAAGGCTTGGATTTAATACGCTAGGGAATGTTGCCAGCATCAACACCGCATTGAGGGCATACGAGCAGATCACCAAGTAAGCATCCTATGACAATCCCCAGAAGCCGTGATCTCTGATTGGCAAAAAGCAATCTGGACGCCTTAGTCCATATCGACGCGTTCGATCTGCAATACGTCTATAAATGGCGACTAGAACAGGAAGCTCGTCTCCGAGCCTTGAGAGGATCTGGTATGACAGATGAGGAAGTCAAGAATTTCGTCGATGGATGTGAGTGTAATGCTTACAGTTGTCCAGAACCTGGATGATGACTCAAAGTAGATTATCCAGCTTACGAGCTGTTCACTGATACTCTTCGTGCTGGTATTTTCGAAGGTGAGACAGGGCGGCAACTAAGACTCGTAGTTGGCGAAGACCGTAAAGTCATGGAAGTTATCAAAATATGATGTTGATTAAAACCATGCTAGAATATCATCTCAAGACGCGAGGCATCTATCTTGCATTGAGCTTTTGCAGACTCCAGCACAGCAATTGAACCGATCACTAAGAACATCATCGACTTGATATCTAGATTATGTAAAAAGGGAGCGATCCGTGGTGGTGATATTGCAAGCTCTGAGCTATATTCTTCTCTTTTACCGAGGCCTGACGAAAGATATCAATCCCAAGCAACCAATGGTCATCCTACTTGTCCGCCAAGTCTTTTGAATGTCTTGGGAGTTCAAGTTGGTGAGACCTCGTAATAGGGACTAGTTAGCTGTTACTAATTGGCGTTTATATCACTCCCACTACTACGGAGGACTGTAGCGCTAAATGTGCTAGGTTTGGGGCTTGGCACTGAACTGGAAAATCTTCAACCACTGACAGCATGGCATATTTTGAAAACGAGGGACGGGACATAGCCTGCAGACTTTGGGCTGATCACCAGACCATGCGAGTCGCCATCTATGTCAGAGGCTCACACCAACACACTGCAAGGCTTCTGGTCGTTATCGTGACTAACTGACAAGCTGGTACAAGGGGGTTTCCGCCATACAACCATGCCTTTCTCACATCACAGTCACTCCGGCCAATTTTGCCCTGGGCACGCTAGGAACACACTCGAGGAAATGGTGGAAGCTGCGGTTGCTCAGCGGATGGAAGTCTTCGCTCTCACTGAACACATGCCTCGACATGACGAAGATCGTTACCCTGAGGAGAGGGAAATGGGTCTGGTCTACGAGAAGTCACAGGTAAGCCACAAGACATATTTTCAAGAAGCCAATCGCCTCCGAGAAAAGTTCAAATTGAAGATTCAAATCGTGATAGGGTTTGAGAGTGAGTGGATACGGCCAGGTTCTCTAGACCTGATCAACATCTCTTTGCAAAACAATGATGTGGACTTCTTCGTTGGCTCAGTCCATCATGTACACACCAAACCGATTGATTTTGACCAAGCTGGTTATGATGCTGCCAAGGAAGTTGCCGGTGGCTCTGACCATCAACTCTTTGGGGATTATTTCGATGCTCAGTTTGCAATGCTGCAAGCCATTAAGCCACCTGTTGTCGGCCATTTCGATCTCATTCGACTCAAAAGCGGGGATCCTGAGAGGAGCTTCCGAGAATGGCAAGGGGTCTGGGGCCGAATCGTCAGGAACCTGCAGTTCATTGCCTCGTATGGTGGTCTGCTTGAAATCAATTTCGCCAGCTTGCGAAAGGGAATGACTGAGCCGTATCCCAAAGATGAAATTGCAAAGGTAACTATATCTGTCCAGGGCAACATCTATTGCTGATCGTGAAGCAGACATTCGAGATCATGGGAGGCAAATTCTGCCTGTCTGATGATAGCCATGGGGTAGAGCAGGTAGCATTGAACTACCACGAGTGCATTCCTTATCTGAAACGCAACCATATCAGTCGCGTTCACTTCCTGGAGTCCTTGTGTGAGAACTTGGCTGAGCCTATTGATTCACGATTCCCTTCCACGAAACTTCGGTCCCTCACCATCGGTGAGCTAAAAACGCTTCCTTTCTGGCATAGTCGAAACATGCCCTGCAGTCCCTCGGGCTTGGACAACAACTGACGTTCATTATCCACCACAACACTAAGATGGCAATCCATCCTACAAATACGGAGTACTTCTAGCAACAACAGCCACAATTGTCATCCTAAGCAGATGATTCGCACCGGGGGATTCCAGCGCCGTCCCTTTAAGTCTTCCCCAAAGGAGTGGCCTACGTGATCCAGAAGAAAGACGTGCAAGGACGCCAGATACTGCTTGCTTCAAAAGCTCGCCGGGCCGTCTATCCCCGAGTAGAGAAACACATGCAATTTCCAACCAATTGCCTCTTGTATTTACGAACTTAGTTGAGCGGTGTACCATACTACGCAGAATCTCATTGTCGTGTTGACCGTGTTTTCCTTCCTGGGGGTAGAAATGTTGAAACGCTAGGCGTTGTAGTTTGGAGCAGGATAACCAAGCGGGAGCTTAACTTACTGCCACACTTTAAAGGTTGCCCAGCTGAGCATGTTTTGGCTCCATCAGAAGCTCTATCTGGCCAGCGGGGTCAGAATACGGACTCCCTTCAGACTCTGCTGGACTTGGATCAGTGGCTGTGGCTGAGCACTCGGAGAATTAGGTCTTTTGCACGTTTTCTCCCACCACGCTTGTTTAGACTGGCTTCGATCTACTACGGAGAAAGCCATAAGTATTGTTAGGCTGGTGCTAGTAGCGGCTAGTTATTGTTACTTTATCAAAGTGCCATGATTTGATATTTCAAAGCTTGATTTAAGCACATTCATTCACATGAATTATAAAGTTACCCTTAATCTAGTATGAGCTCAGCTGTATTGTATCAAGGACGTTTTCGAGTAAAGATACTAGCGCTGAACTAACAATGTTTCCTGCCCCTCCCGTAGTAGGGAGTTTGTTTTGGGATGGAGCGAATATCGACCGGGCAAGCTTGGAGGTCCTCCCACACCTTATAGTAGGATGAAACGACGGACAACGCCAATGGTATCGAATGCTATCGCTGCCTTGTCAAACTCTCTTGCTCGGTACTGCTCTTCGTTCAAACCGTTGAGTGAGTTCGTCTAAGTTGGGATGACCCATCCATCCAATGTCAATTTCTCCCCTGTTCCAGGGTCAGGAGTGTGGCGTCCTGGGTCATCTGCTTTCCATGGTATTTGGAGCATGGTGGGTGGAGGTATCTGGACAGGTATGGAGTGCTCTTGCTACAAATAGAGGTCGAGTCCGCTTCCAGGGTCTCTCGAGCACACTGTATCAAAATTCTCTCAGTCCATTTCACCTGACACCAAAGTTTTTCTAAAATCTGATCCTTCAATTTTGCTTGACAACCCCTTCCCAATATGTCCGAAACACTACAGAAAGAAGTCATCAGCCCGGGAAATGGCATAGACAAACCCAAGGCCGGTGACGTAGTGACTATGGATTATACAGGCTGGTTATATGAAAAGAACCAGCCAGAGAACCGAGGCAAACTGTACGGGCAAGGCGCCGTTTGCTGCATTCGAAATTGACAACTTCCTTAGCTTTGATTCCTCCCAAGAGCGTGGAGAGTTCAATACCAAGATCGGCGTTAAGAAGGTCATTCAGGGCACGTATTTCCATCTTCCCTGATCGTGGCGGAAATTGCTTAGCAATATAGGGTGGGATGAAGGAGTTCTCGACATGACCTTAGGCGAGAAAGCGGTGTTGACCATTCCTGGGTGAGCCTCTTCTTATCACCTTTGAGTCTCAGTCTTGCTCTATTATGGCTGCCATGTTTTTATCCTTTTCCTTTTCTCGACGGTCGATGCCTGGAAGCTCAAACAACAGCGTTCCCGAAGTATTTTCGATTGGTTCGGGTCAGAATTACTGAAGGCTAACGTTAATTTTTTCAGCGACATGGCCTATGGTGCTAGGTAAGCGGGGAGTTGTGTACCTCTTGGCCCCAACGCTCTATTTAAGTATGGCAGCTTGGCTTGGCTGCATTTTTGTGTAACCCGATATCACGCTTGATCGAAGACGGCCTCCTGCAAAATGCTCTGTACCGAGATCGGAGAATTTGCATAAGCTGACCTCACTTCCTCTGCAGAGGCTTTCCTGGGCTTATTCCTCCCCATGCAAAATTGATATTGTAAGTCTATAACTTGCATAGGTGTTTTGCCCACGACGATCTATTAAATGCTGTTGGTAAGAGCGGATGGCTAACCTTGTCAACAGCGAGGTGGAGCTCAAAGCGATCAACGGCAAAAGGGCCTGAGCAGGACATATTCCCAACTCGTGCTAAAGGGAGATAGATTTATGCTTATCAGCAATGAGAGGTGCTGCGCGGAGATGCGTTGAAGGATGAACAAAGCAACTGTGTTCTATAACCATTTACACCGCTTCTATAACCATTTACACCGCCTCTATAACCTTTTACACCGCTTCTTACATGGCCAACAAGCAAAATCTTTCTATGATATGTGTCGCGGGTTTTTTTCGTTTCATGTGCCTCGCGACCTTCATCACAATTGTCACCCGCGCTTCCCAGGTGCAAGACTTGTTTAGCTCGATCCAATTCCCAGAGCAAAGTCCCTTGCATGAAAACGGGAGCAACGGTTCTGCATCCAGTTCATCCTTGTGCATTCGATTAGGCCAAAATTGATCAGTTTGCCTGGCCAATGGCCTACCCAGCAGCGAGTAGTGGGGTCGTCCCGCAAACCTGGAAACAGGCACAGGACTCCAACCGCGTCAGTTTCGAGCTTGGACGCAGCTCTGCCCTCCTGGTCATGGCTCGGCAATGGTGTTCATATGGAGGGCGAAGGCGTGCTCACCCATGTTAACTATCCAGCATGTCTTCACCGCGCTTCAATTCCTTACCACCCCTTCCGCCATAATGCTGGCTGTTGGCATGCTCATCTAGGTTCACGAAACGAGCATGGAAGCCTCAATCATTCCTCAGCACACATGGTTCTCGAGCTAATAGTTCTCATGCTCGCTTATCTTCTAACGTTTGTCTTTAGTCGGTTCACGGACATCGCAGCCGAGCAACCTGTTGCTGATATTTGCTCAAGTTCTCATCTTCCTGAGTACATGCCTCCTTCTGTCTCCTCCGTTCTCCACTTGCATCGACTCTACCACTGCATGTCCATAGGGTTTAGCTTGGCTCGTTCCATGTGACCGTATGCGGCTTAGTAAGTTCACTTTGGACTTCAAGATCTTGATTCTCGCTCGCCATGGCCCTACCCATGTCTAGTTTCTCATCCTTCTTGAAGCCATGACTGTTTTGAGCCTTTCGATCCTCATTTCTCCACACTCTATCGCTCTGGCTTAACCACTCATTAGGTCGGTAATGGTCTTCCTCTTTGATTCCCTTCCTTGCTCACGCGATTCTAGCAGAGTCATCGGCGTTAGAGGATTTCACGTTGAAATCGAAAGACTCGGATGAACATGGGTGTCTGAACCAGCATCCCATTCGCCTTTTCCACCAGCGGACATTGATCCTGCTGGAAAAAGACCCGAGGATTCTTCAAAGCCCAATCGCCCTGGCTTTCCGCAAGAGTGGTCCATCCATACCTACTCTCAATCACACGATCATCTAGATGAAAACTCAAAGTGACTCGCTAAGGGGCCGGTCCTTCAACCAGTTATCAGCACTCCGAGGATCCCTAGCTCTCATACTTCCTTGCCCCTCGCTCTGCCTTACCTCTTCAATATCTCTCTACTCCTTTCCTACCCCTGATTTTGATCCCTTCCCTCTACGCGCTACCCTGGTATCCTTCTTTCGCGCCGTCCACCCTCTACCAAAGACCGACACGATGGTTACGAATATGTGCGTAGGAGGCAAAGGCAGGAAAGGGGGGAGGGAGGGGGAGGGGCAAAAGATCGTCTTCTTAGCGCTTACTCTTTGACCGGTATACCAGGTAGTGGTCTTGTTTCCTGAGGCCATATCAAGGTTTCAATGAAAATTCCCGGTTTGTAGACGACTTTATTCACAAGTGCGGTATATAGATCATTTGGAGTTACTCATCCATTCCTAGTCGTATACGATGTTTCAGTTCGCGTCTAGCACGTCTGACCAGGGATCGCAAGATTACTGGGTGTGCATGCGATGCATGCCTGCTGTGAGATCCGGAGGGAGCGTCAGTGGATGGAGGCTATCTCTTTCAGGCTGGAGACAGGCAATTAGAGGGTTGATAATCGACTTGCGTCGTTGAAGAAAATTGATATCATTCTCGTATAGGCTTGGTTTTTCACTTTAAATGTTGGATACTCTATCTAGGAGTCACCTCGAAAGGTGAATCGCATGTTGTTTCATCTATTCGTTCCAACCTTAGCACTATTTTGATATCCTGATACCAGGCGCCACCGATTCAAAGAGAAATCAGCTGTCTTTGGAAGGATGCGGCCTGAGATAGCTATGTAGCCTACACCTCCTTTTTCATATCTCGGCCAGATGTCTACGTCTTCTCTGTGGATGGAGAAAGCGTTTACCTTTAGGGCCGCTGAAGAATCGACAGTTGAGATGCCACTTTCCAGAACTGTTCCAGATAAAGACACGCCTTAGGTAGGTGGGGCTTTCTGAGCCTTGCCGAAGCGGACCCCTTTTCAGAATGACCACCCAATGTCGCCGCTACTGGCAAGGTCCATTTGCAGTTTGGTAGAGGCCCTGCTTATATGACCCGGCGGACCTCCTCGGCCGTCAAAGCTTGCTCTTTGATATGGAGAATCGGTCATGTCCTTCCGTGACGCCTAAACTCTGCTCTTTTGTCACGAAGAGGAGTTTTTAGATATCTTATGTTCACTCTGTGCTTACTTGTCCCCACCTCCAGCGAGAGCAAGTACAGCCACAAGTGCAAACGCCCACCAATACTTCTGGAAGAACGTTTTCTCCGCCTCCGGTTCCTGCGGTACTTCCTTCCCGTCAGCGCCAACCACCACAGGCTTTCGTACGTTGAGTTTCGGCGTAGGACCAGGCTGTGGCCGGACAACCACAACTTTCAGAGTCGTTTTTGGGTCCTGTGGGGTAGGTCGAGATGGAACGAGAGGCTCGGCTGAAATAGATGCAGCGAGGACTAAGTCGTCGTCTCTGAGATGGAGGGTAAGTGTTTGCGTGTATGTAGGACTGAATGTAGAGAGGCTGGTAACGGTTGTTGAGCCATCAGGTGTGTTTGTAGAGATACGGAAGAGAGGGTGCGATGTCCCGCGCTCCGTTGTGGTGTCACTAGTAGCTGGGGGTGAATAGGATAATACGGTGCTTTCGAGGTTCGATACGTTGTACTTTACAGAAGCGAGAAGAGAACTTTTGTCATCTGGGAGAGATCTCATAGGCTGATAGAAGATGTCCACGGACTGGAGCTGAGGAAGGATGGTAGTTTCGGCACGAACATCCTGAAGCATTAATGCAGCAGCAGCGAGCAGCGAGACCCTCATCGTAAGCCGAGTAAGATGTGGAAGGTTAAGTATGTGAATTTAGCTGCAAGACATTGGCAGAAGGTTGAGCAGATCGCTGGTGGACATCAGATTAAGCAGGGTCAAGGTGCTGGAAAGCTTGCCGAATCATGGCCAAAGACGAAGAGACGGACCATGCTCAGACTACCCACTACGACACTTTCATTATTACTGTCAACTTTGTGAGCTTCTCCTTAGAGCCTCCCAACCAGACACGCACTCAATGGAAAATGAATTATCTAATAGCATCAATTTTCGTGCTGGACCAAAGGAGGAAAGAGATTGCTTTTACCAGTCAAGACCATCCATTGTCCACAGGAGTGATGGTCTCAACTCCCCTTAAGTTACCATTGCGGAGGAGCTGAGTTTATTTGCTCTTGCTAAGAATATATCACGGCACAGCCATCAATGATCTTCCAACACCTTTCCATGCATGTCATGGGAGTGCAAACGCTCCCAGCATTCCTCAACAAAAAGGCTGAAAAGCGGGTTCACCAGCGATAGAGGCCGGAGCATTTTGATTCAGATATCCATATCGATATACAAAGGCTACCAACACATGTAGTGATACCTTTCCATGCGAGCCGTTGTTTTATAGCCGGTTACCTTTGAATACTATCTCCACTATGAGATGCGTTCTGTCGTAGCAGATTACTCAAAACATTGACCCTACCTGATTTGGAGGTGTTACGGAGTCATGGAATTGGGAGAAGCCAATCAATATAGCACATACGACCTTCGAGAGCACGTAGTATGGTTGTTACATCACGAACCTCAACACTCCTGAGACCACAGATTGATTACTAAAGCTTGATCAGGCTTGCTATGGATTGCCCACGAGGTGGGCTCCGAGATATAGAAGAACCATTGATATTGTGAGTAAGCGTCGAAAAGCAAAGCCAAGAGACATCCAAGCCTCACGTCTTCGTCTTGTGCTTGTGCTTCCGAGAAGAGAAAGGCGGACTGGAGGACTCCAGAAGCATCTCTAGACTTTTCTGAGGCATAAGAATTACATGGAACGACTAACAGGTAGTGGATAAACCTTCTTGTAGAGAGGAATATGAAATAGTAGGTGGCTCAATCTTTCAGAGCATACCACATACCACATAGCGCGAGTTCGACGAGCGGGTGCCAGCGAGTGAGACACTGGTTTGACGAACGAGGGCTTCAACCATTGGGACGCAGTGATGAAACATCATAGCTAGCACTCTGAACAAGGTCCACATTATTGTGTCCCTACGCTTGGAAAGGAACATATTCAAAGATGGGCTGTTCGAGATCTGGGGCCACTTTGAACGAGATAATGCTTTGGCTGGGATGCCAACAGTAGCATCTCATGGTAATTGTTACATAGCGCCAGGGATTTTAGTGAACAAGTCGCACTGCAAGTACGAGTGTGTCATGTGGTAGGTCTCTAGAAATGTAAACGACTCAAATGCCACATGCGGCTGAAGGCATCTTTGAAGTTGAGAGAGCTTTAGACAAGAACACGAGGTAGGGCTGAAAAGTTGCTCATTGATGACATGCAGAAAGGGCAGGTGGATCTGATGAACTTGAGAAGGATGAGCGTTGCAGAATCACAATTAGCGAAGAAATACGTTTCGTAAGAGAAACAACAATGATCAGCAAATATCTCGATCTATGGAGTGGATTCACCTTCAATGCGGCACAGTTGGCATGACAAGTAATGGCACGAGGCAACGATCAGTTGTTGGTCTCGCAAGGTGGGCTGCGTGTCTCAGGTAGGACGTATCACACGGCTGCGCCTACTACTCCTCTCAGTATTCCTCGAGACTTGGTAGAAATGCTTGTGTATTTGGGACCCCAACTGCAACCACTTCAAGTCTGAGTGAAAGGTGAGATTATTGTATGAACCACAGCGATCAGTAATTGAGGCTGATCAGGACAACATACCCTATCGAGCTTGCCACACCAGCCGGGTATGAGGCAGGTGAAATGAGTTCATGTCTGAGTGCTACAGATTGTGACTGTTTGCTTAAGAAGGCGGAATGGACCGGGAGTCCACTGCTCAGATCTCGACAGCCTTGAACTCGGGCCGGAGGGCCAACATTGGTTGCAATCGTCCACCCCCGGGGGGGCCGATAGGTACAGTCCCATCGCTCATGGAAATTGACGAAATGCACACCGAGCAAATGGTTGCCATTCAATTGGTCAGGCCGGCTTGATTCTGCAATGCAATGATAGGGATATATGCAGTACTCCAGCTCAACCAGAATGCGAGGATTTGAGGAGACTGTTCTGATTAATTCATACCACTGGCCAGTGATGGATAACATGGTTGGCGTTCAACGCCATGCGGGGCAGTGAACAAATCGATTCTAGCGCATCAGCCAAATTGGGCAGAACGTGGTACGAGTAGCCTCGTAGGATCCAGGAACAAGCTTGGTGCAAATAGTCAGGTTTGAGCCCAAGATAAAAACAGAAACACTGTTCATTCTCGGTTCTTGCAAGATACGAGTATCACATCCTGCGAAAATGATCATGTGGTGCGGGCAAACGAAGTTTGACAGACAAAATCAGATATGCTGTAGTTATAGTATGAGCATGGAGCGCAAGGTGAACACTGATCGACACTCGCGTGGAAAATGCTGAAACAGACGGTGGCCCCTGAGTTCGAGAAGAATGGAACAACAGTAGGGAAATTTCATTCAGGGATTCCGACTCTGCAGTGGGTCCGTGAAGACTTTCCGTCTCGGCCGAAACCAGCTTGTATTTGATGATACCTGTATTCGTACTGCAGGATGCCATCTGGCAAGGGACAATGGTGCCGCTCACCCTGGTTAATTAATACTATTACTAGTAGCTTGCGTCTGTAACAGCACGCATGGTACTATGTGGAAAGGTGGTGTAACTATTGAAATCATTACTCTTCCCATCGCAACTCACGGATAAATACAGTCCATACATGGGCCCCCATCTGTGTCCATCCGTTCTTGGTGTCTAAGCCTCCCACAGTGAACTCGAATTGGTCGGCTTGCGCCAAACTGTGACACACAATCGTCGGAGGCTTTGTTCGTATGAGAGGGCCGGTGCTCCCGTCCCACAGTAATGATGAGGGCGAGTCAGTCCTGCTCTGTGTAATACTAACCTGAATCTGTATTTCCACTGATGATCGTCCACGGAATTGTGAATGATCCCGGTGTTTGTTCCATTGTATATGTGCACTCAACGCTGCAATATCAGTGCTTTTGAAGGTATCACAGGGTTGCATGCTGACAACATAATTCATACATGTACATTAGTAGTTGCAACACTTAAATCCTTCAATAATCCCAAATTCACATTTCAATCGGAACGGGAGACCCTGTTCAAGGATTTTCCTACTAGTGGAGATTAACCGCCATGGGACTCTGCTTGGTACGCATTAGCCTCCCCACTTGAGGTCTAGTTGATACCGAATTGTGGCCTGGGTCCAAGGCTGGTAACATTGGTATCAAAGGGGACCCTGCCTGGTATCATCGGAACGCCAACCTAAGCTAATCAACGGGACATGGCAGGGGAAAAGCCTTACCCCCCGAAAGAAGCCCCAGAATTGTTCGGGCGGTACCTGTCCACCCGTATGCTTCCCATCCCAAGCCTCGAACCTCATCACCTCCCTCCCGCATCTTCTTCTCCTTCTCAGCACCGCCAACCATCCTCGAGCGCTTATGCTCTTACTTCGTCGTCCTGGTCGTCCTCTCTACGTCAACGGCCGATAATCCTACGACCGACGATATTGCTTCTGCCGCAGTGGTCCAACGAAAATACCATACTTGCCTCATTTTACAGCGCTCGCGCTGTTATCCATTCATTTTTGGACATCATCGTCTTTTCGCGAAAGCAATTACGCTCTTTATTTGGTCTGCATCGCCAATTACCACACATACACTTCGCGCTGCTTCTGTTGAGAACACTTGATTTACCCCTTGCTTCCGACCTCGACCCTGAGTCCTTGTGCCTGCAGGCCATCAACCAGTCTTGCTTCTGAAGGACGATCTAGCAACTATTTTTCGTGCGTTCTTTGTACGAACTCAGGACGAACTGAGCACTTCCTTTGTTCTGGGCACATGATACGGTTCGAGAAATAGAGTGGATTGAAATAGACCTGTGATAACATCAATGAAATCTGGAAATCAGCAACAAAGGGCACCTCTTCGAAACGGGATCTAGACCACCTCTGCCGCTGTGTGGAGAAACAAGGAGCCGGAAAAGCCAACGAGGAACGACACGAAGTCTTGTCCTTCTGTAACTGTGCATTTCGATATACCATCCATTGATCCATTCGAAAGCATTTGAAGCACATTTCAGAGCCAAAGCGCTTGCGCTGTGTACTCGTTGCTGGGATTTCTGATCCCTTTCCGCTCTTTTAGACGACTCTCTGTATCGACATCTCAAATCCTTTGCTGAACTTAGCCACCACGCTCGTTTCAAAATTTCATTCTCAAGGTCTGTCTATTGTACTATGTGCCTTGTATAAGAGATCGTGCTAATCTTTACAGCTTGATTTGTTACAGATAATAGCCCGGCTCTTTCCACCTATACAACATGCGTTCCTCAATTCTAGCCATTTTGTCCGCCCTGGCGGCTCTCACTGTTGCTCAGGCGGCACCAGCTGCACCAACGCTGCATTCACGACCGAAGTATTACTTTCCTCAGGAAGTTAAGAGGCAAATCGATAACTCCCCCGACACTACAAGAGTAGATCCGCCATCAACGGAGACGTTGCCAACGACCCCTGAGACACAGAATCAATTGACCTCGAATGTGCTCACTTCGAGACAAGAATCCCCTGTTGGGGTGTCAGATCCTAACCCGGTATCATCCGGCATCGCTTCAAATACAGAGACAGCTGTGGTAATCGTGCCTGTAACGGTGGTGTTAGACTCGTCAGGTTCGGTCATTGGGTCTCCCATCACTGGCACTCCAGCTCCTTCACCGGCCTCTACACCAGCCCCTGCGTCCATCTCATCAGCTACCCCCGTTCCACAAGAACCCAGTACTCCTGCAGTGTCCTCGAGCCCTGTATCGCCACCCGTTGACATACCAGAGTTTGTTCCAGCTTTTTCGCCGGTATCTTTTTCGGCTCCTATCGCGCCAAGCCTTACCACACCGGTCCCATCAGTGCCGAGCTCTGCACCCGTTGTCATTGCCGAGACTGTAGAGAGCTTCACGCCTGTTTCTTCAGCCGCCTTCGTGGCATCATCTCCAGCTAGTGCGGAACCTTCAACTCCATCGGAAGTTTTGTCAAGTTCAGTCCCATCGGAACCTGTTCTAACATATCCAGCCGCTGCTAACGCAGAGACTTCGAGCCCAGCTGTCGCGAGCACAATCATACCAGAGCCTGCTTCTTCGAGTCCAGCTTCTGTGATACCAGCTGACTCTATCCCATCTAGTCCGGACCCAGCTCCGTCCAACCTAGTGTCTAGTGCAACAACTCCTGACTTGTCGCCGTCAGAACCAGTCTCATCAAGTCCAGCAGCTTTCAGTCCATTGAGCCCACCTGCGTCTACTCCACCCGCGTCAGAAGTGACTTTGCCGAGTTCAGCAGCAGCAGCGCCCTCTTCAGCAGAAATACCCCAATATACTTCAGAAGTAGTCTTACCGAGCCCAGCAGCTTCCACTATCTCCTCAGACGAGGTGGATACCTCATATCCGGCAGCAGTTCCTTCTAGCCCAGCAGCTTCCACTATCTCCTCAAACGAGGGGGATCCCTCAAATCCGCCAGCACTTCCTTCTAGCCCAGCAGCTTCTCCAGGAGAAGTGCTTCCATCAGATTCCGAAGCATTGACTTCCCTAACGTCGAGGGCGGGGCCATTGACTTCTGCAGCTGAGACTTCTGGCTCGTTAGAAGCGGTCCCGTTTAGTCTCCCAAGTTCAATTTCTGGCCCGTCAGAACCACTTCCATCCAATTCAGCTGCTTCTGCTTTCCCTTCAGCAGAAGTCATTCCTTCAATCCCTGTAGCATCTACTCCTACCACCTTAGCAGAGGGATTATCCAGTTTGACAGCTCCTACTGCGCCCGGATCAGAATTGGCCTCGTCAAATCCAGCGTCTTCAACTCCTGCATCGGAAGCATTACCACCAACTTTGGCATCTTCAACTCCTGCATCAGAAGAAGTACCACCAACTCTGGCATCATCTACTCCTGCGTCAGAAGAAGTACCACCAACTCTGGCATCATCTACTCCTGCATCAGAAGCAGTACCACCAATTTTGGCTTCTTCATCGGAAGTAGTCTCATCAGTTTTAGCATCTTTCACTCCTGTATCAGATCCGATTACGTCGATTTCAGGACCGTTGACTCTGAGCGACTCGATTACCGATGTCGTGGGAATAACTGTACCAAGTTCATTAATTTCTCCTCCACCAGCATCAAGCTCAACACCGTCAACTCCTTCTGCACAGGCTTATTCAATAAGCGCACCATCATCAGCCGATAGTGTTGCCTCTTCCGCTAATCCTATAAGTTTGCCTGTGGAGACGCGAACAGCTGGAAGCGAATCACCCTCAGTAACCAATTCAGTCACAGCGATACCTTCGGATTCGGTCCCAGTGGTCATAGCTACATCAGCAATTGTCACCCCTTCGGGTCAAAGTTCACCAATTGTGGTGCCTACCTCAGTGCTCGTTACACCTTCGGCAGATTCCCCATCCGTGGACTCAGCGGCATCAACAACGATCGCCCCTACAGTGGAACCTTCATCTACTGTTGTGCCTACTTCAGCGAACGTATCACCCTCGGTTGAGTCTCCACCAACAATTCTAGCAACCTCCACTACTATCACGCCGTCTGGTGAGACTCCGCCAGTAACGGTACCCACTTCGGTGACAGACGTGCCTTCTGGCTCGTCCTCGTTGGAGATTGCGGCTACTTCAGTCAATGTCATACCCTCCGGTGAGATCTCGTCAGTTGAGGTAGCTACCTCTGTGCCGGCTCCAATTTCTGTTACGTCATCGTCCATTCTGGTAGCCTCATCAGCGACCACTACCCTACCTGGCGAGATCTCTGGATTGGGAGTGCCTACGTCTGTGACCATTGAGACTGCCTCCGTGTCATCATCAATTGTGGTAGCCACATCCGTCACCACCACACCATCCGGGGAGACATCAGGGGTGACCGTGCCTACGCCTGTGACCAGTGAGATCTCTGGAGTGGCAGTGCCTACTTCTGTGCCAGTCGAGACCTCCGTGGCATCGTCAAGTATAGAGATCTCAACTTCAGGCTTGCCTACACCTAGCCCATCCACGGACGCGAGCCTTGTAGCAACAACCTTATCCTCACCTGTTATCGGTGCCTCCTCCTCACTTCCAGTTTTGAGTACATCAGCTAGTAGTGGAACTGAACCAACAATTCCTCCTTCGAGCGGTACGCCTACCACTGATTCATTTGGTTCGGTCCTTTACCCCAGCGACAGCGTTACGTCATCGCCCCCAGCATTCTCCTCTGTTGTCGTTACAACTACAGATACGTCTGGTTCCACGATATTGTCAACCAGCATCATAGATTTGAGCAGTGCTAGCCCAACGTCACTGGACACTGTTTCGAATGTGCCTCAAGTGACTTCGGAAACCGGCTCGACAGTTATCTCGATCTTGGAGTCTCCAATTCCGAGCTCAAGCACTGGTGTGGTAATCCCCATTATTCCCACTGGCGAAAGTTCGGAGACAAGCGGCGACCTGCCAACTCCCAGCGCGTCGACTGGCTCCCTCCCGGAATCATCTACAGGTCTTCTGCCCCCGGTCGTCATACCTCTTTTCACCTCGACAGACTCTTCTGCTTTATCTAGTTTGACCGAGGCCGCCACACCGCTGGTTACTACGTCGGGTATCATTGTAGGTATTGACACTATCTTTGGAACCACAACAAGCAGCGCCGATATCCCTGTCTTGACGACCAGTGGATCTTCTACAGATGCTACAACTCCCGTGGTAGTTTCTACCGATCTGTCCAGTGCCGTTCCTCCTTCGTTACTCGGGACTGGACAAAGTTCTCTCCCATCTGATTCGGCTGTGTCGTCGCTGCTTCCTTCTGATCTGCCGACACCCATCTCGCCGACTGCTTCAGACGTCACATCTCAGCTATCTCCTGCTGTAACCTCGCCCGTTCCGACTTCTGTCGTTCCGGTGACAGAGACTGCAAATCTATCGTCAGTGGTCCCAGTCACGTCTGACTCAGGAGTTATACCAGTGATACCTATCACAAGTGGTAGTGACTCCGCATCAGTCTCAGTAAGTTCCGGGACGCTGTCTCCTGCTGGTCCTGCAACATCAGGCTCAGCCTCGGATATCACCATCGTAACTTCTGAAGTAGCATCTGGGTTCGCTCCCGCCACAGACTCTGCGACATTGGGAACAGCGACGGAGAGTGGGGTTCAACCTTCGGCGACGGTGTCCGGAAGTACGGCTACTACCATTTCCGCCACCTCAGGTGCGATTGCTGGCACCGAGTCTGCGACAGCAGCTGCCACTGCAACAGATGTCGTCACCTCCCCTGGGACTGTTTCCGATTCTGCGACAGCGACTGCAACTGCCACAGGTGTCGTCACCTCCCCTGGGACTGTTTCTGTTTCTGCGACTGCAACTGCAACTGCAACAGATGTCGTCACCTCCCCTGGGACTGTTTCCGATTCTGCGACAGCGACTGCAACTGCCACAGGTGTCGTCACCTCCCCTGGGACTGTTTCTGTTTCTGCGACTGCAACTGCAACTGCAACAGATGTCGTCACCTCCCCTGGGACTATTTCCGAATCTGGGATCGCGGCAACGGGCTCTGGGTCTGCCATCACGACAGCTACGGAGCTCACTGCTGCTGGTTTTACCTCTCCAGTCATTGTAACAGAGACACCGGCTACCGGGGTACCCACGAGCACTGCGCCACAGAGCATTAGCCCAACAGGCACTGACAGCGCAACTTCCCTGACAGTGGCACCGACCATCGTTGTTGCTCCTTCGCCTCCAACGTCTGTGGTTCCGTCGAGTGCAACAGGCACAGTACTCTCGTCGTCTCTGCCCAAAGTTATTGCACCACCGGGTGGTGTTCCTGCGCAGCCTCAGAACACTACCTTGATCCAGCTTGGTTTCACTTACGGCCTCAACTATCAGTTTGTCGTTGGCTCGAGCACCGCAGTCACCCAGATCTTCTCGTACCTCCCGCAAGGTGTCTCTCATGGTCTCGGCGTCCCGGAAGACGCCGTTGTGATGCAGTATCTCCAACCATACAATACTCTGGGCTCTCTGGGCTACGTCACTACACTCGCGATGGCATATATCCCCTCTGACATGGTTTCTCCGTTGCAACTCAGCTTAATGAATCCCAACTCGGCCATATACAACAATCCCACGCCTTCGGTGCAAACGCTTATGGGCATGATTGATCCTTCTATCCCGGTCCTTGGCGGCCAAACTCTCAGCGGTGGCTTGCCCATCAATGGAGATGGCGTCAGCAATCCCGAGGATGACGGGAATGGGCAAGGCGCACCAATCGGCTCAGACGAAGACTCATCTGCCCCGGTGCGCCCGTCTTCAGTTGGCATTGGTGTTGGGGTGGTTGCTGGTGCGGCTGTCTACGGTGCAGCCATGTTCCTTGTTGCAAGACGGTACAAGAAGAGAAGGTCTCTGCACCAACGGTCGAGCAGCATGCTCGATTCTGGCGAACCCCGATTCGTGGGTGAAGGCTCTGCGCTCATGGCCGGTGGGCGACAAGCGGCTGGCTATGGTGGCTGGAGAAGCGCAACACCACCTGGCGGACAAGGAAGAGATTCTCGAAACAGCGGAAGAACAGGAGGGAGCGGCAGGACATATATCAGCCCGCCAGTGATGGCGGAGAACAGCTTGGGCTGGAATTAATGGGTTTGAGCTACCACGGAGGTTTACCCATGTACACAACGAATTTCTTGCCATTTCTCTTCATCTTCATTCGGAAGACATATTTTGGGGACGATGATTTCTTGGGCGGATTGCATGATTGGGATAGTAGCTACTCGAGCTTCGCAGGGCCATTTCTGAGCTATCTGCTACATACTAGGGGGCGTTTTATATTCCTATGTTGGTCGAAATGAGACGAAAGAGCGACAGCTGACTTGTACAAAAAAGATACCATTCGTCGTTTCAATCTCGCTTCTTCCATATTTCCATATGCATATGCCTGTAGATACTTCCGTGATGCATAGCATGCGGCAATCTTCCTCTATCCGCCACTGACAATGTGCTTCCCGTATGGAACAACACCAACCAGCAAGCGTCGGTACTTACAGACCATCTCGCCTGTTCCTATCCCTTCCTTGCTTGCTGGCCGGGCGACTTCCTGCCAGTCAGTATAAGTGACGGGCAACATTATCGTAAGGACATAGATAGAGGCTGTCCATGCCGGAACCATGGCGGACTCCTCCCGGACTGGGGACAAGATATAAGCTCGAAGCTGTGGTTGCGCGAAGGGGGAATGACTGTTCGTGACGATTCCCAAGCATCATCCTCCCCTGTTGAAAATGGCTGCACAAACAGAGTGGCCATTCAGAGTGCCTCACAGCCTCCCGTCCGGTTCACCCTTCCATCTCTCCACTCTCTTCTGCTCCCAGTTATCCAGGTCCTTTGCCATCAGTTTCTGCGCGAACACATCAGCCCTCGGCCACACATGACTACTACAACGTTGTGATCCAGTAGGCCATCAAGGCGACTCACATAATACTCGTCCCTCTCACTCGTGGCGCCTTTTGTCAATATCCTCCGCCTGGGATTATACGTCACACCGGTCGCACCCACCGGCTCGCCAAACGCGCCAGCACCGGTTTTGTTGAAGCCCAGATTCAGTGCCTCGTGTGTGCTCACCTCTCTGTTCTTCCGGTCGTGGTTCTCGAAGCGGAGCGCGGTGGCGGGGGTGAGGAGGAAGGACGACAGGACCATGAGAGAGATGAAGGGGAGGCCGAAGAGGAGGAAAGGGTGGGAGGCGAGCTTGCGACGGTAGAGGATTCCGATGCGCGCGCTGAAGGGGAGGGCGGCACTGTTGCCCGAGGGCCGGAACGGGTTGGAGGGAAAGGTGGGCATCGTACTATACCGGAGCTTCGATGAGGAGGGCAGTCCGCTGGAGGAGGCTTGATGGTGGATTGGATGTGAATTTCTGGCTTCAAGGCTGTAACATTCAGCTAGGGATTTGAGCGTCAAGAGTCACATGAGGAAGAATCTAGATGTCCTGTATGTAAGATGGAGTATCTTGACTGTTGACTTCATCTACCATAGTACAGTATGTATTGTGTATGTACTACATATGTACGTACTCCGCCGGCTCAACCGCGGACAGCGTTTGGAAAGCAAAGTGGTCTGTTACGGCGGACTATTATTGGGTTAACGACACATCAAAATTTGAACTCCGCATCAACTCCGCACCAACTCCGTACCAACTTCGTAGCAACTCTGCTGTTACGGCGCAACCCTGCCAATAGCCGAAAGAGGAGTTAGGGCAGGGCATGCATTGTTTGGCGCGCACAGCCAGCTTCTAGATTAACGCTATGCCGCATTTGGCACTAGGGCAGAAGGGCTTGGCACGCCACACGCACAGCGCGTATATCCTTCTGCCTCTCCATAGCTTCCAGGGAGGACAACCAACTCTTCTATACCACACAGTCATACAATAGCCCATCTGCAGTTATTTCGTGACTCTCCTGCTTCTATAGCACCCTATCCTCATTACGTCAAGTATCCCGCGTAATATCTGCAGCAATAAAGAATTATTGAACTTAAAAATATAGTTTGGCCCCATCTTGACAAACCGCACCAGTGTTTTGTTACAGAGTTTGTTACATGTTTAGCCTCAGCCATATTGTATTTTTGGTATGCACGTTTCGCGCTATTTCGCTTGAATTGGTCTTAATATAGCAACTTTATATGTATAAGTACGCTCTCCTTGCGCGCTTAATTAGATAGAACGACTTGCTGTTTACACACAATCCATTGATTACTCAGCACAGTTCGACAAGAATCTTTAGAGTACAGTCAAAAAAGTAAATATAATTCGTACGGAGGTTACAATTCATTATAACTAAGGTCATATTTCGAAAACGGCAGACATACAGCTCGAAAACAGGAAACGGAAGTTCAATGAGGTTAGGGAACAGGTTGAGAAGGCCTCTGACTTCATACGAAACAGGAAATAGAAGCTTGATGAGGCCGGGGAACAGGCAACAACTTGTTCAGCGAACTCGGCCGCTGAAGAGACACCTATTCGTGAATCAGCATGGATATCCTAAAACCACTCAATCTCAGATATGATGAACCCTATGAGTTTCGCCATAATACACCGTGCCGATTTTAAACGTCTACTTTAGTTACGTGCCTATCTGCTCGCTTCATTAAAGACCTGACAACGCTAATTGGAAGTTTGCAAGCAAGCATATATAGTACATCTTTATAGTCTACGCTGGTATCTACCCTGTCTTCATAGTGGAAACTCATGGTGCAAGTGAAGATGCCTTTCTCCTAAACATTCCCTCTTAAACACAGTCACGCCGGCACAAGCGGCAAGTGGACTAACACGCTAGAAAATACGTGTAAAGAAAGAACCGGTCGATGCTCTTGAGGGTATAATTGAGTCCCAGTCCTTTTGACCATTGTTGAAGCTCTTAGGCCCGAGCAGTCTCATTTAGGACTGCTCCGGAGGCAGCAGTCAATAGTTCTGACGTCCTAGGAGATGCAAGTAGAGGAGATATATAGAAATAAAAGTACTAACTAGTAGTCAAATGGAAGTCGAGTGGTGACTGATCCTCTACATTTCTCAGATCGACACACAATTGCCAAGAGTCGCACGAATCTGCTTCGTCAGTTGAGACATTCTATAAACATAAAGAGTTTAGAAAGGGTAACTTCATGATATAATACCGCGGAGAACTGTTCTATGTTTGATGAAATCAGATAAACGAGAACGCGGTAGCCTCACTGTGGATCTCAATGAAAGGGAATAATGGGCTTGTGCTTCCTAAATGAACTAGCTGTGACATTGATTTAGCTCATTTCCCGCTGTTTTGGCTTCTTAACTGTTTTTTAATTCTGTTCTTTCTTATTTCTCCAACCAGGAAATGGAGTCCACATCCATCACACTATGTTCAGGTGGCGACCTCTCAGATCTTACTATTGTTGAGGTACGAAAAAGTGATATTGGTC